CGTGGTGGATCCAGCTCCAGCTGTGCCTCCAAGAATACCAACACCGGTACCCACCCCGTCGGCAGTGATACCACCCGCAAGCCACCCACTTCCCTTACCTCTTGCGGCCTCGTCCTCCGCCACTTCCCTTTCTTTCTTACTCAACGTCGACGAGGACGTGGCCATGCTGCCGTCCCCTCCAGAATTTCGGCCCCCGACACCTGATATGATCGTGGACACGCTGCAGTCATAGCTGCCCGAATTCTTCTAAGAGTTAGTCGACGTGGAGGTCACCCATAGTTCTCTCTTACATTTGGCGACAACGGCATCATGGTTCTGCGCGCACGCACGTCAGTATAATATTGGTATATTCTATAATCGAACATTTGGAACAAGGAGGAGAGGTAGAAAGAGGAAGAGAGCATACATCCATCCAGTACTAAGTACAACAATTGACACGAATAGGAAATGACAATGGACGACAAGAAAAAATAATGTCGAGAAATGTACATAACATCGGTTCGCAAGAAACACCAAAAGATTCAGACAGTCGTTCGACTCGCACTTCCTTTCCTCAAGCAGCCAAGGGCGTTGTGATGAGAATCGAAGACCACACCAGCTCATCGAGGACGACAATTGGTGTTTATCGAGATTGTGCCCCGATTTTTGAGGGCGGTGCTCATTCGCGGCTGCGCCAATGGTAAGCGACACCAATGGTTGATGTGTCGACTTGGCTGTCCACCGTCGTTCGGCACCGTGGTTTCCTCCACAGCGACGCCCTATCCACCGCCATGACACCTGCATGATACGCAGAGGCCTTGTCGACAAGGGTAGGAAACAGCCCCAAGCACAATGAAGCGCATCCTCGAAGGCGATCGATCCCGTGTTCGAAACCGGTCTTCACTTCTCCAGTCCACAGAGGAGCCCACAGTCCAGGATCTCCCACAAAATACCCATACAGACGCACGCACACGCACACAACACTCCAAGCTCAAAAACACACGATGTAGTAACTCAATACCCCGAACTACTAGCACCACTGTCCGTCATCGCCATGTTTCGCCACTTGGCGTCGGACGTCCCCCGCGGACGGGACACGTATTTACTCGAACCTCCACCACCATAGTTCGCCCCGTCCCCGTCTGGCATTCGCGTACTGCTGCCCCCGCTGCCATCCTTCTCTGATCGCCGGGAGGGTCTCTTTTGGGTGTAGGACTAGAAATGATTTAGATTAGGATAGGAAAAGGAGGTTTGGGAAGGGAGAGACGCGTACCATTACAGTTTTTAGAGCACTGTTGATACAAGGTAGCAAGCTGTGTTAGAAAAGAAATTTGGATCGAATTGGGAGAGAGTAAGTAACTCACCGAATCTGAAGACTCCGACTGCTACACAGAGTAGCGACCTCGTACACACCGACCGATGTCGGGTTCGACAGCGCGCGGTGCATGGCATGCTTTACCAGCGATTCGAGGTGGTCTATTTGGTAATTTGCAGCGAGGATCAGCAGCTGGCTAAGCACCGGCGCCGTGTGCTGCAGCGGCGTGATCAGACCAAGAGAGTAGAAATACTGTAGGAGAGCGAGGGTGACGGGGTAGGGCTCGGAGAGGTGGAACGCGCGGGGTGTCAGCCGAGGGTCGACACGTGGTTCGCTTGCGATCCCAGTCCCTGGAAGCTCAGGCAGTGGCACGTGCATCGCGGACGTCGGCAGCCCCTCGAGCGCGCCCGTAGCCTTTCTTAGGAAGAGCTTCCTCTGCTCCTTAAACCACGGCCACCGTTCCTCCAGGATCCGTCTCGAGCATTGCACCTTCTGTCCATCGTCGCACACAATCTCAAAGTCGGCCAGTACCTGCTCCTCGAGCGCCGCGAGCCCGAGCTCCTGCATGCGCACGTCGAGCTTGAGCGGTGGGGGTTGGTAGATGCCGAACGCCTCGAGGTCGACAACGGCGACGTGGTCCCAGCTGAGGAGGCGCCGGTTATAGTCGTCGACGAGGTTCCCGTGTCGGTTGCCGAAGATGAGGAACTTGTTCGACTCGGCCCAGAGGCAGCCGCGGAACCACGAGCCCGTCTCGAGGGCCTTGCCGGGGTCGATGCGCGACCAGGTCATCGTCGTCAGGTCGAGGACCCAGATAGAGAAGGACTGATAGCTGTGCGCGAGGTAGGTGCCGGCGATTATGAGGTGGCTACCGAGGAGGGCACCGGTTGGGAAGCGTAGGCCGGGAGGGAATGTCGAGCCTGTCATTGCGGAAGATCGGTCTTGTATCGTAAAGTCGGAATCGGGAAGGGGCGAGAATACTTCAAGTTCCCGCTTGACATCAGTAAACTGCGACCGGCGTCAGTTCTCAATTGTTATCGGCAGAAAGAAGCACGTACGTTGTAGTTGCTGTACAAATAAATATCACTAGGGTGGTCTTCAGTAGGTGCAAAGGAATACGGTAGATGGACAAGGCTTTCAGAGGGTGCAATATCGTCAGAGGTGCGTGATAGGGACAAGGTAGATTTAGATGATCGGAATGCGCTGCCAGAGGCGACTAGAGTAGAAGATGAGGAAGACGCTAGCATCTCTTCATGTGGGTGTCGAACGGTTGTATGGGAGGATACGGCAACACTTCGGTAGGTACCACAGTGGCGTGGATAGTCGCGTCGCTGGACCCAGGCCTTGGTGGCGAGGTCGAACACGCAGACGTCGTCGAGCCAAGTGTTGAAGAAGTCTTGACCGCCGATAATAAATAGTCTATCGGCTGTTACGGAAGATAGATGGGCATAACGGGCACGGGGCATTAGATGGTCTGAGTCGGGCAAGGAAGGGAATGGAGGGAGCCAGTGTCGTGTGGTAAGGTTGAAAAAGCGGACATCATTCAGGACGCACAGGTCGTCTGGGTTGATAGCGTCAGGTTGATTGCTCATTCCGCCGAACACGATGAGATGATTGTTCCCTGCATGGCTATGAGGATGTCATTGGGTGGAGGTGAATAATAGAACATACAGGCGTCTGTGCTGTGAAAGTAGCGTGCTCTGGGCACATCGTCTTCTGGAAACGAGGGTATTCGTTCCCAGACGAAAGTCTCGAGATCGAAAACATAGAGGTCAGAGACCATTCTCCGCTCAGTGACCAATCGGCCTCCCTGTTTCCGGTCAATACAAGCCCAATATAACAAGATAAGAAGGCCTACAAAGAGGTACATCTTTGAACCGACGACAGTGGTGGAAGCGCCCTGGGATATGGAGGGGTGAGCTGTATTCGGACACGGGTATGGTTTGACATACGACGAGCTTTGCGGGTACATCGCCGGTTGTGTGTCTGCAGAACGTCGTAAGGTCGTAGATGGAGTGAAGCATGGCGGGAACTGCGCAGCAGGGCGCGGGGGACGGAGGAAGAGGCGCTGGAGAGGAGTGGGGACAAGAACAACGAACAGTGACCATCATGCGAGATCAGGCAGGCACAGGCGACGGCCATCGCCGAAGACATGCCATAGCGGGCAGGTCTCCGGTGATGGGCGGGCGGGGAGTGGGCGGGACGGCGGGGGATAGGAGAGGGCGCGTCGGTGGAACGCGTCGAGGGCCGGTCTCCGGATCGCCATGGCAAGAGCGAACGGCGGGGGCTCGGAGGTGAGCGGGCGAGTGAGGTCATGCAGGCGTGCTCGCAGATCGGCGGTGATCGCCGGCCCCTCTGCGTCTCCCTCGGAGTCATGTCACTCGCTGCTGCCAGAGTCTGCCTTTCTCGCTATCGGATTCGCATCCCCCGTCTGCACCGCTCCCTCAATCCCTCTCACATGGACGTCGTCCTCTCTGAGCCAGCCCCCGACAAGCTCCAGGTCCTCCCGCACATACAGTATGTCACCGCAGAGCACCTCGCCCCTGGCACCGTAGCCTCCAATCCCCTCGATCAGTTCCGCGGCTGGTTCAAGGACGCCATCGAGAGCGGCAAGGTCGACGAGGCAGAGGCCATGTCCCTATCCACCGCAACCCCCAACGGCATCCCCTCAGCCCGCATCGTCCTCCTCAAGCAGGTCGACGCACGCGGTTTCGTCTTCTTCACCAACTACACATCGCGCAAGTCCCAGGAGATCATCGCAAACCCCCACGCAGCCCTCGTCTTCTATTGGCGCGAGATACACAAGTCGGTCAGGGTGGTCGGGCGCGTCGAGAAGATCACCCGCGAGGAGAGCGACGAATACTTCCAGAGCAGGCCACTTGGAAGCCGTCTGGGCGCCTGGGCGAGCAAGCAGAGCTCAGTCATCCCTGAGGACGCCATCGAGGCCCGTCTGCAGAGGGTCAGCGAGCGGTTCGGAGAGAACGTACCGACTCCTGAGTTCTGGGGTGGCTGGAGAGTGGTCCCAGAGTAAGCCATATGCATCCCCATCCTTCCCGTCCCCATTCAATTGCGCTGACCGCGTTGCAGCGAGATCGAATTCTGGTGTGGAAAACCTTCCCGTCTACACGATCGCATACGCTACCTACGCATAGAAGGCTTGCCCGACGAGCATCCCGCTTGGAAAATAGAGAGACTATCGCCATGATCCCTCGGGCGTAGTTACAAATAAAGTACGTCCATGACGTATCGTCGTATATTGCGTATCTCATGACGCAACACAGAAACCGTACTTTACTCAGCTAATACACTTTTCGGATGGAATTCAACGCGTCAAGCTACCGCGCCGCTGAGAACTGCATCGTAGCAAATTTTCGACCACTTCACAAGCGATGCCTTCGTCGCTTCTTCGTCACCTTTCACCCAATGTTTCATCGGTTCCGCCTGTAATGCCCTACCAAACGAGAAGCTCAGTGCAGGTAGTCGAGCGAAAGGCGATCCTGGAGGCGAGTTCAAGGCGAGCTGGTTGACCTTTGCCAGATAATTTGTGGCAGTTTCTGAAGGCAAACCACCTAAGTTCCTCGTCAACTTCATCTTCTTTCTAGACACTTCTATTCTTACCAGAGAGGAATAGAACACCAGGAACTGCAGAAGGGACTGACCGAGAAATAACCGTCGCCGTCGCAAGCGCGATCTCCTCAGCCGTCACTTTGTCGCGTGAAGGATGCTGCAAGCCAGGTTGAGGGAACGAGGGCTTGATGAGTGATCCTACAAAACCACCATCAACCTTTTCTCACCCCAGCCCTTATTACCCATTTACTCACCTTCCAACAAGACCCCATGCGCCCTCATCCTCTCGTAAATCAACGCAATCGCCCTCTCATGCACCTCCGCGCTTCTTGCAAGGTCCGCGTCGCGCGAAAAGTCAACGTCAGGCTCGACAATGGGGACCAAACCTGCCTGCTGGCTGATCGCGGCGAACCGCGCGAGCGTCTCTGCCACCGTCTCGAGTGCGAGTTGGGTAGGGAAGATGGTGCTCGTGTCGACGGTGCTCGTGTACGGTTTCTTCTGTCCTCCTTCATCTCCTCCCTCATTTTCCGTAGACTCGACAGGCACCGGAGGAGGACCAGGCGTAACAGACCCACACATGATCGGCACGCGGAACTTGGAGAACCGCGCGCCTTCCCCGCGGGCGGCCTGCATCCGCCCCAGGAGCCCGTCCAGCCCCTCGACGAGGAACTCGTCCTCGCTCCGCGGGAGAGGCGTCAGCTCGGCGTTGGCGCGCACGCCCGGGATGATGCCCCGGTCGGAGAGGAGCGGCGCGAGGTGGAAGGTGTGCAGAGTTTCCGGGTGGAGGATTACACCGGAGATGTGGTCTATGTGTTCACATACATATGAACTTTCCAATGCTACGATATGATATCGTTGGCTGTAAAATTACGCACCGCTCGGAACAGCAGAATACACACACTCCTTCCACGCCTTCCTCCGCTCCCTCCTTTTCTCCTCCGTAAATCTTGTATGTCTATTCCCCGCCTCCTCCATCGCCATCACCAGCGTGCCGTCCATCACATCGGGCGCTTCGTCCGTCGCGTACACGCCCCTCCCCCTCGGGGACACCAGAGAGTGGGCGGCGGCGATGAGCTCGTGCGCGTCGAAGCGTGAGTACAGTTTCGGGGAGAGGAAGACTTGGACGGCGCTGTGCCCGCTCACTTGGTCCCGCCGACGTTCGGAGGGGTCGTCGGGTACGGAGAAGAGATTGTGTGGCATGCTGTAGGTGTTGCGGAAGGGCATTGTGGGGTGACCGGGGAGGAGTTTTATTGGGTGGTGGGGGTGAGAATGGGAAGCTTGGGAGCGTCAGGTGTTATGGTGCTTGGGTATGTCTGAGTTGGTGGTTTCTATTTATATCGCGCCTGATATCGTACCCCGCATCGATACGGACAGGGGTCATTAGCACTCGTCCACTCATCAAGACTCCAGGACCCGGTATAAAAGAAAACAGAACTCACAGATTGATCCTGGGTTTCTCTTCCCATTGACTGCAGCCAGCTGTAGCCTAGGCCAATTGGGTTGAAGATATTAGTTTTCTTGGTCTGAGCCAATTGGCGTGAGAGTGTGGCGCTCGTTCATCGGGCCGTATTACCGCTGATTGACCGTGCTTGCCAACGCCTTCCGAACGCTCTCCAGAGCTTGCCGAACTCATCGTTTACCACCATTCTACTTTCGACTGAACACCACCTTCGCGTTTTCGCACCTCCCTTATCTTCCAATCATGCTCGGGTTCAGAGCGACTCGCATCCTACGCGCTCAACGCGGTAGCATGACCGCTCCACGGCTGACGCCGAATGTCCAGTACCCACCACCCCCGCCGAAGAAGATGGAAGGTAGCGGCGAGGACTTCCGACCGCCTTGGGTGTATGTTGGGACGAGGTTGATCTCGTTGGCTGTTATCCCATGTGCGTTTTCCTTTGTGCGGCTCGTGTTTAATGAGGTGTGCTGATGTGAGAACGTTTGCGGAATAGCCATCGCGGTGTACTCGATTTTCTTCTATGATTTTGGGGAGCGCGAGCATGTTTTCCAACCGGTGAGTTAGCTTACGCCTTGGTTCAGTATTGCTGTGGGCTCATAGGTGGTACAGGTACGGAGATGGGCAGCAGATAGTGTTAACTCATTCTTCACGCTTTCGCCGGCGGAGGAGAAGCTATTAAAGCAAGAGAGGCAGGTATCATCGACAAAAGAATCGACAGCTGCTTCATGACGTAGAGTTGAGATGTAATAGCTCTCTGTATGGGGGGCGTCAACTTCAAAGGTGAGTGCATTACCATTCATACGCCACTTATCCTGCTTTGCTCATTGCGGAGCCAGGAATCGACACCAGACGACGGTGCTTTCCGCTGGCTCTGAATGATCGACAGGTTCAGAAGGGACGCTGGTTCTCGTGCCTCCTTCGAGTAACTCCAAAGTCATTATAGACCTGGTATACGACAAGTCTTCGTCCCTACCTTACACCTGGAGTTATCCACCCCGAGTAAGTATACCAAATACCGCCTTAATAGACTTTTCGCGGGTCCTCGGCAGTCGAGGACCCACAGCACTATTCTCGATTCTTTCGTAAGGTTTCGCAAGTCACTGTCACTGTCAGCCTCATGTCAAGGAAGATCATGTGCAGTGTCCATGTCCAGCGTGCAAAGTGCACGCAAGGGTGGGCGCCTGCCTGCAGGGTGCCCCATCCTTTACCCCACCACACTACCACAACCCGGCGACCCTCCAAAAGCCCAACTGTGCTGCGCCACCGCGCATCCTTCCCCATGTCGGCTCCGAGCGTACACTCGCGCTCTCATACAGGGGGCTCAGCAAGAAGCTCGGCACGAAGTTCGCAGGTGTCCCTCGGATCGGTCGAGCAGGACCTCGTGCATCTGCGCGGCCTTCTCGATGACTCGCTGGAGCGGAGCAGGCAGCTCCAGGCGTCGTTGGAGAAGAACAGGACGTGCCTTGATCAGTCGTTGGAGGAGAGCAGGCTGCTTCGACAGTCGTTGGAAGAGAGCACGGCGCGTCTTGAGGAGAGCATGCGGAGGAGGGGCGTGTCGAGGGAGCGTAGAGGAAGGCAGAGAGAGCGCCGGCCTAGGGACTCGCTCAGCCCGAGAGAAAGTGAGGAGAGGCCTAGGGATGAGAGTCGCGGTGCTCGTGTGGAGGAGGCATCTGAGTCTAGGGAATCGTCTGTGCTGAGTTATGTCGATGAGCCTGAGAGAGAGCTTCCACCCTTGCCCATTCCGGAAGAGCCCACTAGGTTGCGACCGATTCTTGAAGAGGAGACTTTTGGAGGTGCGCAAAGCAGGATCCTTCCTTTGTCTTCCACGTTTAACATCTAATGCGTAGGATTATTGCGCAGGTTGATTCAGGTCAATCATGAAAACAATCGACACATGATTTTGGCTCTAGACAACACATATCGCGGTGCGTTTGCTTGCAACTTGTGGAATTGGTCTAGAAAATGTTTATTGACGTGTCTAAAAACAGGAATGATGGCAGTCAAGCATCGTCATGCGTTGGATATGATCGTTGCTGCCAGACGAGGGAGGAGACCTGCTCAACCTGCTTGAAGGAAAGATGGGACTGGGGATGAACTGTAAAATGAACTTCAGGAAGTTCAAGCATTCACATATAGCTGGCCGAGGTCGCCGAGATTGCCCTGCGAGTCGAGAAGGTCTATGAATGGGGCATTGTGCATTAAGTATTGGGCTGGATGCCTTGCAGGGGAATGAATATACTGACTCCAGTAGGACCCGCTTTGTGGCCGCTAGGCGACGGGACATTAGCCCAGGGTTGTAGTTGGATTTGCTAACTTTTACTTACTTCGTAAGCAAACCAGGAGTATCGCTCCACATAGTTCAGAGAATCCATGTACTTTGTAGTGGCGGTGAGAAAATCTTTCACTTCTGGAAACAGTGGAACCAGCGAAGGAAAGAAGTCAATTCGTAAATTCGGGAACCTTTCGAGTGCAAGTGGCGCACCAGACGGGTTGGAAGACGTCGAGGCATACTCGGTCACCCACAAGGGATAATTAGGGAAGTCGGTATGCATCTGCGAGAGATAGTTGTAGAAGTTTGTGGTTCCGGTTCCATACCTACAAAGGAGCATTAAGTCAATAATAGGTCAAAGACCTTGTTGGGTAAATGCGGAAGTACAGACCAGTGAAGCGGGATAAAGTCGATCTTGCAACCAGAACAAGCGTTCAAAAAAGCCGTGAGCCAAACGCGACCCCCTGGACCACTGGTAACTGCAGGAGCGCCTAGACGGATGCCCGATGCTGCAAGAGGGTGGATGTATTGCTTCCAGAGCTTAGCGGCGTAGTTTGCATTTATGTTCGATTGACTCGAGAGGTCTGGTTCGTTGAATCCCTGTATATTAACGGTGTAAGCTGACTGCAACTAGATGCATTTAAATCTCCGTCATGGAAACGTGCCAATATGGTCTTCACGCCTTGTTTCTTGACGTTGTTCGCAAAGTCCTCGATACCACTGGTACCCCATTGCATGGGTATGTAGGGGATTCCGGACTTCGCTAGATAGTCGGGGGGTGACGAGGCCCAGTTGTACTGCCAGGATATTACGCTGCTACTCGTGTTGGCTTTCTTGATATCGACGGGGTTGCTTGGATCAGCGAAAGCAATGCCACGTTTGGGATTCTTTGACGCGGATGCAGGTAGTGAGGTTGTGGTGGAAAGTAAGAGCAGGAGGAGACGAGCGAACAGTGTACTATGGGCCATGGCGACTAGGAATTCTGCTGCATCCCCTGGACCCAAGGCCCCCTTTTAACGGGCGACTTGGGTGGCGTTTATCTGGAAGCCATGTATACTCGTACTAGGAAGATAGACTTCGTTAGGAGTGAATACAAGTCCATGAAAACCCTCGGACATCTTGTCCTGATAGAGCAACGTTAACCACTATTTGAAGCGAGGTGGGGCGATAAGGAATAAAACGCCAAAGAACCCGATAGTTGTTGCAACATCGATGAGCATCGATGGCGTATTGGTGTCAGTATTACTGAGGCGGAAATTAACGATGCAATCTTTGGTTGCACTTGGAGACAATTTCGATCGTTGTGGTGAGGATGAAAGAGAGTTCCAGCTATTTTTAGAGAGAACCGTGGCCAAATATGGAGCAACGCGTCGAGTCACGTGTGCTTGTCGCGTGTGGAACGACGTGCTTGCACTCTTGACAATGAAAGCATAGGCATCTCGACTGTCATGGCCATGGACCCCCCTGCTCTGAAGTTCCCTGTTGGACCTCCCTTGATCACTCCATCCGCGTCTCCGCCACCTGTTGATGGCTCCAGGGACGTCTCTTATCCGCCTCGCATGTCTGATAGCGTTCCACCTGCAAAACGACAACGACTGTTTTCGACACCACGACGAACGCTCCCAGACATACATTCACACTCCAGTTCACGACCGCAGACTCCAATTGACATAGATAAGGAACGAGAAGCATCGAAGCACCGTTTGCTGGATGTCTGGGCCAGTCTCGCAGAACGCTACACCCGCAGGCTCGACGAGGACGACATTGTGGACATCCATACTGGCGAAATCACGAGGGATAATGGTGTCCTTCGAAATTCCCGCAAATACGATTTCGGAGATTTTGCCACAGCTTCCGGCACAGGCTATGAGGATAGTGAACTGGAAGAAGAGGATGATGAATACGACCTTGATGAACTGGATGCTTTTGCTGAAACTTCCTCGGAGCCCTACGACGTCGACGATCAAGATGACTCGGAGCTGAAAGCTGGGGGAATAGCCGTGCCACCAGTCACACCTTTGAATCCAGCGGATGCCGAAGACTTGCGCCAATTTCTGGCTGCTGAGAGGCAGCGAAAGGAAATTTGTGGCAGCGATGTTGATGAGGATGAGGGGAGTTCCTTGACAAGGCTCGATGTGGACGCTGAAACAGAAGAAGAGGACTTGACGAAGGAAATGGAGGACGAAGAGGGAACTAGCTGCGCACCGGAGATGCAGGATGAAGCAGAAAATAACGACGCGGGAGGGGACCAAGAAGAGGACGAGGAAAATATAGCAGAATTCTCAGACTATGGAGCCGCTCTTGTTGGATTTTCGGAGGACGAATTGGACAACTGGGATATTGGAGAAGGTGGCGCTGTTCATCCTGGGTCGAAGGAAGAGACAGACAGTGGAGACAGTGACATCGAGATCATCGAACCTCCAATTATTCGGACAGCACGTAGCCCCAATACGTCGACGTCGACGTCGCGTACTTCAGTGCCAAAGACAAACACCCAGCCTCACCATGCCCTTTCAACTCCACGGAAGGTTCCACAGCAACTGCACACCCCACCGAGATCTCAATCTTCCACAAGTCTTTCCGTTCCTCCATCCGAGGAAAGGTTCATAGACTTGTCGTTAGACTCTCCTCCAGTGTCAACTTCTCGCACAACGTCTCGAACTCAGCAGTTATCCTCACCAACAAAACATCAACGCGGTAGTGGTGTTGCACGGCCGGCAGCTCAACTCCCCGCGTTGCAAGTCCGGAAAGGCGCTTTCGAACCGCCTCCACGCAAGTTGGATTTGACGCAGCTCTCCAAAGGAAAGCCTGCTCGGTCTTCACCTTTGAAAACCTCCTTTTCATTTTCTGAGAGTCAAGAAGAAGAATCAGGCGCGCTACAAGAATCTACCGAACGTCCTAGAAAACTAAAACCTTTCATCCTCTTGACTACGAGAAAAATTAGCAATTCGACGAAGACGATATCGGCGTCAAAACCATCCAAACCACCTGACAATGAAGCAGGTTCCGGAAACGACGACAGCGAGTGCAATGAGTCAGTCAACGCGTCCGCGTCGCCCAAGAAAAGAGGTCGCCCAAAAAAGCAGTCGCAGAGTAGCTCCAGATCTCAACGAAGTTCCTCGAAAGACCCACCTTTGTATGACAAACACGACGTCAAATCACGAAAGGCCCGATATACATCTGCAAATGAAGATAGCGATGATCCTGTCAATCCTCCATCCTCGTCCCCGCCTGTTAAGCATTCGATTCGTTATGCCGATAACGACAGTTTCGTTTCTGCCTCTGCCTCCACGCCCAGTAGAAGCAAAAAGACCATGGCCTCGAAAGAGATAGATTCATCTATCTCAAGAAAGAGGAAACGAACTCTATCGGACGTGCAAATGGAATCTCCAACAAGACCAGTAGCGACTGAGCAGCCCAAAGACAGACGTTCGCAGCCGTGCGATGCCCACAATCAAGCCTTGAGCTCGCGTTCAGCCGTCGAAGGTATGGTTTTGATGTTTTCTCTCGGCTTTGACTGATACCCCGCAGATGTCAGATCTAAAGAACCAGTGCCCGCGAAGCGATCGGCATCCCGAAAGCGGCATTCCAAGCAAGAATCGCAATCAAACTCAAGTTCAGAAAGTGGCTCGGACAGCAGTTCCACGGAGAAGAAACGTCGACATCGCAAGCGTTCCGACTCTAGATCTCGCGCCTCTGCGGCGCCTCACTATCCTTACCCCCCTGGCGTTTATGGCACTCTACCTCACCCAGTACATCCGCCATATGCCCCAATCCCAGATCCCCGTGCTCAATTTATCATAACGCAGGCGATGCAACAATTATCTGCTTTAGTTGGCTCGCCGTGGCCTCCGCCTCATTATGGCGATGGTTCTATACCACATACGCCATCTCGTCGGAAAGGCAAGCGTGCCTCCAGCGTTGCATACACAACTCCTCCACACCATCCTCACCCGTACCCCTACGTTTACGATCCTAATTTCTCCCATGCGACCTTGCCACCTGAATCCGAATCGTCCGAATCCGAATCTCCAGAGCCATCAAGTAGTGGGCGACGGAAATCCTTGGTGAAGAGGAGTCGATCTCGCGGCAGGCGAGTGTCGTTCAAGGTTGAAGACGAAGTTCAAAGTCCCGTGGATGTCTCTTCGAGTCCTCTTGGCAAGCGTCCCTCGAAAGGTCGTTTGAAGAATGCACCGGGAGAGGACGAGCGGCCGCCAAAGTCGATGAAGAGGAAAGGGAAGGGGAAAGCGAAAGAGGAGGAGGAATATTCCTCAGATGCGCCTGACTCGGACATTGAAGTCAGAGGTAGAGCCTTCGTCAGAGGGCAGACCCCTGGTCCAAGTTCGAGCGATGCTCAGAAACGAGAACGATGAGGACGTACGGTCGTTTATTCTGGGATTTCAGGACTTTTTTTGGATCCTTTACACGTACTTTTACCCATTTGTATTTTTCACGAGGATTTTGAGCTCAGAATGTGTATCTCTACTGACTAAATCGACATGCAGATTACAGTGTACACACCAAGTACACACCTCTTGGCGCTGATGTCCTCGCGAATTGACGAGCGGCTATACGGGCCGGAATTCTCCTCACAAACAACACAAACCTCTATCTCGAGGCTCAAGAGAACGCTCGTCTTCTCTCTGCTATGGCTGGACCTCCTGTTCGCTCAGCGTTCAATGCGAAGGCCCGTCAATCCTTAGCGGGATCAAGAAAGAAAGGCAAAGCGAAGAATAGTGTAGCTAAAGCAGAAGAACCTCAACCCAACTCAAATGCCGACATCCTTATCCCTAAGAGCAAAGAGGAGAAGCATAATGATCGGAAGGAAAAGCTTTTACAAGAGGTATATTTTCCAATTATCCCTCGAGTGCATGATCTGAGTAGACCCTGCACCTTTAGCTCGCTGCACAGAGCGAGCTGAATTGGAACACAAAGAAGAAGAAAAGACTCGAGAAATACATCGTCAGTCGCGGCCGAATACATGGTATATTGAAGATACTCATCCGTGGCTTACAGGATAAGAAGCTGAAGAAGGAGGAGAGGGTCCTCATTTTCGAGAAACTTGCGTATGTTTACTGCTTTCTCTGAAGCGTCTGCTCATCTGTTCTAAGCAAGACGCAGGCCTCTCTATCTTCATCACTACTTCAATCCTCGTCCACTCTTGGAACGGGAAAGGCTTTGACACACAAAGAACTCCAAGAAAAGGCCGAAGATAGCCTCGTGAAGAAATCCCTCCTCGGTCAACCCGGCAAGCGGAAACGACATCAAGATGTCTTCGATATTCAGGAGGCCGACGATGAAGATGAGGAACTCTCGCCGGATGAAGATGACGAAGTGCCGGACCATCATAATGTCGATTCCACTCCACTCGAATTGCCTTCGGAAACATCGGTTGTCATTGACGAATCCCCATCTCTACCGCCTGCGAAAAGTGCCGCCACAGTAGGCAGTGCATTGCAGAGAAATCTAGATGGAAGCACAGTTGCGCCTAAAGTTCGACCAAGGACCAAGGGGATGCAGGTACGCTTCATGTTGCATGCTACACTTCTTTTGCTAGAGCTGCTCTCTCTCAGACTCAGCGGGGCTGGGGCAAAAAGACTCCAGTCGAAGTGCAGCCCGATTCCGATACGTCATTCGACAGCTCGGATTCTGAGAACGATCCAGCAGAGCAAGCAGAAGGGTCTTCACTGGATCCGGGTTCTGAAGATAATGAAGATGACGAAATGCAGATTGACGATTCCAAAGCTGATTCGGACTCCCTGCACCCTGTCAAGAAGAAATCTCTTGGATTCAAGGACTGGGCCATCAAACAACTCAGTGTCGCAAAAGGTTATGATCTTGCAAAACCCACAGACGAAACGTCCGTCGTTGAAACACCTCGTCAACCTCCTCGAAAAAGGCAGAAGGTCGATGACGATGGAATTAAGCACGGACCTTTGGGAGAGGAGTTGCAGCTACCATCAACATCATTTTCGAAACACCTGCTGGACTCCGGGAAGAAAAGTGGCCCAGGCGCTTACTCCAAAGCCGTCGAGGTCAAACGACCTGCGGATGTCGAGGAGGCAAGGATTCTCCTCCCTATTGTCACAGAAGAACAGCCAATCATGGAGGCGATCCTGCTGAACCCTGTCATCATTATTTGTGGGGAAACGGGCAGTGGAAAAACTACCCAGGTCCCTCAATTCCTCTATGAAGCCGGTTTTGGAACCCCTGGGAGTGGTAGGACTGCTCTTTTTTCTCTATGTGGGAGTGTCTGACGCAAACCGCTCAGGTAATCCTGGCATGATTGGAATTACCCAACCACGACGGGTTGCTGCTATGTCAATGGCTGCTCGTGTTGCTCACGAGCTCTCATTAACTTCGTCCCGCGTGTCTTATCAAATACGTTACGATGCGACTGTCTCTCCCGAAACATCTATCAAGTTTATGACCGATGGTGTTTTGCTGAGAGAGTTAGCCACAGATTTTTTGTTGACGAAATACTCCATCATCATCATCGACGAAGCGCATGAAAGAAGTATCAATACAGACATTCTTATTGGTGTTCTCAGTCGCGTCATCAAACTTCGAGAAGAGCTGTGGAATAAAGGAAAAGATGGCATTAAAGTGGGTCCCAAGCGCTGGCTTCTCGAAGACGTCCCATTAATGTTGCTAGCCTCTACGACTCATTATCATGTCCGCCACCCTTCGCGTTAGTGATTTTGCAGAAAATAAGACGTTATTCGCCTCCCCTCCGCCCGTCATTCACGTCGCTGCCCGTCAACACCCTGTGACGATCCATTTTAGTCGTCGCACCCATCCGGACTACGTCACCCAAGCTGTTAAAAAGACAGTCAAAATTCACACCTGCCTACCTCCAGGCGGAATTCTAATATTTTTAACTGGCCAAAATGAAATTACGGGGGTGTGCAAGAGGCTGGAGGCAAAATTCGGCAATCGAGCTATTAGTGAGAAGAAGCGAAGGAGAAACGCGTCTCAATCGTGGTCAAGTGCACCGCAAGGAGATCTGGATAGCTCTGGAGCACTGATCGGTGCGGTATTGGCATTTCAAGGTATCGTGCACTTCTATGTTCTCAGTTCAGTCCATCTCTCATGGTCGCCTAGCTGATGTTGAAGTCGAAGAAATCGACCTTGACACAACTGGGCAAAATGACCCGACTTTCGGTGTTGATGAAAGCCTTTCCGGGGACGAAGACTCTGAAGCCCTGGACAGCGACGGTGAGAATCAATTAGAGGAAGAGCTTAGACTCGACGATGACTCGGATGGTATGTGTATTTTTACTCCGTTAGCCTTGCTATGGATTCCCAACCCCTTGACGTAGTGCCGATGCATGTCGTTCCCTTGTATTCCCTGTTGCCCAGCGAGAAGCAAATGCAGGTGTTTCAACAGCCGCCGTCCGGAAGTCGTCTGGTCGTGGTCTCGACTAATGTAGCAGAGACCTCGTTAACAATCCCTGGCATCCGTTACGTCGTCGATTGTGGGCGAGCAAAGGAGGTTAGTTGACTTACCACATGTGTTGACCCGATACTGATTATATGCAGAGACATTACGACGCCGTGAACGGTATTCAAAGATTCCAAATTTCGTGGGTGTCCAAAGCCTCGGCTGCCCAGCGTGCGGGCCGTGCGGGTCGGATAGGACCTGGCCACTGCTACAGACTCTATTCCTCAGCCCTTTTCGAGCATCACTTTGAAAATTTCTCCACCCCCGAGATACAGCGTATGCCCATCGATGGAATCGTTCTACAGATGAAGAGCATGCATATAGACGCAGTTGTCAATTTTCCTTTTCCGACGCCGCCAGATCGTTCAGCTCTTCACAAAGCAGAGAAATGTTTGGTCGTGCTAGGCGCACTCTCACCTCTCCCGACGTCGACAGAAAGACAGATAACTGATCTAGGAAGGGCCATGTCTCTATTCCCTTTGTCTCCTCGATTCTCAAGGATGCTTGTGACTGGACAGCAGCACGGATGCTTGCCATACATCATTTGCATTGTATCCGCCCTTTCTGTTGGTGATCCCTTCGTCTACGAGGAAGCTCTTGATCAAGAGAGCGATCGCGAAGAGTCCGACGTACCTATCACGTTCGCTTTGAGCAGTGAAGCAACCATTGCCAAAGAACGACGTCGCCTTCTTCGAAAGGCGTTCTTCCAGTCGCAGCATGTGAGTATTGGTAGCATCAGTCCCCCTTCAATTGATTTTTTTTTGCTTATATAGACTCATGCATCCTTGGGCAAATACACGAGCGACATGTTCAGGGTTTTGTCTGTCGTTGGTGCCTACGAATATGCCGGTGGTGGTCAGAAGTTCTGCGCGGAACAGTTTGTTCGACCGAAGGTATAACTCTTGTCATGTGTCTCTCAAACATATTCTTATCAGGCCATAGGCTATGGAGGAGATCCATAAACTTAGAGCTCAGATCAGCAACATTGTTCATGCAAACTTTCCAACTACAGATCCGAACTTTATTCCTCGCCTCCCACCTCCAAACGATCGACAGGTAGATGACCTGCTCCAAACTTGGGACTTATCCTAATTAGCCGTTCAGTTGAAAGCTTTGCGACAGATCTTGACTGCTGGATTCCTTGACCAGGTGGCTATTAGAAAAGATCTGGTCGACAGCAGCGAGGCTTCGGGCAACAAATACGCTACTTCAAAGGGCGTTGCATATCGGGCTCTTGGGGTCTCTGAGGACGTGTACATCCATCCGTCCTCGATATTGTTCAACTCCTCCCCGCCGGACTACCTGGTATATCACGAAATTGTTCGCACTACTCGAATATTTCTGAAAGGTAAATGATGGTTTATGACTCACCTCATTTTACCATCATCTGACAATTGGACAATTGGACAGGTCTGACTGTCATCAACGCGGCTTGGCTGTCATCCTTGGGAGGGAACACACTCTGCACATTTTCAAAACCAATCAAAAATAATGTTGGCACATTGATGACGATACCCCGGTTTGGACCTGAGGGCTGGGAATTGCCAGCAGTAAAAGCTTCAGCGGATATGATATAGATACAGTTTCTCGTAGTGTACACTGGTGGATGATGCTTATAATTATGCAGAAGTGGGTATGTATCATAGATGGATAGCTTCGAAGTGGTAAACGGGGGGGTTCTAAGGTTTTTTGCTAGGTAGAAACATTGACATGGTTTTAGGTCGTTTACGAGGCTGGTTGGACTTCGGACGGGTACCTGGTATCATAGCTGGTCCCGATCCCTCAACTTCCGCTGGCCGCTTAATCCCGGTGGAGGAGGAAGCACCGGTAGCCATTTTCTCTGCCCCGTTTTTCTTGGGTTCGCTTTCGCTAAGCTTACTCAGTCTTGGGGCCTGATCTGGTGCCTCAACCAAAGGCATAGGAGTGTCAATGTCCGAAGGTAATGATGCTGCATTAGATGTTGCGGACGGGGTCGCGGAAACTGTCGGAATGAAATCGTCTTTCGAGAATGCTGCCTTAGAGTAATATTCTGCATCGATCTAGGAGATTATGGCGTCAGCACATGGAGAACACGTGAAAAAGAGGCGGAATGCACTAACATTTAGAAACAAGGACCTTGATCGCGCATCATGAACAATTTGTTTCCAATTTTCATCGCTTCTCTCCAACGTAGGAGCGTTGCCAAGAATGAAGAGAGAAGACCTTGCTCTTGTTAAGGCCACGTTCATTCTACGAGCATCTAACAATAGTCTGAGAAATGCAGTGATCATACAGTAGGAAGAGGACACTCACCAGATAAGAAGCCAATGGAGGTCAAACCTGGACCTGATCTGACACAAGATAGAATGATAACGTCCTTCTCTTGTCCTTGAAAGCCGTCGACAGTGTTAAAATCAACCTTGGTAATAATATCCTTGCCAAAGGCTGTCATGAATCGGGTCTGTAGCTCCACGACCTGGGCCTTGTACATGGATACGACACCGACACGAAAATTCACGGACGAATACCCCTCCATGAGACGCGCATATAATTTCACAGCGATTTCACATTCCGCAGGATTGGAAATAGAATGCCCTCTGGATTGTTCAACGCCTGAGATGTTCAGAAATTTGTATATGCCAAACTTTCGATGCCTGTGCCATGGCCGTACGGTTTTGGTAGCCATATTTGGGCCATCGATGAGGCGCCCGTCATAAAAGATGCGACTGGGAAGGCGGCTGATCTCAGGATGCATGCGATACTGTATGCTGGTGTTGTAAGGCATGTGTTAGCTCACATTGAACAACAAAAAAAAAGTGACGCACCTCAGAAGATTGACCGCATGTTTATTACTCCTTTGCAGACGGACAAACAGGGATTGATTGTATCGAAACCGGGAAGCCTGCCTACAGTGAGCACTTTATAGACCAGACTGAAACTAGAAACTGACCTCCTGGGATATCACAGTAGGCGGCAATTGTTGGGGGTCACCCACCATCACATAATTGGAGCATCCGAACTTGAGGGGTATCAGAGAGCTGATTTCAATAGCTTGAGCGGCCTCGTCGATGACGACGATATCGAATTGTAGGCTTTCTAGTTGATCATGCCCCGCGCCAGCCAGAGTAGTGCAGATGACATCAGCTCCGTTAAGAATTTCGTGACGCGTGTTTCTTCGTAACGTGTCGAGAGCCCGCGAATCCTCTATCCTCTTGTCCCTCAGGCCATCTAACTTCGTTCCCAACGCTGCTCTACGCGAGGTAAGCTCTTTGATGTCATTCTCCAAAGTCATGCTTCGGAGGACGTCATTCTGGGCAGCTTTCAGCTCTTCCAGCTTCGACTCCCGTAGTTGTCTTGCAACCGTAATCTCATTGATGGTGTTCTGAATTTCATTCGCGATGTCTCGGAGAGGTTTAGCTTTCCCGTCCGACACTTGGTTGAGTTTTCGATCCACAAGACTGTCGAGGGAGATGTCGAGGATGCTCTTGCTCATGGATTGTTCGTTTCCAACTCGGACTACGTTTACTGGCTTGGTTCGCGGGTCAAAGCCAGGGAGCCCAGTCTTAATTCTTTCCGCGAGTTCGTCAATAGCGGCGTTGCTTGGTGCGCAGAGCAATATTCGTGCTTTAGACGGCGATGTGACGGAGGTTGGATTGCCAACGACAATTGGAACAGCAGCTTTGGGCCGTTTGGATAATAAAGAGGATATGAGCGCGCAGATGGTAGAAGTCTTCCCGGTACCGGGAGGGCTAGAAGAAGTCAATGGCGAAGTTAAACCGATTAAAGGTGCTCACCCTTGAATCAGCGTAAAACCTTCGTTGATCGTGGCCTTCAATATTGCGATAGCCTGGGGCTCGTTGACTTTCAAGGTGGTCATGGTTTCACGAACATATCGAGCGTCGGGATCAGGGACTCTGGGTAACGAAGGCTTCAAAATGAAATCCAATTGGGAGCTATGGGGAAGTGATATAAGAGCCGCGTACTCGCGATGGAGCGTGCTCAAACTATGGACACGAACACGTGAGCTTTTTGCTGCACTGGAGGAGCATCCATACCTGAAAACCTTAGCAATTTGCCAAGAAGTCCCCATTTGAAGGCCAGGATCGCCGGGGCCGGATTGGCAGTAAAACCGAACGTTAGTCTGAATTTTGTCTTTAGCAGCCCTGTAGGAGTTTACTTTCCCAAGGACATTTTTCTGTCGGCTAGGCTGCTGCAAGAGGACAATGTCGGTTTCTAATAGAAATAAAGTCTTTTTCACGCTGTCTGCGAAGACAAAACCGATGTCAAGCCAGTCGCTGACAAATTGACGCTCTGCTACTTGGCATTGATAGAATTCTTTTACCTCTTCCTTCGACTGTAAAAGCTGCGCCCAGCACTCAGAAAGTAAAAGAGGCTTGAAAACTTTCAAGTAATGCCCTGCATCGTTGAATCGATCCGGCACTGCAAGGAGGGACAGTGGCTCTCCGGGAGGCGCAGAGTCAGCGTGATTGTAATCCCAGGAAAGAATGACTCTGTGCAGATCAGAGATATCGGGTCGCAACAGACGTTGTGGTGCACCTTGTCTCCGTTTGAAGCGGGCCTCGAGAGGATTTCTGTGCGAGGGTATATCAAGTATCTTGATACTCCGGCGCTCGGTAGGCTTCGCTCTCGAGATTGATTTGTGAGGAGACTTGGGGAAAAGTCCCAAAGCTGCCAGCGCTGAAGAGGCATCACCAGCATCGTCGGAGTCTGACGAGTCACTCGAAGAAGAGTCTTCCGAGGCTGCGGGTCCGTTGAGTGCTTCGTTCTTCGGTCCTCTCGGGGCCTGTCTGGTTGAAGAAGAGTGGGTGTACTTGGAAGATGGGCCTTGAATGGGACCTGTTTTCCTGAACGATGGGATGGGTGCCGGGGCATCCAGCTTCTTTTGGTCCTGGTCTGTGAAAAACTTACTGCCAGTAGTCCTTGATGGAGCAATTGGAGGAATATGAGACTGTATGGAAGGGCGCGCATATGTCGACGGCTTGGTGTGCGTAGCCTTCCCCTGAATATAGGGACGGCTCTCGGTTTTTGATTCTGATGCCACCTTGGTTGGAGCTTTGGATGGGGCGATTTTGTGAGAAATGACAGTTATTTCGTCGTCTGAGTCATCCCCTTCGTTGAAATAGGCAAGAGCTTCTGAGAGCTGGACAAGGCGGCCAGTGTCGAGGCGACTCCTTGCTGAGCTTGTCGGCTGGCCGCTCTCAGTGCTTTCTACGAATTTATTCAGCTTCGTTAAGGCGGCGTCTGACGGTCGGACATGTATGGTCTTCATGGTGTCGAGCACACTTTGAATGAGAGAAAAGGACTGATGCAGCAATTCCTCGTCGGTAAGCCGAAGCCACCGAGCAAGTTCTGGCAGAAGCTCTTGAAGGTTGCCGATCATCTGTTCGCCAATAGGTGATATCCTTTTCGTTGTTGAGACTGCTGGGGCTTTGATGTAGGCGTTGGCAGCGGTCTCTATGATCCTCCACTGTGTAAGAACATCCCGAGCCAAGATCAGCGCGTCTCTCATCCAGATAACCATATCTGGGGTGTCGATGTGCGCCGCCCACATAGGAGTCCGACGATATATTGCCGACAAAGCCTCTGTTAATTGCCTCCAGAATTTAGGCAAACGCGCTGCTGGCCCCTTCTCATCCTGAGGGCGAAGGAAATTCCTGTTGTGCAACAGTCCTTCTGGGCTGGCGCAAAGGACGTCGATGATATCCGCAAAGCTCCGTACCAAAGTCGTTGATAGACTGCATGCTTCAGGAAGCCGGGTTGCATATCGACAAAAGATGGCGAGGTATTCGGACATTCCATCGAGTGCTTCATCTGGAAGATTTTCAAGTATGGCGCGAAAGCACTCCATTCTCCCATCGACCTCCAACGCAAGGCCGACAATAGAGGACCCGGCCATGCGAAAATCGGGAATGGGAGATAGGAGAAGGAGGGTAACTGCTTTTCCAACACCAGGACTTCGCAGGACTTCCATCCCATCGGTAGACCGCCCGTATTCCGCAAAATTTGATATCGAGGCTAGTAACCCCACTTGGAAGGCCCGCAGGGCACTGTTCACTAGAGATACTTGGTTGTCTATGACCGAGGAATTGGACGATTCGAAAATGGAAGGTTTGAGAGAATCAAGGTGGGCCGCTTTCGAAAGTATGGACACGATGTCGGCAATAGCGCTGGTGTCTCGTCCTATCGACGAGTACACCATCTTCCAAAGTGGAGTTCGAATAGACGGCGAGGGCAAATCATTGACGGCCATCTTTTGCTTGCTTTGCCCATGAGCGTGGCACACCGAGAAGATTGCGTCTGTGATACTTCGAATATCGTCTGTGAGAAGCCGTCGGACCAGTTTCCGAGCGGTTTCTCTAGCGCTATTCCATGTTTCGGCGCTGCAATCTTGTCCGAAGGCAGCGATCACAACGGACTCTGCATGGGCATCAAGGACGTTCAGGACGAGCTTCAGCTGGGATTGATCTTTGGATCGTGATCTGTCGTAGGCGGTGGAAAGGATCTGGTGGCAGGATGGAAAAATGAGTGTCGTGTTCATGGAAATTCAAGATGGCTTACGTTCATCGCAACCTTCGTCAGTTCAGGACGAACTTGACGGAGTTGCTTATGATACAAGTTCTGAAAGAGGAAGCAAATTACATTGTCCAATAGCCTTTCATATACGCTATAATCGCGGATAGTTAAAATAAATTCTTGAAACCAAGATACGTATGTTGTTCCCCCTTGAGGGTTTGCGCTGCTTTCCAAACTATCAATGAACGACTGATTGTCTTTGATAGACTCAAAGACCGTTAAGGAGGCCTCTGGACCATCTCCACTCCAAAGATCGTTCCCAAGACGTTTCATTAGAAGGATGAAGCATTTAAACACCTCCTTGAAGCCTGGTACGATTCAGTGAGTAGCTTACAAGAGATGATGCAACGGGACTCACACGAACTGCTGTCGTGGAGGTGGCTAAAAATTGCCCCGCGTATTTGAAGTGATTGCCCTACGTTTGATTTCAACCATTCCGGAGGGATAAGTCGCAGGGCAGCACCAACACCGGACCATAGGTCTGGTCCTTGTGCAAGTGGAAGAGGAGAAAGGCTGTTCGACGAGGACGAATTCCCGGTCTGTAAAGCCAAAGAAATAGCATCTATTGCTTTGAGGTATGAGGATCTCGAGAAACTGCTTGCTGGAATCAACTGGCTCTTTGATGCAAGGACGGTGGCCCATCTTCGTATGCCCTCGTCGTCACTGACCAAAAAGACCAACAGCCCAGGAGGATAGAAACCATTGGGCCAGATTATAGAAAATTCTGGGGGTCGGCTTGCTTGGAGACATTGGATTAAACGAGAGTTCAAAAACATGGCCGAATTGCACATAATGCGATAGACCGTAGCTATTGACACTGATGTCGGGGAGCGTTCTATGTCCTTCAGGACTTCTTGAAGTTCCCAATTCTCAAAGGTAAGAAAGAATTGCTGCAATATATCGTCGGGAAACGCGGCCAGGAAACTAGAATGCGCAGGGGCGTAGGTTGAGAATGGCGAGTTTTTAACAGAAGACGTACGTGTCTCGAGACTCGAACTTCGCCTTTTCAAGCCCTTCAACACATGAAGAGCAACTCGATACAATCTTGTGCAATTTGGCTTTCCATTTTTCGACCGAGTCGCTTGAATACGCGAACAAACGAAGGAGGAAGGTCGCTGCACTGTTTGTGAGGTCGCCGGCCTGGCCACAGAGCCAGTGAACTTCGCCAGAGGAGTTCGCGGGTCTGTTCATAAGGTACAGGTATATCTCCTGTAGTTGGCCATCTGACACTCCCGACGTGTCTGGAGGATTGTCGCGAAAGGTGGCAAGCAGTTTCTTGACATGGGATGTCGAGTCCGACATAGGTAGAGTCAGGTTGAGTGAGTATAGTCGTCGGCTTAGATGAGTAGACGAAGGAAGGAATTAAAATTTTCGTAGCAGGGTTAGATTCATGGCAGACAAGAACCAGTCAAAGGGTGGTCCGGTGGCAGAGTCGTTGCATAAGTTGGACGCGACTCAATTCACAGAGCACGTGAATGCAATTTAGTCATACGTTCAGGTTGTCACTCTCATCTTTCCTTCCCCCACTTCCAGAGAAATCTTCGGCCGACAAACGTTCCTGTCTACTACCCGGACACTAGAGAAAATGGACTCTGATCAAGTCGAGAAAATTAACGGTCTGCTCGAACGCGATGTAGAACTACGCGAGGTGATCCCTACAGTTCATTCTTTTCTTGGCATGCCAGTGCCCACTCAATTTTAGAACATTAAAGATCAAGTCAACGAACTGGATAAGAAAACACGTACAATGGTTGGTCTACTGAACAAAATACACTCCACACCTCCCGATGCATGTTAGTCCGGAGTTCACCTCGACCCATTTCGCTGTTGACATGATTCCGACTCCTGCGTCAGTGCCTGCGCTCTTGGAATCTGTGCGTCCGACACTGCTAAGCTGCCGAGACGTCACCGGTGCTCTATCTACAATCATTCCCCCGAATCAATTCTGGCGGTGGAAAGACATGTGGTCCAATTCCATGAGGACTGCAGTTTTTGCTGCAGCCTTGATCGAGTATCTGTCGAATCGCGCTCTCCTTTCACTCTCTCAAGCCGCCGAATTGCTCGGGAGTACGAATCGACACTTTTTTCAAGAATTATCTAATGAGCCTCCTTATCATTGAAGTCAAAGAAGAGTTCAGCGATCGCATGACATTGCCTGTTGAAGACTACCTCCACAGCCTAATAAGTCTGGTGAACGAGCTGGTCAGTCCCCTCGTTTCCTCTTCCTTGTCGGGGACCTAAGGAACCAGGGAAGTCGAGATTAGCCGTCAATGCAGTCACGCTAGGCAATTTTGAAGAACCGATTCGAATCTCCATGTTTGTCAAAGACCTCTTTGCGGGGTTCTCAATGGTAGGATTCTTGTGATTACCGCCGCTCACAGCTCAAATGCAAACAGTTGAACCTTAAAAACGACACACTCCGTCGCCGATACGATAGCCTCAAATATGACATCAAGAAAATAGAAGAAGGTGTGTGCTTGCTTAGGCGATAACCTCAGTCCAATTACTGATGCCTCGATTCGCAGTTGTATATGATGTTTCTCTTCGTAAACTGGCGTCCCCTTCTCCTCGCCCTTCCTAAGTATGCACGCCCCCCCTGGTACTCGTGCACACCCACCATCATTCGCTTCCCATTCCCGGAATGTTGGGCGCCGGGTCGTGATAAGCAAGGATCGGAGGGCATCGAACTACTCATACTCTCGGTTCTCGTCTGGTTATATTCATTGGAACTTTGTTTTCTTTTTTATCTTCCATCTCTAAAGACGGCTCTCGTCTCCTCTACGAGACAAAAGATTTCATGGCCATAAGAAATCCAGATGCTTATAGTCAACATCTCGTGTCCAGTGGACTACGTATGTGGCCTGAGTGTATATGGTCTCGTAAACAATAATATAGACATGTTTCATTCCTCCTCGTGTCCTATCTTGTTGTACTGATGGTATCGAGCCTCATCGATTTGGTGTTATTCGAGCTGTTCATCTCGTGTAATGGTTGAAAATTGAAGGAAACGCAAATGTGGTGACGGACATTATAAATTAGTCCGAGTCGGAGTTCAAAATGGTTTATTGAAGTGCATCATCCTCTTTCGATCCGCTACCAACAAATTAGGTGGTTCTGCGCTCCTCTGAGGGCGCATATGCCTCGTTTGCCCTTGTATTTCTAGGGTCGAGCACTTCCATCTGCCATGGACAGCAGGCGACGCGGCGTCCCTCAGCAACGCGTTGCATCAAGTGAAGGTAAGTCCCAGCCTGCGTTTAAACTAGTTTATTCATTCAACGTTCGACGTTCAGAAATCGAATGTTGGTCACATGCGACGCAATCATTAAATGAGCTGGCCAGCATTTATGTCAATTCCGCTACTCAAGACACAATAAGTCGCGTAAATAGACTGATATCGGTTTGGCCGATCGATGACACCCTGCCTGCGGAAGGACTGGGTACTTTGAAGACCGTCCAAGGCAAATTAACCTCTGGCCTTACAGATATTATAGAAAATGCGGGCAAGGAGATCAAGTAAGAGCAAGATCTCTCCTTTTTTTTTGTTCTACTGATGTTTGAAATTTAGAGCAATTGACGACGTAATCGAGCGCATAAGCGTCCTTATTGCCCTTCGCAAGGCGCCTGAAGCCTTACAATCTGGTATGATTTTACGAAAACGTGTCTTCAACTTGAGTCTAAATATTACTCCAGCAGAGAAGCGCAATAAACGACCAAGAGCACCATCTCCGTCCGGGACTCCCATTCCCTCAGGTGCTGCCGGGGCACGACCTGTCTCTATCATGGTTCCGCCACGAACGAGCTCCGTAGGGCCTGGAGCGCATGGGCGAGAGTCAAGGGCGAAGAAAGACTCAACACCCAAACAGCAGCCATTGCAACCAGGGCGAAAGGTCGTATTCAGACCTCCTCCAAGTTCCGACCAAGAAGAAAGTACCTGGATAATGGCTATCGTCACGCGTTTTCTTGGCCCAGATAAACATGGGGGCAAGTACGAAGTACAAGATGCTGAACCACAAGATGACGGTCAGCCTGGAGCGTAAGGGTGTTTCCAACATTCCTGGGAGGAAGATACTAACACTGTTTTTAGCACATACATCGCCACTCTGAAGACGATCCTTCCACTTCCTGACCCTGATGCACCTACAGGCAGCCCAAGCCACCTTAGCCACTATCCTGAATTCCCTGTTGGCGCCACGGTAATGGCTCTCTATCCGGACACAAGTTGTTTCTACCGTGCCGAAGTTATCGCAACTCGAGCAGCCGACCGCGTAAGTTACTGACCGCTCTTGCTATTTTCCAACATACTGAAATCCTCGTCTAGTCATCTCCATCATCCAGAACGCCTATGTACAAAGTCAAATTCGAAGACGATGACGACATGGAACATGCTGTACCAGCTTACTGGGTGGTTGAATTCCCAACACAACAGTGACATGGATGAACGCGCTCCCGCAAAAAATTGACGACATCTCGACGACTATTTAGTTCTATCTGTATCAAAGTATCTGGATTTACTCTCATTTCTCTGTATAATTGTAGACCATTTTGTAGTATTTGAAACTCGACGCATCCCTGGAATTATCTGTCCCATGTCCTGTTCATTCAATTGACTTGCACTTCACACGGATGGATTTAGATAAGATAAGATAAACGCGTCCTCCATCTTACATTCAACGTTGCCCTCAATCTCACTCACTTGCCGCATTCTCTTGCATTCAAGGTTCTACGACGTTTTTCAAAACATGACCTTTATGTGCTTCCGCAGTATGTGCGCCCTCAACAGGGGCTCCGTTGATCATCATGGACGAAGTTTACCAACTTCATGTTCCTAATAGTTTCTAATTGACACAATAAGCTACCAAGGTGTCTACACTTTATAATTACCACCGATTCCTGAGACTGTGAGTCTCCTTGGGCTGCTATGACTATTCTGGATGACGATGAGTTCGCGTCAGCAGGTGGGAGAGCCCACCCTGACCCCCATGTGGTTTTAGTCGTTTGTCCTACCTGTAATACCTCTTGGAAGGGCTCTGCAGGTCGGGGAAAGTCCGCTGGCAGTGGTTAGGGGTAACGCAACGGTGATGGATGAGGTGTTTGGGGTTACTTAGAGTAGTCGTAGCTTGTACCTCTACGTACCTACGAACCGGTCGTACCCTCATTGGGACCTCCCCGGGAATTCTATCTTCCTTCCTCCTTCCTTCCTTCCTTCCTTCCTTTGACTGACTTTCTGACGCTGCAAGCTGACATATAAGGTTCACCATCGAATTTTCTAGGATATCCTCGACGTCATCCTGCTTCCCCCAGCTGACTCGATGATGACCTCGAGACGGATCTAGAACTTTCTGGTGCATAATGCTGCAACATATATAAGCCCCTCCTGAGTTTCGTTCCCTTCAAGTCTCTTCATCCTCAACGCAATGTCTCTCGCTCGTCAATTCTTCCGCGAAATGCGCCCTCTCTTCCGAATGGTGGAGGAGCCCTTGTCCCGCCCTCCTGCTTATTACCCACTCAGTCGGCGAATCGACCCTTTCGAGAACTTCTTCGCTGACGCTCGGCCTGCCATTGATATCCACGACCAGGGGGACAAATATGTTGTAGATGCTGATCTTCCTGGAGTCAAAAAGGAGGACATTCAAGTCCGTGTCGGTGAAGATGGTCGGAGCATCACTATCGAAGGCCAGGTGGTCGAAACCAATCGCCTAACTACGTCACCTGTTCAAACGGAGAATACTTCAGAAGGCCTACAAGGTGAGGTGAAATATTTTTTACTGCGCTAATTCTGTCCGTATTAACGTCTGCTTAGCTGGTGGAGACGCCACCACCGTGACCAAGACGGACGACACGAGCACACAGATATCCTCCGAACGCCAGTTCACTCGAAATACTTCCTTCGCGAGGACTGTCTGGTTGCCGCGTCCCATTGACGCTAGCAATGTGTCCGCCAAATTAAACGACGGTGTCCTGAGCATCACCATAAACAAAGCGGTGGAGAAGCTGGGTACTACCATTCCCATCGAGGACTAATTGGCCTGTTCGTAGCCAAAAATACAATTAGCGCCCTTCTCAAGCCCAGCCGATCTATGTAATATAGCTTACACTCCCCATCCTCTTGTTACACTCTCTTATGCATTAATTTTGTATTCCAAGACACCCTAAAACATTTTGTATCTTACTAGACTTTGGTGACGACTACGCGTTGGTTGTGTAACGGAGGTGAGGATCAACGTGACCGTGAAGGACGTTGTCAAAATCCCACATGTCCCGGACAGTTGCAGGCAATATTCAAGGACGCCCTCACTTCTTGACCACAGCCCCACACGTCCCAATTTCCGCACCCTTTTCCCGCACCCTCAACCCTAGCTACTCTACCATCTGTCGGTCCTCTTTCCAACGCCCGATGTCCTCCTTCGTCCCCGATGTCCCTCCTCCTTTCCTGCCACATTCAGTAACACATCCCTACGAGTCCGACGTCGAAGCTGACCTCGAGGTCGACCAGCTGGACTCCGACACCGATCCCGAGGACCAGCGGGACCCTGCAAAGGCATCCGCCGCGAAAGTCACCTCAACGAGACCTGGAGAACGCGTCCCTGGTCACACGCTATTGCCAGCTGTGCGCATAGAGAATATGATCCAAGCAGATGGTGCGATTTCATGCTTTCTGTCCGTTCCTCTCACTAAAATGATGATTTTTCAGGCGGGACTGGTCACTTAGCTTTGTCCAAAGAAGGATTGTTCATCCTTTCCACTGCGTCCGTATGTCCTCTCCACAGACTCCATGACCTCCGCCGTTCATCCTCTATCTCCAGGAAGAATTCATTAAGAGACTTATCCAAGCTGCTCACCGTGAAGCTGCCGCACATCGTAGGAACCAAATCAATTATCCTGATATGGGTTAGTTTGTTCACCCTTCTTTTTTTTTTTTTGCTCATTAACGCTGTGTTATAGCTGCAACCACCCGGCAATACCAGGAATTCATGTTCCTCAGTGGTGAGAACTTCCTATCATCTGCTATGTCTATTCATACTCATAGTTGACAACATAGAAACAATACCTCCTCCCATACCTCTGATCGACGCGCTAATGCTGAGACAAGAGAAAGAGCGAGTCCTTCTCGAAGACAACCCCGCACTGGCAGCACCTAGTCCCATCCCTTCTTGGCCCCCATCTGTCTCTGACATACCACCAAGCCAACCAACCTCCTCGACGAGCAAGCCGTCCAAGAAACCCCGACCTAGTGTAAACGGAAAAGAAAAATCCAACGGATCTCATAGCACGAGCAAACGTGGATCAAAAAGGATGGAAAGTAGCACATACCCCATGGATGACCCGCGCATCCATGCCTCCCTTGGAGGGACGGGTGGCCGGGATAGCCCCAGTGGTGCATCCGATTTTATGTCAGATCCTCCTCCAAGCCACCGCACTTCAGGTCGAAATGGAACATCGTCCCTCTCAGCTTCAGCAGTCTCGCTACACCCGCCTTCAATCAATGGCCAACCTTCTCGATCGCAAACTCCTCAGGTCTACTCGCGAGAGGGTTCTTTGGACCCAAATGCGCATGCTCAACCGCACTACCCCGCAACACACTCGGCCTCTCCCCCGCTTGAAGGGCCTGAAGAACCCGCATGGCCTCCTCAATATACTGGACCTGCGAGTGGATTCCTTCGAGGGTCCGTTGGCCCTTTTGGACGTGGTCCATCACACAACCCTGGACGCACCATATATTCGCAAAATCATCACCCAGATTGATAGATTTTACCCTACCCGCGCTGTAATATTGATATCATTGCTGTCTTCTCTCTCGTTCTTACACAAAACCCGATAATAGTAAATTATTTCGTTTTCATTGCATTCGCCTGAATTGGATCTAGACTTTAAAAAGTCCATTATTGATAAGATTAGATGCGTCGACTAGAGACAATTGACATAAACAACTTGGGTAATACTTAGCATCCACCACGGGCGACGTATTTATTGAGCCTTGCTTTCCGAAGAGCCGACGCAAAGTTAACCTCTTCACATCCTTCCACTTCTGTCAATCATGCCCGCGACTCTGGATCAGCTACCGATCATCGACATTGCACCTCTGTTAAGCTCTGACCCACTGGATGCGGACAAACGAGCGGCAACATCTGCCGCGTTACACTCTGCCTGCGTCGAATATGGATTCTTTTATCTGAAGATCGATGCGTTTGTCGATCTTTCAGAGCCAGCGGAACTTGCGCTCTTGGGCCGACAGTTCTTTGGACTTCCCCAAGAGGAGAAGGACAAGCTCGCTTTAAAGAATCAAGACAATGCACGTGGTGAGCATGGGGTAGCAATTCAAATTTATCTCTGCTGAACAGATTTACTTTTACTGTCAGGCTACCAGAAGCTAAAACAGAATGTGACCAACGGGAAAGCAGACAACCATGAAGGGCTTGACTTCTACAAGCCGGTCAAGAATCCCGACAAGGCGAAGCCTGTTTGGGGTGAAAACCAATGGCCAACGGTCCCCAGCTTCAGAGAGAAATACGAACACTGGATAGAGAAAATGAAGAAGTTGGGCTTGATCGTAATGGAGGCGTAGGTTTTTTTTACTCCCTCCGTGGGCCCATACCTGCAACGGCTTCCAGAATGTCAGCTGGCCTTGGAATGACCCGCGAAGAATGGACAGAACTTCGTAATCAAGTGGACGATAGTTTCTGGGTTATGCGTGTGATAGGCTGGTATCATTACTGTTGAATGTCAGGAATGTAAATCAAGGATGTTTGCACAGGATACCCACCGCTTCCAGATGATCACGACGGCATTTCTTGCGGTGCCCACAAGTGAGCTACATTCATGACATGGCACATTGGGCGCAGCTTACTGTTCTTATTTTAGGGACTACGGCTGCCTCACGTACGTGCACCAGCAAGCCTGGATACAAAAATTTCTTGATAATTCGTAGGTTCCTGTATGCAGATCCCACCCCGGACGCCCTGCAAGTTTTCCTTGACCGCCCTGGAATGGAGCAAGCAAATCAGTCTGGACTCCCGGCAGAGCAAGGGAACGAGGCTGGCATTTGGATCTCGGCGGATCCAATCCCTGGGTGCGTAGTGTGCAACATTGGGGAGAGTACGTGTTTTTTCTTCAAAGCAAGGGAACTACTGGCTCATCCCACTTCAAGTGTGGGAGGTATGGACAAATGGCTTGTATCGGTCCACACTCCATCGCGTGGTGCACAGAGGGTCCAATTACCGGTCAGTCAAAAAATTATCCTTTGCATGTGAGTACACTGACATACTCCGTAGGATTTCGTCAGTACTAGGGTCCTTCGTTTCTGAGAATCTTACTGACTGCACCTCAGAATACCGTTCTTCTTTGAGCCCAACTTCGATGCTTTGGTGAAACCACTGGCGGCCGTCGTGAGGGCTGAAAAGCAGAGTAGCGACCCGAAACAACTAAAGAAGCCAGTTGTTTATGGTGAATTTTTGGTGGGCAAGGTGGGGAATAACTTCTCTGAAGATGCGAGGGGAAAATATGACTAGGGAATCATGTGTCGCGGCTAACGCTTTAGAATAATTTGTTCAATGTCGATGGGCCTTGGTGAGTGCAAGATGAGAGTCGGAGATGAACACTTAGGAGAAGTCTTGACTCGGAGTTTTCTCAATTCCTGTAGTACACGTGATCGATGCCCATCTCAATATGACGGTTTTCCAGTTGACTCGAATAACTCTCCATCGATTCCTCCAAAGATCACCGATATCGAGTTGCACTCGAAAAATGTCGTTCCAAGCAGCCGTCTCCAGTTTGCGTTCCCCCATTAAAGAGCTGGTTCTTTCAGTATCAAAAGATGGTCAAGAACTTATCGGGAACGACGACGCCGACAAGAAGGAAGTTATTGGATGGATAGAGAAAACCAGTCAAGGCACTCTGGCCACGAAGAATAACCTGAAGGTCCGTGTGTAGTGCAATTGCGCGTCCTTCGACACTGAGTGGACGCAAGCAGGTCCTTGACAGCATTTTGGTGCCAAAGACCTACGTCGCAACGAACTACCTCACTGCCGCTGATGTCGCGTTGTATGGCGCTTTGCACCCAATTGTCGTATGTGCGCCTTGGACGGGCTTCACTGTACATTTCTAGAAGCACTGACACATGAATTGCCGCAGAAAAAGCTCCAATCTTCCGAATATTACGCTGTGCCCTCAGTAACGAGGTATTTCGACCACATCCAGTCGGCACCGACAGTACGGGCCTCTGCAGATACCCTTGGAGACGAATTTTCACTGCTTCCTTTTGACATTGACAACGCTCCCAAAGCCGAGAGGAACGCGGAACCCCCTAAGAAGAAGGAGAAAGCACCAAAAGCCCCTGCACCCGAGAAAGAGACGCCGGCCCAAACGCCCGGAACCGCAACCCCTGCTGAAGTGTCATCATCGTCCGCACCCACAGACAAACTGCAAAAGAAGGATAAGAAGGAGAAAAAGAAAGAGACGCAGCCAGAGGCTAGCGGCAGCAAGAAGTCTGGCGGCAAGGCGCAGGCTTCGGATGATGGGGAACCAGTCCCCTCCATGATCGATCTTCGCGTTGGACATATTGTTGATGGTATTGGGGCACATTTTTTCTACTATCGAGTTGTGCTGACTGTGCCCTTTCTTCTACCAGTGATCAAGCACCCAGATGCTGACGGCCTTTACATCGAGGCATGTGCCACTGCCAGGTTTCCGAAGAAATTGTTCTGACCGACCCGTAGCAAATTGACCTCGGCGAAGAAACGGGTCCCCGTACTGTTGTTTCCGGACTCGTAAACTACATCCCGATTGAACAGATGCGAAACAAATATCTCGTCGCTGTGGTATGTCGCAGTTTGGCTTTAATCGTTGTCGATCTAACAGCATTTGGCCACGATAGTGCAATTTGAAACCGGCCAATATGCGTGGTGTCAAGAGCTTTGCCATGGTGCTAGCTGTATGTTATTAACGCCACCCGCACACCTGCTGTTTTGTTGATGGCTGTTCTCCTCAGGCAACATCTAAGGAGGGCAAAGAGGAAGGTATAGAGCTAATACAACCACCGGCAGGATCCAAACCAGGAGATCGAGTTTACTTTGAAGGCGAAGAATTTGAAAGTGTGTCCACTTTTCCTTGCGTTGACAACGAGCTCATGGCCCATTTTCAGGTGCCGCCCCTTTGTCCCAGCTTAATCCTAAGAAGAAAATATTCGAGACCATACAACCTGGTTGGTTACTCAATTCCGTTGCCGAAGCACTCTTGTGAATATTCCTTATAGGTTTTATTACCCTCGAATCTCGAGAGGCTGCTTGGGTAAATCCTGTGTCGAAGAGTGTCCACAAAATTCGTACTGCTAGAGGAGTCTGCATTGCTCCATCACTTGTTGGCGCATCTCTATCTTAATGTTTGTGACATAGTTAGATTAGAAATACATGGTCCACAGCGGCCTGAAGATGGGCAAATAGTATATAGGAATAGGCACTAGAATTCAGCGCACCGTTGATTCCTGTTGGGCAGTAAGCGCGGGGACCTCCAGGCAGGGAAAGAAGCGGCACTCACCGTTGGCAGCATCAATACAGACCAGATCATGGCTTTTGCAGTTGTATTCGCACAATTCAGGGATATGATTAGAGTCGATCAGCCTGATGAGCCCGTCTTGCCCTCGGACCAGGTTTGCCCTGCAAATGTCGTGGTGATGGATGCCGGCTTTATGCAGCTGGCCAACTACAAATGTGAGGTGTGCCTGAGAAAGATCCAATGTCAGACAGGCTTTTCAGATTGTCATTGAGCTGCAGGGGTCGCCAATCGGATGGTGAGGGGACCTTGCGGAGGCACCCCTTTGAAACTGAGCAACAGCCCACGAAAACCCATCCCCATCGTGAGCTCACCAAGAGAGCGCGAGGCAAAGCGAGGAGAGATGCCCTGGAGCTTTTGGTATACCTTTCTCTCTCTCTCTCCCTATGGTGGCTCTCAAGGTCGAAGGAGATTTAAAGAGCGAGATGCACCGTTCTGTTGACCAAAGCAAGAACGGACCTAGAGTGTGCAAGAACATCAAAATACAACTATTCGAAAGAAGCTGACAGCAGCACTGTTGGACTTACAGTTAAAACAAGGAGGTGCAATGGACTGATTGAGTGTAACTCACCTCTTTGTTGTCCACCGCCGCTGGCCACATTCACCAAATGTCATTACGGTCGTCCTTCCTGCAAACCACAGCCAAATGCATGAATACCCGAGGACCCACTGCGGAAACAAGGCGGTCCAGTGAGGCTGCAGCATTATAAGCTGTCACTGGATAATCTCTACAGCATGCCCAGATCTCGGAGCAGCAGACTGCTCACTAGCATCTGCCAAACCGCGAGCTCCGTGGGGAGTGCTAGTGACGCCCGGTTGCCCATCACCTGGACATCCCGAACAACCCAAACCACGCGGGGTAAGAAAAATGGCTTTGATATTTGGTGCTCTGGAGCTGCTAGGTGCACCGACCGCGGCGGGGATCCCGAGAGAGGGATACGAAGGCCATCGGCGAGATCCCGTGCCGTCGTGGTGCGAGCACCATTGACAGTCAAGGCAATCAAGGCATCGGTATGCAGGGCGGCGGTAAACACAGCTAGTTGACTACTGGGGTCAATGAGACATAAGTGACTAGCGCTGACAGTTCGATCATGGTGGCTGTGCAAAATATTTGGTCTGACAGGTAACAACTTGAAGGCAACTCTTTATTTCGTTTTCTTGTTCCTTAACGCGTCCTGTTGCATGGGTCCATAGCCATGATTCTTCGACCCCCAGTTCCTCATTTTGCGCGCTGTTTCACCTCTACCGCCCATGTCTGCAAGAAATTTTCAATTATTGGACGCGAACCTATCAAAATCCCTACCTCCGTTACAATAACTCCCTCCCCGACTGCAGTGACGGTAACTGGACCGTTGGGAACAACTTCCGTTCCGCTGAAGACATACATGAAGATTCAGTGCCCAGTTCCGGAAACGATGAGGCTGAGCGTAGAAGATGGCTCAGAGAAATTGCAAAGGCAAATGTGGGGCACTACACGAACTCTCATTGCGAACGCTATCACCGGCATGACAGAAGGCTTCAGCGTTCCCCTATATCTGGTTGGCGTTGGTTACAGAGTGGCAATGGAGGAGGATCCTAGAGGGACGTCCGAGGGTGGGACTGGGAAGAGGCTGAGCATGAAGGTCGGCTATTCACACACCGTCTACGTTCCGATACCTTCCTATATCAAAGCGGAAGTGCCCTCACCGACCAAAATTGTGTTGTTCTGCACAGACAAGCATCTCCTAGGTCTGTTCGCAGCGAAGATTCGGGGATACAGGGTTCCAGAACCATACAAGGGCAAGGCAAGCCGCTTTCATTACTCTTCATTAACTGCTTTTGATGCATCACATCCAGGGTGTTTTCGTCGGAAGTGAGACTATCAGAATCAAGAGCGTGAAAAAGAAGTAGAAGGTTTTACTGCTTTGCGTTTTGTCCGTTCTCCAGGATCTTGCACCACAGATAACACCTTCAGTGTTGTTTCTTCGGATTCACCGCCAGTCATTGCAGCCATTTCAAGGAAATAAATACGAGGGGCAGATCATAAGGCATTGGCATTAGAATTAAGAGGGATGTACGTTGGATTATCGATAGATTAAAAGTAGACTATTTCTTTAGCCACGCGGGCGAAAAGCAGCGCTTTTGGCGCCTCTCTTCTTCTTCCGTTCCCCCTCAGGCGTTGGCATCACCTGGACGTCGCTGTCCTCCTTCTGGCTAACACACTCATCGGCATCCCCTTCCTCTGGAGGAGCTTTTGGCTCTTTGGCGAGACGATCCTTCTTCCAGTCACGAGAAAGTTGCCGTATCCGTTCCGCGAGGGTTTCACGCATCTCAGAGACTCTTTCGTCATGCCACACGTCCCGTCGCTCCTTGTTGGCAACGGATTTGGTTTTCTGTGACTTTGGCAACATTTAGCAAAGGTTTCGAACCACTCGAGGACGATATGATACCATGATAACTTCGCAATAGTGCTCTGGGTTGCCTACAAAGGTTTGCGCGAAGTGAACGAGATATAATCCACAATCACAGTAATTGGGTTGGACGGGAACCTACACAGCTTCAACAATGAGAATTTTTGACGAGAGGTAAAGCAAATACCGCGGCCTCTTTTCCTGTCGCTGTCGAAGCATTCTCCACACCTTTCTTGTCTTTTGCTTCCATCTTCAGATACTGTGCAAGCTTCTTGATGACTGCAGGATGACGTGTCCCAAGGGAATCGAAAGTAAAGATCCTGGTCCTAGGAAATATTCAACGACCAACAAACCTGGCGATACATAACAAAAGGGCTCACTGAGGATGGTCGCTTAGAACAACGGCCTCACCGTCAACAGGGTCAAGATCCATCGGAGTATCATCAGCCTCTGCTTTGCGTTTTCCTTTGGCTTTCGCACTTCGTTGGTAGAAGCGCGCAGGATCAACTGCGTCAGCGTTTGACCACGTCTCCTTCGGGCCGTCGTCTTCCGGTATATCAACAACCATGTTATCGAATTGTTCAGGTGGTGACAATAGTTCACGGAGCGTCTCAGATTGATTTCTGCCGTAATTGGACACTGTCGGAGATTGAGGAAACTCCAGGCTTTTGCTGCTGCTGACATAGCTCAAGTCCGACATAGGTGATGGCAGATCCTTAAAGGGTTCATTCTCGTTGGAGGGTAGTACGTAGGGTGTCGGTGGTCGGGAACGTGGCTCCTCGATGCTGCAGGAATTCTGGAAGTCGTTGAGGGTGTCTTCGACCTCGGCTTCACTAGGAGATGTGGCTTGGTCTGCTACCACTTCAGACACTGGGAGTGCGGTAGTCGGCGATATTTCATCCACTCCGGACGACGCCTCCGTTGTGGAACACTCTGCTATTGACAGTCGCGTCTGTCTCCGTGGCGGTGGGACTTCGGTCGAACTACCTCTTAGCACATGGCCTGGCTCATGGATGATAGCAAGGTACCAGTGAAACCTGCTCAAGTGAGGTGATGCCAGACAGGAGGTGATATGGCCATACCTTTCGTTTATTGGAATGATTATGTATTTTTTTGCAAATATATCTATCTTGGACGTCCATTTGCGAACACTGGCGTAGGCCTGTTCCGGGCTATTGAGGTAAGCTATGGAGATTTCGAAACCGGCAATAATGACCACCTACTTCTTATTGCTGTTCAACTTCTTGTAGAAGAAGGAATTGAATACATGAATTTGACGGGATAGTTCTTCGTTGCCCGTCTCTAGGTCTTTAAGCCATAGCCTGTCATCTGTGTTCAGATTCATGAAGAAGCGAGGAGGAGTTGCATGCACTTCAAACCGAATTCGATGAGGGTATCATTGAGGAATTCTCCTGGTGTTAATCGTGCGAGATCGCCATTAGTGATATTTACTGCACCGGGGACACCTTGGGGGTATGCTAATATCCTAAGAAAACACATGTTAAACTTCAGAGCAAGCGTGTGCAAGAGTGGCTTACACTTCGTCTTGGTCGACATCTGCGGTGGGTCTAACTTGCGCCGTTTGTCGTGACGATCGACGCACCGCCGTGTTCGCCACTGGAGGCCTGCCATTGAAATGCTGTCGGTTTGGTCAAGAGATAGGCGAGGAAGCCTGTACCTGATCGACCCTCTCTTCTTGTCATTTGCTGGATTTTCCCCAGAAACTACAATATTGGGGAAGGCACTTGATTCACGATCTGGCGTAGGAGTGTATCTGAGGTTACCAACTGTACCTTGAATGGATGAAGGATTGGAAGACCGGGAAGCACGATGGCTACTCGACATGGACTCCAGTGTTTCATCGAATGGCCCACTTCCTCGACCCGGTGCTGGTCCGAGCTTGTACCCACTCCGCTGTTTCTCGCTGTGAACAATATTGAGCTGCTGCATTCGACTGTGTTCGCTGTTGGAGTCGCGATCATGGGCAGCAACCTCCCACAACACAGAGCTATTCCTGAGTGGGGAATGAGTCTTCGATCTATGCCAACATCTTTCGACCTACAGCAAGGTCTCTAGCCGAACTTTCACGCCTTTCAGCCAGGAAACAAAATGGTCGTATCCCTTACTGTTCCACGAAGGATCTTCCGTGGCGAACCTGAGGACCATGACGCTTGGCTGAGATAGAGTCTTGAGCGTAATTTGCATAAGTTGCTCAGAGCGAAAATCGCTTGGAATTCCGCACTTGAACACTTGTCATTTCCAGACTTAGGCGGGCAGAGGATATTGGAGCTCACTTGAATGTTGTCTATGTCTGCGACATTGAAGTGAGGACGAAGCAGGGTCTTGCCCGATAGTATGGCAAATGTGTCTAGGGATTTCTGCTGAATAGTCATTCTCCGCTCACTGCTTGCGTGATGTTCCTCGCCATCCATGTATATCTTCGAAATAGGCAAGGGTTCGCCGACTGACGATAACTTTGACCTTGCCTTCGCCGAGGGCAGGACAAGTGTTGGAGAGCTCAACGTTGGTTCCGGATCCATCGGTCGCAGACCAAGTACATCCTGAAAATGTCAGCACGGCCTCCACCACAGTATCGAGACAGGACTGACCTTGCGCTTCATAGTGTTTTTCAGAGACTTTTTAGGTTTGTTAGCAGCGACTTCCTTGGCCAGATCCAGCTTTGCTACTGGTCGGTCAAATTTCTCCTTCATTTCTGCCACATGCCCGAGGCGAGGGGGGCCGGGGGAACCATCACTGGTGAAGGAGTCAATCGAATCATCCACGTCGCCCGAATATTTCTGCATGAGTTCCTTTGTCGAAGCGCCGTCAGGAACAATACCCAGAGGTCTGCTTCGTTCCTGTGATCTCCTATCTCGCGGGGGATTCGATGGGGTACCATTAGCTGACGGCCCTAAGTTGAGTTCATCCGATGCCGATGACTTTCGGGAGTGATAACTTGGGCCAGCATGCGACGCGGTATCGTCATCATATGCCTCTACGTCGACCGGTTCAGGAGCAAGGGGTGGACGGCGGACGCCTCCTGATAACCCGCTGTATCAGGCGGGACGAATAATTCGAGGGCATATGTGACATACGAGTTTTGCCTTTCCGAAGGGGCTTGTCAGGTGCGGAAAGGTGGTCCGTCTTGCGCCTCTTCTGTGGGGGTCCTTCCGCATTCGAATACGAATTCAAGCTTGCACGAACCAGAGTCCTCTCGGATGTCTGATTTCCTACAGATTTCCGATGATTGGTCCTCGCAGGTATGTCGAACGGGTTATTAACAGTAGGTCTTGTAGGGGCAGATGGCCGAAACTTCACGTTATGTCAGTGTGGTAATAGATAATCTTGTTGGAAACCAACGTTGATTGGGGGATCTATTCTCGTGGGCGGTTGCTTCCAGCTGTCACGAGAAAACGCAGTGGACAGTCAGAGGATGCCGTTGCAGCGAAAAGACGACATTACGCACACAGGTCCACCTCTAGTCGCGCTCCCAGGCACGTTTAATCCGTTCATCATGGAGATTGAGGCCCTGTCTTCCCTGCTTGCGGTCATCGAGATCAATTGCTAAGGAGTAAGGGAGGAGATGGGCATGAAGAGCGTGTTGAAGCAGGTTGGTCGGCGTGGATGATGATAACAACTCAGAAAAGGCAATTTATGGCCACCCGTCCCTGCAAGAATCAGTAGACCTTCACAGCTTCACGACTTCACGACTTCACAACTTAGGCCGGTTGGTATTCAAAATCTACTTCATCCTCTTCTCCCTGACGTATTTTCTGATCATAGTTTACCTCCTCTGTTGGAAATCTAGTACGTGTGCTGGGAAATACAAAAACAGCGAGAGGACCAAAGACAACCATATCCCTATAGGTCATAAATAGGTTGAAGAACATGCCGTCACCGAACAACGTATAGAATGAATGAATTGAGGGTAGGAAGGGCAATGAGGAACTTATAGTACACTGCAGGATGGGTTAAGTACAAAGTTCGGATGAGCTAGCTGCTAGTGAAGATTGACGTGACATTGCGGTCATGATGGGTAATGCAAGGGATGTGTAGCACCAACGTAGATGTGGACGTGAAGGTCGTCATTAAAGGGCGGTCGAGGCTGGTCAACAACCATCGTAGAGAGAATTCCGCGGAAAGGTATAATTCGCGAATTTCCATTCCGTAAGATTGGGGTTCATATATGCGTTGATGTGTCTGTGATGTATTTTGAGAAATAGAAATAGAATGAAAGGAAATACAATACCTTGAAATGTAATCCGAAGTTGGCATGCTTGGCGGGTTGCAAGTAATGCCATCCTTGACTCCTCGTCTTTGGTATATCCGCACATAGTCAATGTACATTGAGACGGGGAAAGTCAAATGTTGGAAATCCGGTCGCTGAAATGAAGGTGACATCCCGAGGTTGAGGATAACATACTGCCCAACCGGAGATGAGAGTTAGAAAGAGGATGAGACGAGGGACATACCATCGGTTCCTCCGAAATAAGCCTTCCACTGATCCGGGCTTCTGTATCTGGCCCAACAGAGGCAGAAGTAGCCGTCCACGTTGGTTGTCCGTCATAATACCATGTAATATAGCCGTCATCCCGGTTGTGTCGGTCAGACCAATATTCGAATCCATATGGTGCATATTCATTGCCACCATAAAAGCGATTATCGATGTAGGTAACGCCCGACGCAGCTTGTTGAAATGGACCACCCTTGTAACTGTTGATATGCGTAATCGTCGAGTTGTAAACCGTCGTCGCGGGAGAGGTATCATCCCAGTTGTAGCCTATATCGTAGGGAGCCACTTGGAAGCTTTGAGAGACTTCGCCTTGCATCCTGTCCGTATCGATTTGCGTCTCGATAATATCGATTTCTGGCACACCCCTGCCAACATTTACCGCTGGTCCAGGGTGATCCCCGCCAGGACAAGTACAAGCAGACAGTTTTTGGCCTGGCTGAAAGCTCAACCCAAGTGCTGCAGCTGGTTGATCATCCCTAGTCGTCTGGTTGGGAAATGTTCCGACGTCACACGAATCATAGCTATACGGCCACATTCCTTGAGTAGTTGCACCGTAACCTGCGCGTCCCTAAAACGTCCCTTAGCAACCGCGGAAATGAAAGCAGCCTCGTTCATACGCACCAGGTTTCCCAATGTCCATGCACCTATTTGACGTAAATTCTTGCTCGATATTGGAGAAAACCATAAAGCTTACCAGGCCATAATCCAGGAGCTCTTGGGCTACCAGGCATGCTGATGGAGACCTCAATATACCCGGTGTTAAAACATAGCTTATTCCAAGAAGTAAGCATCCCTTGCAGAAGAGCTGCGTCAGCAGTGGCGACATCCCGCTGGAAACAATCCTTACCGCTCTCGAAGTTCAGGTCATGAGATCTTTTCTCGGACATGGTTAAGACCAGTTTCCCTCCTTGTGTGGTTATGGCCTACAAAGGTTTGTCGATCCCTAGTCGGATCAAACTATAGGGTCAGAACGTACCGATGGATCATACCACTCAACATCGCCAGTTGGCCTAAATGATGTTAGTGAATGAAAGTGAAGAGGCGGGAGTCGCACACACCAGTAGTGAATGTCTGCAGCCTCCCAGAATGGATCATCCCCTGGATAGAATGTCCGCCCGTCTGTGTTGAATTCGTCGCTGAAGACCAGATCATAAACCTTTCCATCCCATCCTACTCGTGTAAGAGCAGAATCCGGTGTATCGTTGTCGATCAAGAGAGGAAAGTTCTGGAAAGCCGGTATTTGTCCAGTTCCATTAATTCCACCGAGGTTGAACCCAGCGAAGGGTGGAGGAAGATGAGTGTAATGCCAAAGGACTGGGTATCCCAGAAAGAGGGCGAGAAGTCCTACAATCAGCACGAAGACCCCTCCAACATTTACCCACCCTCTTGGAGATATTAGTGTAAAGCTGTAGTCGTTACGAGGATCGGGATTGTGAAGAGCGTCATCGAGGTCCGGATCTTTATCCCATAAATATTGTGGCACAGTTGTCGTCGTTTGTGGCGCGTATGTCGGCACCTTTTCGCGTGTCGGGGCGGTCGTCACTGATGTATCCGAAGGATTTGTACTAAATCGTGAGCCATTGTACGCGCCCGTTTGTCGCGCCTCCTCGGGGTGGTACTAGTTTAAATTGGCCTGGTTGATGCGATGGTCCTGAGGTGACTCAAAAAGTACATACCGAATATGGTCCATATCCCGCTCCGATACTGCCTGTCGCAACCCCTGTCACTACTGCATTCCGCGAGTATTGCACTTGTTGCCGACTATTTCGATTACTGCTGTTCGCTGAAGATGATCGAACTGGGCGCGGGCCGCCTACATAAGGCTGTGGTTGCTGTTGCTGTTGCTGGTGCTGGTGCCCATACAGATTACCACGAGGCGGACTTTGGGGGACAGCAGCATACTGGGGAGTTGGTTGGTATACTTGTCTGCGGGATGGACGAGACATGCAGGTGAAAGAAAGAAGAGCAATTGCCGTGAAAAGTCCTGGCCTAGAGGACTCCAACTTGGGAGCCGGGCTCAGGGTCACCGCTTCTCACGCATGCCATCAAACAAACGCACTCCTCGAATCCCAGGGCGGCCATGTTTTCCCCTCTACTCCCTCGATCATCTAATCCCATCCCCGTCTTCCTTGCTCTGGGGTGCCAATCGCCCGCAGCTCTCGTCTGAATTCAGCGCAGCAACACAGGCATGAAGCTGGTACTGGGCTCGGGCGGCCTTTATTTATGTAGTACACGGAGCCTGAGGCCGCAGTTGCCTGTCCACCAGATCAGCTTCTACTCCAAAAAATCCACCAATGGCCCGCAGCAGAACCCACTTGCGTACGTGAAGCTACCTAAAAGCGTTCGTGAGCCTACCAGAGGCTGCTGTGACCTTGGCCGTTAGAGCTACATGGCGTATGGAGGGTTGGGATGAAGCACCAAGAACGCATGGTTGGATCCCAAGCTCACTTGCGTAGTCTCCGCCCTCCCTCCGTACGAGAGAGAGAGATGGAGTGGCAGTGCGCATTGGCGTACGAGGCGGTGGTCGACGTTGAAAACGCGTGGTATTGAGTCGGGAGCTTTTCCTTTCCAGTGATCGACGTTGCATCATTTCCCCATAAGGCTATTCCTCTTCGTGACGGCCGTCTCGGGGTACATTGTTGGCCTCCAAAAACATGCAAGCACGATTCCGCATAGAATTTTGAAATGTACAAAGAGATCGCTAGTCAGTGCGACACAAGTCATTCCAGTCTTCTTGACTGATTTTCCCTCTACAGGTCTCTGATGAGTCGCCATCCCTGGCAGCTCAAACAGTGGACGGGTTCACGGCGACATATCCACCGTCTATCACAATCTCCTGGCCGTTCACATATCCGCCTGCCCGCGAGGCGAGATAAACGACCGTTCCAGCCATTTCCTGGCCTCTGTTGCAAGATATGGTTTGGTCGTCGAACTCCAAGCAGATGGAAGGAAAGCACTCACGTTCCTGCCCTCTTCATCGGAACAGGTTGAAGGCCTTTTCCAATCGCGTCCACCTGCTCTGGCGCTACCTCCGGCACAGTCATCTCTGACGCGTATACTCCTGGTGCAATCGCATTCACGCGCACCGGAATGCTCTTCACTGCGAGCTCCGTGGCGAACATCTTGGTAAGATGCGAGGCTGCTGCTTTGGCGCTGTTATAACAGAACTAAATAGGAATTACAGTAAATGAGTGCACGATCGACGAGAAATATTCGGTACACACATGGTCCTGAGCAACCCTGATAACACCACTGATGCTAGTGATGTTGATCACACTTGACCAGAAATCCTGCACGTCCTGCGATCCCTTCGCGAGCAGTCCGAGGAATGCAGTCGTTACGAAGAATATTGACGCCGAATTGATTTTGTAGAGGTCGGCCCATCCTTCAAGGCTCTCGTTGTTGAACAAAGCTGCCCCGAGAGTCTCCGCGTCCTTGTTCTCTGGTGCTTGTGGATTCCCAAGGAAAGGTGAAGCAGGACCAACTTGACCTGCGCTGTATTTAATCAGCATGGCGGTGTTTCATCTCCAAGGAAGACGCAGATGCCGTACTTATTTACAAGGACGTGGATTCTTCCTTCCTTCTCTGCGAGGAGTTCTTTAGTCTTGGCTATACTCGTCTTGTCCGTCACATCCATCTGGAGTCTATGAAGTGTCGCGACCTCTCACATTAAATGCCGTAGGCAACCATAAAATTAGACATACGGTACGATCTCCCCTCCTATCTGTTTATCCCAGCCCACAGCGACCTTCTCTAAGACCTCGAGGCGGCGTCCTGTAATGTACACCTTCGCTCCAGCTGCTGCTAGCCCCTGTGCGATCATTAAGCCGATGCCGGTCCCGCCTCCTGTGACCACGGCGATGCGGCCTGTGAGATCGCTTGAAACTGAGGGGCGGTAGGACTGGGGAGAGAAGGCCATGGCGATGTGCGCGCAATGCGATAAGAGATGTCCTTGATAATAATTCGAGGGAGAGGAAGGGTACACAGGTTCTGTTCATTTCGGGCGGCCCGGAGAAGGAAACGGCCCGAGGTGAGTGTCGCGTCGCACATGACTGACGCGTCGCGTGGTCCCAAGCTTCGAACACCTTTAACTTTAAGGAAGAATCGGACATGAACTCCATATACACATAATTTCATATTGCCATAAGGGTTGAAATAAAAACAAGATATGATACAACTTGGAGAAGGAAGCAACAGATAATCTACAAATACAACGGCCGAAGTAAATACAGAAGACAGGAAAGCAGCACGAGGAGAAGCATATGAGACACCCAACTAGAAGCCTTATACGCGGCTTGAGTAGTACGGTAAATTAGCCTGGTCGATACGGTAATAATGTCTGTGGGAGTCCTGAGCAGTCGTGCGACTGGTGGATCCTGTTCTGCGCTTCACCCTGACAGACTTCGCCCGCGTATTCACATTTAGCACTTGTTCTGGCGCACGGGGTCTCTTGAGGATAATCTCCATAAGCTTTGGAAGAGATTGTACCATAGGCTGGACCATACGGGGATCGTACCAGCCATAGTTCGTGTGAACGGAGCGCAGGGTCGGAGGGAGGGAGTAAACGTAGAAGAAGGATTTCAGACTGGGGAAAGCGTGATAAGAGTGGCCCAGATCAACCAGGCGGAGGGTCGTGAGGCGTGGTGTCGAGATAAGTGTGACGAGGTGTGCGAGCTCGAAGGGAATGTCAGATCCGTCGACGCTCAATTGCAGATGAGCGAGTGATGAGAGTTTGGCGCGTTTGGTAACATGATCGCGACGCGAGGGCAGACGCGCAACCTGTCCTCGAGGAAAGAGGACGCAGAGTTCAACCAAACGGTGGCAGATTGTGAGGATTGAGATGACGTCGTGGACTGCTTGGTGACCACTTGTAAATCCATGATGGGTATAGTCGAGGAAGGTCAGGTTGCCGAACAACGTCCGTGTCCACACCAATCTTATCCCATCCACCGTTACTCGACGCAGGCGAGGAGCCTGTTCTGAGAAGAGAAGAAACTTCTGGGTATCATCGTTGAGGCGATATATGAGGGACAGCGCCTCCAGCGCTGGTGCTGGGGAGTAGAAGCCAGCTAATGTCGCACGCCACAGGTAGGGTGAATACTCCGTGTACACGATCTCGAGCGAACGCCATTTGACGATGTGTGGAAGCGCGATATGCATGTACCATTGTACGGTGTATGGGTTGAGCTCTTGAGAGCGACGGATGCCCCCAGCGATTGTCCGCCAGGGCAGCAATTCGATGTCGAGAGTGCACGCTCTCGCTCGATGGATCCTATGCCTCCACATGTACTCATGGGGGGTAAGTGTGATGCGACGCCACAGTGACGGCGTATGCAGAGCAATTTGACGCCAAGTTCTGCAGACGTGGGACACCGCGATGGGAAGGTAGGAGTCATCTTCCGAACCGATCACGAAGATGAGGCTGAGGATCTCGACAGGGAGTCGATGGATGAAATGTAGGCGGGGCGGGGCATGATAAATGGGTGGGGGAACACGTCGTAACTGGTGTGGGCGACTGATGACTGGCGGTCGTACCGGTGGAAGGGAAGGAGGGGGAACGATAACTGGGTGGACGAAGGGCAGAGGCGGTTGGTGTCTGGGGACGCTGGACAAATTCATCGATATCGGGAGCAATCCAACGATGAGTGGCAAGTGAACTTACAAGAAGTAGGAGAGCTTCGACTTTACAAAGCTCGCGAAAGAGCGACGAAGGTTGAACGCACGCCGGTGCGATCTTGGGTCTGCGTACGGCATGTGCTATCTCATGAGGAAGAACGGAGGGGGAAGGGGGAAGGCAACTAGGAAGTCGAGGGGCATTATAAGTCTCGGCGCCCTGAAATGGAGATATAAGCGAGACATCGGGAAAGCAAGAATCGGAGGAGGAACGACAGGGTTCTCCGAAATGCAAGCACAGAGCTGTGCTGCCTAAGCAGTGTGGACAATAAGAACAAAAACGAGCGAGTGCGTAGCAGGACCCACGCTCCGGTGCAAGCATTCCTGTTTGATACAGCCTGTCTTAGACACAAAGCTGACGGGAGAACGTCCTTGACTCGGAAGCGTCCTCCCAAGAGCCGACCAGAGAAGTAGTGGCAGTGCCAACGCGTCCAAAATTGGACGCGACGCGTTTGCTTACCTAACACAACTCTCCCATCCTCCCCCCACAGCGACCACACAACCACTGCCGGAGTGGGCCCTCAGACACGGAGCAGTCACGGAAGAATGGACGGCTCAGACTCACTAGACGCTCTCGCAAACATCCTTAATGACTTAGCAGAAAAGCCGTACGACGTCTCGGTGCACACACGCCACATTCAGTTGGCTCAGTCCTTCGAGGGCTTGGAAGCTGAGGCCCTGTCAGCGCGGGAGATGATGACGCAGCTTCTAGCTGCCGGAAATGATGTGTGGCTGCCGCTGCTGGAGGCGAAGGAGCAGACCGTCAATCTTGACACCGCGGACGGCGTCCAGGAATTGCTCTCACTTTACGCACGAGCCGAGGCCGATTACTTGTGTAAGTCACATCGCTCTGATGCATTTTTCGAGCTCAACGTCATACAGCCATTCCCATTCTGCAGAAGCATGTCGAATTTATCATTGGACGCCACGAATATTATGCCTCGGAGGTTATGAAGCCCGATGCACTGGGCGAACTCTTCACAACTTCGTGGACCCGCCGGGCCCTTGGAGAGGTTGTTTCGAAAGGAACAATCCACCTCACTCATGTTCTGATCCTGTTCTGATCCTTTTAGCTCCATTTAACATCTCTGTATAGGGCCATATCCTATGGGATGCACAACGCGATTGGGAACTGGAGATGCTTGAAAAAGCTTCAAACTCTGACCGGTTCGCTCCTTGAACTTTTAAACCCCATGGGAACTAAGAATATCATAAGACCAGGACTGGTAGAACATGTTCAAACCCTCTTCCTTACACGCCTTCGCCAGCCACACTCGAGTAAGCGTATTTACTACTACCTCAACTTGTCTTCTAACCCTCCCCAGCAATGGAAGACACCTTTCAAACGTATTCATCATTTACGACGAACTACTGTCCTCCGCAAGACTACGAATCTCTACTCGTTTCTGCTTCAAAACTTCGCAGCCAAAGTGTCAGGAATTATGATCGCCGAGAGCAATGGGAAATAAAACTCGTGCGGAAACCAGCTATACGCGTGATCGACTTGACTTCTTACCTTTCTATTTACCCCAGACTCAGTCTCAAAACTCTCTCGACATCTTCAACCAATATATTGGATACGAACGCCGTGCAAAATATCCCGACATCTTTGTGACTCGTGGCGTCTACGAAAGAGCAATTGCAGAGGCCGGCAGGCGCAGATTTAAGGGTGAAGCTGGAGCCGAAGAAGCTCTGCGCCTCTTCTGGGCAGGTTACTGTGATGCTCTTGTAGGTCGAATCCTTTTTTCTTTTCAAAAAGTTACTGAGTTGAAAGTAGCGTATTTTGGAAGTCGGCATTGACGTCGAGTTGGAAACCTACCGACGAGCTGTCAGGAGTGTACCGGGTTCTGGAGAAGTCTGGGCGAGGTACCTGAGATTTTTGGTGCGTCGTGGAGTCTTCATAGCCTCTGATAGAGTTTTCCTGAATTTACTCAGGAACGGGTGTCAGATGATATCTCTGAAGGGCTTGAGAGCGTAGCGGGTGCGTGTCTTGCCTTACACTCTTTTTTCAATCCCCCGACTAATATTCGGCCGCTGTAGACGTCTACAACAGAGCTCTCGAGGCAAAGATGATCCAGGCGGATCTCAATCAACTCATCCCTGTAGTTTTGGCTCGTGCCGGTTATGAAAAGCGTCAGCTGGAGGCTGGAAGCGAAGGTTCGTCTTAGCCCGTATTTGTCTTTCGTTTGGCGTTGACGACGCTGTTCAGATGAAGACGCCCTACCAACCCTCATTGGCATATTGGAGAGCGGCATCGAAATGGCTCGACAAGGTACCTCGTTTTCTCTTCGCTCCTGTTCGCTCTCACTTAACTCTAGGCAGCGTCCAAAGCTATTGATCCAACCCTACGCCTCGAGAAGTTCCTTGCCACAATCGTGAGCTCTGTACAAGTCTCCGCTCGTAGACTATCCCCAATCTTTGTATCTAGTACGAAAATGCTGGCCTCGCCGATAGCGTTTTCGATGCCTGGAAGGCAGCTGCCAAGCATTCAAAGTCAAGTTATCAAGTGTGGTTGAACTATACCGAAGCTTTAACGTACGTCTCTTGCCTTCCAGCCGCCTTGGACAGGCGCTGAGTATGTCAACGCTAGCAAGCACCAAAAATACGCCGAAGCTCGAACCGTCTTCACAGACATCCATGCCAAGCAGCTTGATTGGCCTGAAGCTATCTGGGACGCATGGACCTCTTTCGAACACCTCCACGGCTCTCTGGAAGATATCGAGGCATGTATGGATAAAATCGAGAAAGCCCAGTATCAGACGAACGCTCGACGGGCGAAGGTAGGAACCATATTTGGTCTGTCATCTGAGGTCGCTCATAGACATGCACCTAGGACGCCGAGAAAGCTGCGTACCAGGCAATGCAGGCAGCGGCGGATGCCCAGGCAACAGCACTGATCAACTCTATCGTCGCCGTGCAAGGTGTTGAGACGGCTGCAAGTGCGGACGTGCCTATGGATGTGGATCGGCCAGCTTCAGACCGCGGTACGAAACGGGGTGCGGAGGAGGAACCTGCTCCTGATCCACATAAGAAGGCACGAGTTGGTAAGTTTGACCTTGATCTACATGGTTGGTGATATTGACGTATTGCCGATGTAGAACAAAAACCACCACCTCTGAAAAGGTTTCGTATCGCTAATTATAGCCAGAACATTTGGCCTGATACGTCGACTACAGAGATCGGGAAAACTCTACCGTTTTCGTTGCAGATTTGCCTGACGATGTCGCAGAAGGCGACCTCAAGAACCTGTTCAAAGACGTGAGCCCATCATTGCTTTCTGAGGTCTTCCTAACTTCTTGGTCATGCTGTAGTGTGGGTCGATACGTGAGGTAAAGATTACAAGCCTGGCTTCGACGCTGGTAGCCACCGTGGAGTTTGTCGATCGAGTAAGTTAGATGGACGAACGTTGGTCGCCGCCTTCCTGATGGTCACTTCTTCCAGGACAGCGTCCCTGCAGCACTGACGAAAGACAAGAAGCGGGTCAACGATCAAGAGATCTCCGTCCATCTGGCGTGGAAGTCGACTCTGTATGTCACGAACTTCCCAGAGGCCACCGACGACGTGGCTATAAGAGAAATGTTTGGAAAGGTGGGAGGGACTGGCTGCTTAATTGTTCATCTTGTTGCTAACGTCTATGATGCGTAGTACGGAACGATTTTTGATGTTCGGTGGCCGAGCAAGAAGTTCAAAAATACAAGGCGATTCTGTTATGTACAGTTTACGTCTCCTGTGGGTCTCTGATATTAGTATCGGCATACATCGTTTACTTTTTCTCTAGGATGCGGCCCTGAAGTCGCTTGAGCTGCATGGGCGGGAGCTCGAGCCGAATGTTACTCTTAATGTTTTCATTTCGAACCCGGAACGGAAGAAAGAAAGAACAGACCAGGATGCAAATGAAAGAGAAGTTTACGTTGCAGGTCTTAGCCGATTTACCAGTAAAACAGACCTTGAGAAACTTTTCGCGACTGTAAGCGTCGTTTCGTACCTGTTGACAATCAGAGACTGACGGCTGCACAGTATGGGCCCGTGAAAGAAGTTCGCATCGCTCTGGATGATGACGGGCATGCCAGAGGCTATGCTTTCGTCGAATTCGAAGAAGCTGTAGGACGTGCCACCAAAAACTCCGGTACCAAGTTCTGACTTTGTTTCTCGCAGAAAGATGCACAAATGGCTCTAGGAGCGAACAACTATGAATTGAAGAAACGTAGGATAGCAGTCACTCTAGCTGATCCTCGCATGCGCGCTCGTCACAAGTGGGTATAGCCGCCTTATTCTCCCTTCCAGCTGACGTTATCCTAAGGTCAGAGCTTGGCCTGAGTCGCGCAACTGAGGCACGCAACCGGTCCGTCCACATAATAAATTTGCCACCTGCAACTCAGGAAGGTCTCTTGCAACAAGCTTTAGAGAAAATTATACCCGTTAAGCGCGTCGAAGTCTTTCTCGACAAGCAAGAGGCCGTAGTGGAGCTTGAAAATCCGGCGGTAGATCCTCTCTTTCGATATGGCTTACCTATTTGCTCATGACAAGCTTGTTCCAGGATGCAGGCCGACTTCTCTTGCGGACCGAACCCATAGTGTTTGGGGGTAACGAACTTGAGCTGAGCGAATCTGCTCCATCCACCCGTCCTTCCGGTCGGACTCAGCAGAGCAGCGAAGCGATGTTCAAGCCAAGACATCTCGGCCTATCGAGGCCTAAGGCAGGATTAGGGTTTAAGAAAACTCAGCCCAGTCAGCCGGCCGCCAGTTCTTCACAGACAGCGTCTTCATCGTCCTCTGGTGGAAAGCAACAGGACGATTTCCGCAAGATGATGGCTAAGAAGTAGATGCCCAAAAGGAGACTCTATGACGTCACTTAGCCTCCGTCTACCTTTCCCACGTGATGCATGGTTTGGTACATACCTCTTTTACCTTGTACCACATTAGTATCGCATTGCTTCATCTATAACCCTCCTTCGTTGCGACATGGACGTAGAATCCGAGTACATTGAGTCCTCTTCCATAACCTTTGAATGGACCCTCAAAGGGTTGAAGAACCTTTTCGATTCGACGAAGGGAGAGAAGAAGTCGAAGGTCACCAAGTCGATCCGCTTTGGCAACAATCGATGGCAGGTCAGGATAATCATCGACTCGCACCTGCATGAAACATAACAATACCGAAATAGATCCTGTTCTACGCCAATGCTGGACAAACCAAGGATGGAACAGAAGGTGGTTATGTTAGTTTGTACCTTTCATGCGAAGTGAGCCGTCATTCATTTCAGAAATTCAGAAATGGAACTTGCTGACACAGAGTAGCCTACTCCGGAGGAGAAGGAAGCAGCTCTTTCAGAGTCTGGCAGGTGGAAGGATCTCTATCGATGTTAAGCGCTCGTTCTGACAATGGTACGTAGATGGGTACGAGAGGGTGTCTACAAGTTCACCTTTGAATTGCGCACGTACGCCACATCCATGATGCGTTCCGACCTTTATCCTAATTGGAGTGAAGTCTGTCCAAGAATATTCTCTACAGCTCCAAGGAAGCACACAATCACTCATTTACGTCCAAGGTGTGTTTCAAGCCTTTTCATTTTCGTCATATCTGTCCTCATCGAGATCTTTCAGACGGGTAACTGGGGATGGTATTTACAAAACCAAAGCTTTGGAAAACGTCTTATGCCTAATTGGACCTTAGGGCTCAATTTGCTCGAAGAGATAGCGTCTACTATCAGGCCATGCCTGTCAAGGCTGAAGACGCTTTCGTAATAATCTGCACGATAACCTCTTCGCCAGCGACGCCCCTGGTGCAAACCCTGCCTCGCCAACCTGTTCCTAAAGCCCTTCTTGACACAGTAGGGGAACTGCTGGACGATCCCTTGTACTCTGATGTTCAATTCGTTATTCCCCAACGAGGCCAGAGTTCAAGGAATGCCAAGACTATTTGGGCATCAAAGAGATTACTACAACGCGCCGAGTACTTCCAAACGAGTACGGATACGTTCTGAGCCGGAAAGTCGAGTTTTCTTCTAATAGCTTTCTAGTGTTCAACTCCAACTTCGTGGAAGGCTCTTCAAAAGGTGTCGATCTCAATCAAACCCCACGAGGAATGCTACAGGACCTGGAGAGTCTTGCCAGTCCGCGAATGTCTACCATGGATGAATTTGAAGATTCTGATGAGGATGACACGGATTTTATAGCTCACTCTTCTCGGTCGAGTTTTGTCATGCTTGACTCAGGGATGCAAGAGCTGTCCTTGCTGCTAGACTCGAGTCCCGCGGATTCGGACAAACTTGAAGTTGAAAGCTACGACGACTTGCAGCCTAGTGTTACCCCAGTTCAGACTGCGTCCAATACTCCTTTCAAAAAGTCGAGGATAGAAGTCAAGGATGTCGCTTATACAACATATCTTGCTATGCTATACTATGTGCGTGTCTCTAAGGTCAATCCGTTGCGAAACACAATTCCAGAGGGTTTCTCTCCAGATATACACTGACAATGTTGTCTTTGCTCCTTTGTCTTCTTCTTTCCTCTCCGCTCCTGGCCATACAAGTAATAATTCCCTCGAAAGCCTGTCATCGACACAGATAGAAGGGAATCAGGTCCCTGGTGCAAAGTTCTCGTTGCACGACCTGTCACATTCGAGATCAGAATGGATTAGAGAATGGATGATCGCAAATCCAGGGAGACCTGCACCTTGCTCAGCGAAGTCTATGTATCGCATTGCAGATAGTATGTCTTCTATGAGCATTTTAGCCTCGTTATGTTGACCTGCGCGCCAGGGTTTGACTTAACAGAACTGAAAGAGCGTGCGGCCCAGGTGAGGGGAAATCGATCTTCCTAGCTCGCCCCTTATAGTTCTGTTCTCTTTTGCATAGCACATCATCAAGTCCTTGACTGTAGACAATATTGCGTTCGAAATTTTTTCGCCTTTCGCTGCCAAATTTGAATCCATACGCAAGGTTTGTGTCACCATACCCCAACCATACCCACTCTACTATTTCTCACCGTGCTCTAGATCGAGGTTGAATTTTTCTTGAACCACTGGCATAATATCCGTACATCAGACGCAATGAAGAACGTGTGGGTGCAGATCAGAAATGGAAGGCACCCGGGCTTTGAGGAAGGTCGGTGATATCCATTCACATGTACAAGCTGGCACGCACTAATCTCATCCCGTCACCAGTGTGGCCACTTATTGCCCAAAGTCTGGAATTCAATCCCACCCCCCCATGTGCTTCCCCGTCAACGAAGAGCACTGAATATATGGTCTGAATATAGGAGTGTGACATTGACAATGTACCATAGAGCAGCACATGCACCAATGATTACATCTTCATTTTGGCCGACTCCATCGGTGCGATACATTAGAACAATTCAACGGAATCATAGACAAAGTTCGGGCTGAGGAACTGGTCCCCTGAGCTGCCACTGATGACATTGATAGCGATGGTGTTTGAACCAACGACTAGATTTCCTATCAAGACGTTAGTTCATCTCCAGTCACTCGAGAATTCCAAACATCTATGTACCAGACGGTATTGCGAAATCGTCTTCATTTGTATTGTGTGATAGTTTAGCAAATGTCCTGGACGGTGGGAAAAAGATACTTGACTTACAAACTTGGTTCAAACCGCGCCAAGTCCCACGAGTGATGCTGGAGTCGCGGATGTAAGTGATGGTGTATACAACGATGAGACTATAAATTTTACCCTCGAGAGTCGACTGCAGTTGGGGCTAATTCGATGGCCTTCATCAATATGGTACAGGAAAAAAGGGTTATTACAAGCCCATACCAGAAGGTGCATTTGACGTCCATGAATTGACCGTGATTTGGGGCCGGCCGCCAACAAAGGCTTCAGTGGTACGGATGCGAAGAGTTCGTGCCCCTGTGTAGTGTGTTAGACTCTGCCACGAGGGAGAATAGTGCTGGTACCAACCAATTTGAGAAGACGAAGCAGTCCATTTGATGGTGGTAGGATTGTTGACCTGCGATTTTGTTAGTGGACAAGTCGAAGAGTTAATGGTGTGGTACTAACTCCCTTGAATTGTGCCATGGGGAAGGATGAAGCTGAGCTGGAACCGATGGTATACGTGATTGGACCCCAATTGCCCATTCGAGAATCCGACCTTAGTGAATGGTAAATAAACGAGACTAAATAATTGGCGTGACACATACGGGTGCATGGTTTGTATTTTATCGGCGTTCAAGAAACTACTAGTTATCAGAACGGAATATATAATCAAGATGCAGAACTTTACCCTGCAGGTGTTCCGTCGACGGTGCCTGAACTCCGAAGTCAATGAGCAATATTATGAAGACTAGTAGAGCATTCACCGATAGACCAGATAGTAGACGGCCGACTTAACGTTGGGGCCAAGGTAATTGAAGAGGTCCGACCAGCGCTGACGGTCACGGTGCCGGTATCTGCCTCAATTTCGCCTTCGAACAAGGTGGCGCTGTACGTTCCAGGTTTCATCATGTTGCGAGTGAAGCTTCCGCTGAAGCCGAAGGGGTAAGCGACTCAGCACTTGAGCCCTCGGATAGAGATTAACAAACTCAGAGCCTGCTATCCAATATTGGGCCGCTGAATTCTGCGGAACGACTTAATTAGCATGAAAAACCAGGTAATGATGCCGATTTACTTTGAATCCAATGGTCACCGGAAGACCGGAAAACGTCCCAGAATAAGTGCCAGATACTGTGCCACGTCCAGAAGCAGGTACGTAGCCCTGAAGGCCAAGGTTATCCATGAAAATCGTGTCGAGGGAGGCCGAAGGAGCAGATCCTGTGGTTACAGCAATAGCGTACCTACGAGCTCTAAGGTTAACCAGTGGCAGAGGCAAAGCAATGGATGGAACCAACGGCCCAAAAAAGCCGGTGCGGTATGTCTCCGTTTGCTGATGGTTCGAGTTCATGTAAAAGTACAGCTCTTGCTGAGCCGATCCCTGATTATCGATGTCTGATATGATCGTGGTTATTGCAAAGAAATGAATTGCAACACATAAGGTTGACCTCGGAAAAATGGCCCTCCAGAGGAGGTCTCATAGCCAACGCCCGGGATGATCATGTAGACACCAACGCCGGAGCCAGTAACACCATGAACTTGGTCCTCGATAAAGCGAACCTATCAAAGACATCATTGGTACGTCTTCGATGTAGAAGCTGTTGGCTTACGCTAGAATAGAATTTCGACCGTGTTTGTCCATTGAGCAAAAAGACGTCAGAGCCTTCGATGACCGAGCCACCGTTAACTTCAGCAGACACAACACCATTCGGGAGTGCCGACTTCGAGAGACGGGCAATGAAACGTAGTTCGCCGACCGAGGGCTCTGCGGAAGCGTAGGTCCCGATATAGAGGGTGTTGACGCCAGACCTGACAATATAATAATGCGTCTAGACGCCATGAACACAAAGCTGAGACGGAAGAAGAAGCGTATCAATCTTACAATAGTACTGGTCTTAACTGTGATGACAGCGATATTGTTTACAACGCTAGAAGTTACAGTGGCACTTCCTGCAAGTCTTGAGGTCAATGATATCATTGCTCATATTGCTACTTGCGGGCATACCTAACCCGGAGCTCAGGTGGGTGAACTTCGAGGGGTCCTGGAGCTGCTTTCCATTGAAGACGAGGGATGTAATGTCGCCATTAGAGGTGTTGACTATAAATATCGTCATTGAGATGACGAGTTCCTCGTGTCGAGGTACTTACTCGTGGTAACCAACCCCGCCCCAGAGTCCACCACCATGTTGGAGCCGGACGTCGTGACTCCAAAAGCCGCCAGTGCGACAGGAAGAAGCGAAAATATGCCCACAGCGAAGAACTTCATTGCTGGGATGCATGCGAGGTGTGATATTGATGGTAGCACATTTTTATACGGGTCAGGATGCACCAGCGGCCAATCCTAGTATGGCCTGAGTTCAGGTGATGGCCGCCATCGTGCGCCATGGGGGCATTGGAAGGCGCTTGCCAGCATGTGGCTTGCTGCCAAAAAAAAAGTAGCAGTCGCAAAATTGTGGTCGCGACGCAGAGCAAGCTGCCCAGGTGATGCATTGATGCCGTATTGTCGGAGGACGGGCATCAAACATCCGTAGATTTTCCACCCACACGAGGATTCGAAGTACTTCCAGGTAAGTGGTGCGCCCATCCTGAGCCATCCTGTGACGCGTAGAAGGGAACGAATCAGGAACCCTCGCTCTATATGCATCTTAATTTAGGTTTCATAAGAGGCTTATTGATGCTCGCGGGCCGAATTTTTGAAGAAGTTACAAGCGCTAGTCAAAACGTTGAGGCTAAGTGGAACCTGTGTTTTTACCGAAACTGCATCCACACGAATAAGATAGATGGTCGATACACTCCTCCGAACAGCGGGAGCAGAGTGAAGTAACCTGTTCAATTAACACAATTGTCATTCCGTTCCGTATTCTTCTATTCCACTGCAGCCGTTGCTTTTTGCATCATGTACAAACTGACTTGTTTTGCTGACTGGTGTGTGGTTGTCGAAGCGGGCCGGTCGGTGCGGTAAAAGAAATCGGTGTCGTCGACAAGACCTTAACGACTGGCCAGCTTCAGGATCTCTTTTTCGAGTCACCGTTCAGCATATGCACCCGCGCTAGACCCGAAATGGGAGCTGGTCGATGGGCACGCTCAGAGAGCATATCATCCGAGCCGTCGCGGGATCTTCCCTCGACATGTGCACGGACATGGCCATAAGAATCAATGCCATGTTCCCATGGTTCACGATCATGCCTGCGCCTTTCAGCGGGTTCGGATGGGGTATGTTGCTGCCCTACATCGGCTGGTATGAATAAATCTTGAGTTTCATAATCCCCGCCCTGGTCCTGTAGTTCTGGAGGCATTGTTCCAGGTACGCGATCTTCCGGCTGTGGGGGTATTCTATGTAGGAGGCCAAAACTTTTTGAATGCAGTTAAAGATTTGTATGTAATGACCATGAATGTGGCCACTCACCCAAAGACACAACCAAGGAGACCTTCTCCACCCCAATGCCGATTGGGAATTAAGACAACTTCTCGCAGGGTACTTCAAGAGAAAATGAGAATGCTAGTTATCAGGATAAACGGATTTTCATACTCGAAGTCGTAGGAATAGACATAAACTCGCAATGGCTTGTCTATATGCTGTAGGAGCATAACATAACTCAATGGCGAGCATCTGAAATTGAGGTAGAGAGTGCACTCACAGCTTCTACAAGGTCGTAGAAGTCATTCTCCGCACTTAGGACACCACCAGACCAGCCTGAGGTGCAGTTGAGGAGGGAGCTTTTCAAATAAACAGAATGCGTACCTAGTATCCAATCACCCATCGGTACGAGACCCGCACTTTCGGCTGGACTTCCTTCCAAAACATCCAACACATGCCACACATTGTCTGTCGCAGTTTCTGGACTGCACAAACGCATGCTGAGGCCTAGCAGCGAGGGTTGCGCATTGGGTGACTTCAAGGAGTCATTTGCACCCATATGTTGTTGAGACCATAGTCGAGAAGGCACGATTGGAACAACTAAATGCGAGCGAGCATTAGGCATACAGCATGCTATTGGCAGGAAGATGCTACGTTACCTCTGGTTTGTTGGCTTTTGCTGTTCCAGACGAGCAAATTCAACGTGCGGTTCTCATGACTCTCAACGATCTTCTCAAGCTCTGCGACGTTTATATCCTTGTCTGAAGACAGAGAGTCTCCTTCGAAGCCAACGACGAAGTCAAAGAAAGGTTCGATATTCGAGTATGAAGCAGGGGATGAGGGCGTAACTCGCAGTACGTGTAAACCGCGCGAAGGTACTTGAGAGTGAGAAGTTGACTGTCCCGCACCCATGGAGCTTTAGGCACTCTGCTAAGTATAAGGTCGCTGAATGGTCTTTCTGCGAGATTGACGCGTCTGGGTTCCAGTGTGCCGCGGCGTGGTGATCTGGAGTTCTGTCCTGAAAAGGAAGCGATTCCCGACCTTGGTAATCAAACAGCCGAGGGTCAACAACACTTGCGCAAATCATCGTGTCTGCTCCCTTTCCTGCCCTGGCCCCTCTTGCTGCCCATTCCTGGAACTTCGGCATTATAGACACTCTGCAGAGACATTGATTTCTCATCTGGTCACTGTATCAAGCTTACAAGTTAGAAGTACCTAGCTTCGGGGAGAATCCCACTCAATTGCGACCTTGCGAGCTCACGGTTCTCTGAAGAGTTAACACACACTCGCTAATCTGGAGCTTTCTTGTGATCTGTGCTTACCCTTATCTCTGTCTGGAGGTTCCATACCCCGCCGATTCCATTTCAGGTGGATAGAACCTGCCCTCGACGTCGGGAATGCCCGGTGAACAGTCACGGTGAATTTTCCTCAGTCTCGTCCGAAGAAAGCACGACAACGCGCCTTTTCCCTTGCTACCAATCATTGAGGACTAGAGCAATGTTCTGCTCAGCATTCGGGCCCCCTCGCGCGGAAAACCAGAGGGCATGCTCCCACCATCTTAACGTTATGTCTCCTTTTCGAGTCGCTTGTCAATGGGCACCCCACTGCAGGATCGACAAAATTCCTTTGGTCACAAGCGTTTAAAAAACGCAGGACTGCCTCACCCCTTCAGGCTCAGGGATCTTATGCCCAACGCATTTTATTCTTTTCTTTCCCGAAATGCAATATGAATCATTGCACTGCCTTTGAAAATCCCTCCGACCTTTAGGTTTAGTAATCAAATCAATCGGTCTGCACTGGCTGGAACTCGAAAAATAGTCTCCTGCATCTTCAATGGACCATTCCTACTCGATTTTCGTGCGGGACACTGGTTGGTAGCCCGACTAATCCCTCAGCGGTCTTTATGAAAGCCTATGGATGCTCTGAATGGCGCGACTGGTATCATGGGCTAGTGGTGGATGTAGCGGCAACCTCCCCATATCACTTGCATCTTATTCATCGGGGGGACCTTTTTTCCATAGGTCTCTCCCACTGGCAAGTTCTCGAGAAGTTTGGACATCGTTCTATCTCTTCTGCTTCCCATTAATCTAGCTGCCTGCATTCTACGGGCAGCTATGGAGGAGCACTGTAAAAGATTACCGCTCAATCGGATGATCAGTAGCTCTTGAAAAAAAAAAATGGAATATGGAACAATGACCGATGATCTACCTTTACAAAAAGTATCTTCAAACTCGGGCCTTCTGTCTACGCTATTGACGACGTTTGCAGCTGGGCTTCCATGCTACTTATTAGTGGCTGTCGGCCATATTTCTTTTATGCCTCGTCGTCTAGGGCACTACTCTACGCTGGCTGTGGTGGCATATGCCATGAAGCTACTCGGGGACCATCTGTACTACTGACTCCGTGCATAAAGATCAAGAAGGCGTCCTTCCGTTATGGCACCTGGGTGATATATCTCCCCAGGTGGTCTTCAAGCAGGAGCAATGTCATCGATCCCTTGATCTATCAAAATGGTCCCACTAAGCATCCGTACTGGAAGGGCGTGTGATCCACTACGCACTTCACGCTCTATCCGATCCCGCCTGTCTGTCCTCGAAGAGGCTTCCGGCAACGTCGAGCCGTGTCTGCCCGTGATACTCGATATCGCTGGCAAACGTCATCCATATGCATCACTCATTATACTCGAGGAAGGCCGCCACTCAGTGGGCAAACTCCACTCCAATCTCCAGTAAGCTGGAAGTCTGAGGATGTGGCAGGCTAAGTCTTGAGTGTCTAAAATTAGTGAACTAAATGTACCAATTCGTTTCTAGGTTTCGTTCACGTGGAACAAAGGCGCGAAGGGAAAGTTTGAATGGGTGGCTGAAGAGGATCCGCGGGACCCACCCAAAGGAGCGCAAAGTGTCGGCCCAGCATCCAAGCTGGCTCTCTCCGAACTTGTCAAAAAAATGCCGCGAATCGGTCACGGAGGTTTTTGCGGTGAGATGGTTGATCTTATCTAAAAGGGTAAGGAGACGAAGCGACGAGGAGCCAAGCAGGTGGGTCGCCGGGATTTAGCCGAGTGTCGCTACAGTGTGAACAGATGTGTTCTCGTGATACAGATCCATGTTGGGTACCCATGCGCAAAGTGAACTCTTCGAGTATCTGCAAAAGTGTGGTCGTCCTGATCCAGCTGGATATAAATTATTGAAAGAAGTTTTGAGTTGGAAAGCGCCCGAGTGGTAAACAACTTGCCACGGGACAACAAACAGACAATCGACTCAAAACCACGCTCCATCGACCGAAAACCAAAGCCCACCTACCCCGCATCTCCCTCGTCTAAAATACGCCTCCCCTAACAATCATGCCTGCAGCGCGGCCAAAGAAAGAGAACCATTCCACCACGCCTCCTTCCGACGACGGCCATCTCAAGGATTCTCTCTCCGAAAACAGCAAGAGCAAGAGAAAGTAGGTAGCGTTTCTCCGACTTTTCCCCGTCCCCCTTTCAACCCCGTCGCCCCTCTTCCCCCCGCACTCCCCCACGCATCTTCCCCCACAATTATCGTCTATTACGGCCCAGAGCAATGTTATTTCCCCGCTCATCTCTTTTGAGCTGTACTGACTCGTTCTTTTCGCGTATACAGGAGACAGTCCCAGAGTGCGTACTTCGTCCCGCCTCCTCCGGGCCCGACTTATGTTTTTCGACAGGCTGCGATGCCTGCAGAGCGCGCAAGGTTCGCTGCGCTCGCGAGAATCCGGATGATCCGAAGCAGTCCTGCAAGCACTGCATAACGCTCGGAATCCCATGCACTTACGACTACCAGCCAAAAAAGCGCGGTCCACCCAACCTGTACGTGCGATCCTGGACTTTCTGGTGCATTTCTCTAACTATAGGTCTTGATCAGCTATCTCCGACGACTCCAGGAAGCGGCGGCCGCAGCAGCGAGCAACCAGCAGTCACCACAACACCAGCACCAACCCGACAGCTCCCCGGATATGGAGATCGCGGCGTCACCCATATCTACGCTGGCAAGTCCCCCTCAATCCATGGTGTCGCCGACTATCGGGTCGAAGAGTCCTCCCTCGTTCCTCGAGTCTCCCATCAACCCACTGTCCTCCATTCCATCCGTCCCGATCCCGCCATCCCGATACCCCATTGCAGCGGACACGTATCACACCCACTACTCGCAGCAGAACAGCGTCCAGTCAGCGTCGTTCAACAGCCAAAGAAACCCGGAATCTGCTCCTAACGGCCACGGTATGATACTTCCCCACAACCAACCGAAGGTTGAGGACCAACAGTACGCCTCGTCACCTACTGACGGATTCAGTACCTATCCACTGTATAATTGGTCATACAAGCAACATCAAATGCTGCCGCCTCCCGTTCCCTCCACTGTCCCTCCACTGTCCTTCTATTATCGACCGCGACGTTTGGAGGAGATCGCGCCGAGAGACACAATCTCCTTGATCATAGCACTTTTCTTCGACTTCGTATACCCTCTGACCCCCTGCGTCCACAAGCCTTCATTTATGGCTGATTTACACTCACGTCGAGAGGAGCGAGACCCTCTCTTCTTTGCCTTGGTTATGTCCACCGTTGCGTCGACACTCGTGCAAGTCCCTCGATCATACCTGCCGATGGAAAGACCCGTTGTTCGAAAGCTCGCTCAGGTAGGTATATTTCGTTCGATTCCTTTTTCCTTCTTATTCAATACCTTCTTAGACCGCTCACGAAGCCAGCCGGCACATAACGGTTGCATCTTACGACCCACCGACGTCCATGCATGTTGTAATACGCTATTTGTCCGTGATGAGCATTTGAATCCGATCTGCTTATTGACCGATTTTTTTTTTTTTTTTTTTTCGTTCAGCGACTGTATTTATCACTTCTGCGAGGGGCACGACGCAACGCAACATGCTGCATTTGGCGAAGCTGCTCACATAGCAGTGACCCTTCGAATGCACGAGGAAGCATCGTACGAAGGTCTTGATCCTATTGAGTGCGAAGTAAGGAGACGCATTTTCTGGCTTCTCTTTGGTGGTATGTCACTTTTCTCTTCCTCAGACAATAGCTACTCATTTTTTCCCTTGTAGCCGACAAGTCTATGTCAATTCTTCTCGGTCGACCGATATGTCTGCGCGACGAAGATTGCACAGTGCACTTCCCAAAGGAGTTGGACGATGAATAGTAGGTCGTTTTAAGAAGTAACCGAGAAAACGCCGTGCTGATGACGATGGACTATGTAGTATTACCCCCAGTGCCTATTTACCCCAACCTCACGGAAAAACTGCCATCGTATCGGGACTCAACTACACATCAAGAATCTTTGCCCTCCTCGGAGAGATCCTTGTTCGCATCCGAGTTGACAAGCGGTCACCTCCGCAAGGCCAGTTTGCGACTGCCCGTCTTGAAGAAGTCCAGTCGCTGCACAACAGGATTCTGGCTGCTCTGAGCCATGCGCCGGAGCCGCTGAGGTTGAAGCAGACCCCCAGTCAGCCGCATGTGCCTCCGGAGTATGGCGGGCCTGGTTTCCGACAGGCTACGTTCGCGGAAGTCAAGGACTTCTTCGATAATCCGAACGCTTCTCGAGCTAACGCTCTTAATCCCTTCTTGGTCATGCAAGCAAACCTCTTCGTCACACAAGTAGGTCTTCTCGCGTTCGAGCTTTGAGACCCTTGCTGAATACCTTCACAGCAACTTGTCCGATTCGTCATCGAGCAATATCGCGACGAGCTCCTTATGGCCCTTCAAGGAAATCTCGACGAGCAGCAAGTCGCCCAAGATCGGGAAGCTGTCGCCAGCGATCTCTTGAACATCCTGCATAGGTACGTAACCTTATGATTGGGCGCTCTATGGTTAGCCTAACCTATCATCTGCAGCATCCCTATACAATCAATTGCGACAAACGGCCCGAGTTTGGTCCACAAAGTCAGATTTGTGGCGTCGACACTGCTAGACGCTGTCCGGAAAGCTGAGATAGCGCCTGCTTCTGCCGCTCGTGCTCACGCCTATCTCTGTGCGTCGTCATTTTTCGTGTCTACTTCTATAGGATCTGACGTCAAGTTTAGGGGACTTCCTAAGTATTTTGTCAGAAATCGAGAGAAACTATCTGTAAGGACCTTTTCGTCGATGGCTTTGCCTCTCCTTTCTTGACATTCATGCTTTCAGGCTGGATGATGACAGAGATGGGACTTCGAGTGATGGTATGATTGTTTGAAGAGTTCCGTCTCTGGCCGTCGTCCTTTGATTCCTCTGCACGCTGTACACTTGCTCTGATGATTAATGACGTATTTATTAGTATACCCGTCGCTCGTCTATGTATTGTCGCCGTATACTGCTTGCCCATTTGTAGCCCTCAACTAACAACGAGTATTTACTGATCACGAAATATTGTACGACCCAAACCCAATACGAATACTCTTAAGCAATCTTTTCGGACGTTGCCGAAGAAGGTGATTGGGTGAGCTACAAATGATATTAGACGCGCTTTCGAAGTATCATCCGACCTATCTACCACGAACAACACAGCAGATTTCGCCGACGCGATCCTCCCGATTGTCGGCCCCTTGCACAACAGCCTTTCTCAGCCCCTTATCAAATTCTTATCCCATACCTTCGATGACCAGCCTTCCTGAAGCAGAGCCCGCCTCCGAACAAGGAGCCAGTTCGTCGATGGACCTTACAGAGGAGGAGGCTACGCGATATGACAGGCAGATGAGACTCTGGGGAATTGAGGCTCAACAACGGTGAAAGTCTCACGACTCTGACGCGACTTTGTGCTAACTTGCTATGGGGCAGAATGAGAAACGCAACCATCTTGGTCCTTCGACTACGCGGCATTGCCACCGAAGCTATCAAGAACATGGTTCTAGCTGGTATTGGGAAGTTGATTATAGTAGACGAAGGAATCGTGGACGAGGAGGACCTTGGAGCAGGATTCTTTTTCAGAGATGGGGATGTTGGGATGAAGGTGAGTCCCCAGAATGTTGTCAACGGATATACAATGGTCATATCTCGGTTCTTTTTTTTCTTCTGCAGAGACTGGACGTCGCCAAATCGAGAATCGAGAGCCTCAATCCCCTCGTGACGGTGGAGGCAATAACGGACACTTCGGCTTCCGACGACAAACGACTTGAAGCCGTTGTCAAAAGGGCGGACCTTGTGTGTGTAACGGACTGGGATCGCGACGGTCTTGTGAGTAGATTTCGAACTTTTAATGCCCTTTTTTACGTGTTGGTGTAGATGCGAATAAATGACTTATGCCGAGGACACCATAAACGGTTCTACGCCGGTGGAACTTACGGCCTTATTGGCTACATTTTTTGTGACCTTTTAAGTCATGAATACCTCGCCCCGTGCGGCAAATTTCACCACCTTGGTTATTAAACCATTGATTATATTCCAACAGTGATAGATCTGCTCCAAAAGACCAGCCAAGAACAGTCAAAGCTGTGGCTGAGTACCCACCACTTTCGTTGGCGATCATTTCTAGGTGGAGTACTCTCACCAAGCGACAGACGAAAGAAGTAAACCCAGCGCTCTTCTTTGCAATCATGGGTTTGTGCATAACTAGTCTACTTTTCGGTGTCGAAACTCAGGCAGCACTTAGCAATCTGGCAGTTTGAGTCGAAACATTCGCGATTACCCAACGACGTTAGCGACACAAACGAACTCGAGGCTATGTCGAATTCTCTCATTTCAGAGGCCGATGTGAACAAGCAGGTGCTCACTACTGTACCTCGAGAGCTAATTGAGTAAGATACCTCCTCTCATTCTCCCGGAGAATGTCACTGAGGAAAGCCTCTCCAGACCTTTGTCAACGACCGCTTCCCACGAGTTCTCTCCAGTATGCGCCATCGTCGGAGGGATGCTTGCGCAGGATATCCTCAAAGCTCTTGGCGGTCGCGAACCTCCTATAGCCAACTTCTTCGTATTCGACGGTAATACGGGTGGGGGAACTGTGTGCCGACTTAGCATGCCCTAAGGACGGTTGGGCTCTATCTGACCTTCCCGTTTCGTATATTTTCCTTGCATCTAATCTCAAGATGATGTAATTTAACTATGGGTTATCCTCCGAAGTTCTTCACGATGGTGCTAACCGGATAAACCTCCACACGATGGGCACCTGTCAGTCCGAAAGAACATGCCGCAGGTACGTGCACCTTTTAGGCTCAGAAACTGGGTTGTTCAGGACATTTAAATTTAGCCTCGTCGTCGGGCATTCGCTATTCGTGTCAATCAAAAGCAATTTTCCGAGAAATCTGACGACGGCAAACCGCGAAGACTAGTCGACGAATGAGACACGCATAATACATGATTGTTAGGTTGGGTTGAGTTTGCCAGGCATAGTCGTCACTACGACCACTATTCCCAGCGTTTGCAACATCGAATACGCCAGAGAGCTTGTTGCGCCTGAACGAAGCGCTCCAAGCCATTTAACCGGATCTCGACATGCACCGCAAGTCAGGGCACTGGGCGCTTCCGTTATCCTTTCACTGCAGAATTCAGTGTCAACCCCACAACCCCACAAACCCCAGCCTCTCAATTCAATGGAAGGGCTCGAAGCATGCGAGGCGTTCGAGGTTCTCTGAAGGATGCACCAGCCATCATCCGTACTTTATCCGGCCTATTTCAGTAGAGACCAAGACCTTATCTGAGATTGTGGGTACGACCCGATGTGTTTTGCCGACGCATTGTCAATCCGAGCCGGCTAGATCACGTTTTACGGGAATCCAGGAAATCCCTCAAGGACCGTCGTGCGTTCCCTGTTTGGGTGACAGGTCTGATTTTTCTCGGGCCTGGAGCCCGTAAAGTCAATTTCACGATGCATCGATTTCCCCACAGTGGCACAGCAAACTGGGTGCGGTTCTTTTCCACAAATCAGAGGCGAGTGCGTGCTTATTGCCCCGCAGACTCGAGATTTGTAGTTCGTCCGTCTATTCTCCGTCTTCCGAATTCTGTCATAATGTCGCCCTAATCGTAGAGAAGTGTTTGCCTTCTGCTGGCTCCTCCCTGCTTGACGTCCTCCTTTGACTGAATAGAGGAATGGTCCACCCCTCATAGCTGCGAATGATGCTGATCATATTCATCTTTGCCTTTGTTGCAGAGACACCTTACCTGAATCTGACCTCTGGATGAACTGAATCAAGGCCCGAGACCTGAAGGTTGGATTCTGCTTCTTAGGACGATTTGAGGGATAGTCAGTACTTCGGCTCCTAATTTACTGTATTTTGCAAGTCATGAGTCTCGCGATCGGTTCTATTATACTTGCAACTTGCTTCGCCAGCTTGGGCATTCAGGCGTATAACATCCAGAGATTTTGCGGCCATTCCGTGCCTTATCGCCGCGAGATTATACGTTCTCCGTCCATAAGCATTCGCCGACAAAGGCCTTTATGATTACTGACGGATGATTTTCATTAATTTGTGCAGGATAATATTATTTGATCGCCGAACCTTGTACGACGTACTGAATCCGAACGACATATACGTTGAATGAAATGAAAGGTCGCTCTTTTTGGCTTCTGTTTCACAATGCGGGCGTTCAGTCATCCTTAGAGGTGCCCGATAATGCCTTCATCGTCGCTATGGCAAATTGGCTTAAAGAAAACGCCTGGTATTATGGTAAGCACAAACAAGGAAGAAGTTCGGTGGTCACGATGCAACTTTGTCCGTGTGATCTTTCCTCGATCTAGAAGACCGCTCTCTGCCTCCGAGCGGGTATTTCCTAAAGAAGAAAAAAATCTTCTTTTTGGGTTTCGATGCCTGTTTAGGAAGGTCGCAAGTATCAGATATGGCACCGATCGGGCAGCAGATCTCTGGACGAGTACAAGCCTGATTTGAGAGCTCCAGGATACATGACGGATGGGCTGGGATGCGATCAGCTTCTCCTGACAGAGGTATAATAGAATGATTTTGTCCCACTTTCGAAGCTTACAGGCTTGACATCTCCACTGCGATCAACGGAGAACATCGCACGCAGACTCTATGGCTGCAAAGCTAGCGATTCACGATTCCAATACAAGCAGAATCAGGGTTCAAACGTTCACCGCCAGTAAAATGTCCAGGGGACTTTGATTCTAAGTTTCGAACTTCTTTGAATTGACGAAAAGCCTCCGAGCATTGCTGCGCCACACACATGCTGGTCGGCCCGCTTCCGGCCCGCTTTCCGTTCCGAGTGCGTGCCAGCCCCCATCTTCCGGCGGTCAAAGCACATGGCGACGCGCCTTCGCAGATATTTGGACCTTTGACACGCTTATCTCCCTCGCTCCTAGATTTAGCAAGATTTCCCATCTAGCCACCGCTTTCTCAGCGTTACAGTGATTGTACAGTGACCACATAAATTCCATTGCACTTGATGCCTCCGAATGAACGAAACATGGAAGCTAGATAGAAATTTGAATCGTCTTTTCCTTACAGTGGCGCGTTGATTGGGTAGGAAGCTTGAGGCCGCTCATGGGTTTGAGAAAATTCTAAACTCTAGCTACACGGGGATGAGAACCGATTGGCATTTTGAATGTGGTAGTATGTGAGATGCTTTGTACCCATGCGTTCATTAGGCTCCTGAAGACCCGTCGGAGGTGAGGTTGGGGCGAGGTCAGACGGAACCTAGATCTGTGTCGTGAAAACCACAGACTAAACGCGAAAATTCAACTATGCACTATGAATTGCGCACCCTACTACTTGCACACTGGGCCAATGTCAGGAAGCCCCTATTTCCGAATGAAGCTGCAGTGGTCCTTTCCTTTGGAATATCACTGCCACAAATTCTTGGGAGGAAATTGCGAAAGACACATCTAAAACTTATATGGCCGCGCTTCCTCTGCAACAGACTCTCCTGGATCTTATCGAAGATTCGTTTCTTCATGACCACATGCCACATCCTCTACAGTGTCACCTTGCTGCATGCAAACAGCCTGAAGAGTTTTCTTATTACCAGTCGACCCGGCTCCGTATTTGCATAGGTGAGAAAAGGTGGAATACTTCCTTGACAAAGCCTGCTATGTTAGAATACTTCTGGCGTCAGTCAAATGATGAGAAGCGTCGAGACGCGCAAAGTCCCACTAGTCTTTTAGTTGTTTCCCGCTCGGGTGGTCCATGTGATGAGTTGTCGAAGAAGCAACCAAACGAAGAAACAGGGGCTACGGATCGGGGTGGGAGAGTGCGAAAAAGTGAAAGCTGAATAACCTACACCTGCGTGCAGTTGATGCCTTGGCGCTAGCCCGGATCATGCATCCGTTCTGTGGTCTATCAACTGCCTGTGTATCTTGTCTAAATTTATCAGGTACAAGTGCATGAACGCCGCTTTGTCACTGCTGCTTAGCCACATGTAAACCGTACTCCTTCGCCAATTATCTCAAGCCCTCAAGCGGGGTGTCGACACATCAGAACCTGTCTGGAATTCGGTGCAGGTACCCCTCACAAGGCCAAGCGCATACCCGCCGAAGTGATCGATACCTGTAAGTCTATCAATTTCTTGTTTGAAAGACGTCGTTCAAGAATCCGCAATGGCGATCTTCTGTCTGTTTGCACGAACGCCGCTTGTGCACAAGCGCCAAGCCAGCGAGCCTGGGCACCAACTGCATCCGGGAAATGTCCCATTGGGGTATGTTGGTGATGGATCTCAGGACGTCTGCCTCCGCGCCGGAGCGAGAGTCCCGGGATATAGGGAACGGTGATGGGCGATATGCTTACCCCGATCGAGGACGCCTCCAAAGATGCACGCATTGGTGAATCTAGAGCATCAGGGAAAAAGTGCAAATTGGGACAAAAAATGGAAGAACTAGACCATCGTGATCAGCTTGCTCCTGCTCGTCAATTTCAACGACAATGGCCGCCGCCACCAACACCAACATCGATATGAACGTCACCGATGCAGTCGGGATCGGGCAGCCTGAGCGTCAGCCGGGGCCCACAGGGTCTATTCACCGCGACAAGGATGAGGCAGACGAGACCGCCCCATCGGAAACTCTACCTCAGGAATCAGTGGACTTGCAATCCTCGAATTTCGGATACGAATACGAGTGCGTGGTCGTAGGCTCAGGCCATGCAGGGAGCTGCGCGGCGTTGTCTGCGATTGATGCCGGATGTACGAAAGGTGAGCTCCATCGCCCTCTTTTTGCCTTTGCGCATATGCACGGTCGATTAAGCGATCCTTGGTGCTTTACGAACTATCACGGCCGACGTCCAAGGCACCCCATTGGACGGTTCAGTCTTCTGTAATTTTTCTTCTTCTTTGTCGACTTCTTGATTTCTTGCGGGGTTTCTTCTCGGTGCTTATCGGATACGCGACGAATCTTTCATGTTTCTGGGTGCTGGACAAGGGTTGTGAGGGTTCAGAAGAGGGGAGTAGCCCTCGACGGCCGAAACTTCCGCCCGCGACAGAGGCTATCGAGTGTACTTGGTGCAGGGGAACCTTCGAGTCGAACCCATGATACACGTTCAGTTCATTCCTGATCGGAAGTTGTTGGACTCGGATGCGTATGCATGTGGCTCCAAGGTGTCAATGGATTGGTGGACCACCACCGGACCGGGTCTTGCTGGTACCAGGAGGTCGAGTGCAACAAATGCCTCGGCCATTAAAGCAATGCTTTATCGCCCCAAGTCTGGAAGATCTTCAGGTTTATTGGCACTGTTCCCCTTTCGCGATTTTCCATATTTTCAATCATAAAATTTCAATTGAGCACTTACTAATTGACCTTCTTGCCTGCTCCACAAACCCCTTGAAATAACCCATCGGTGATCTTCAATTTCGCGAAATAACTGAACGGCGGCAAACGACATTCTTATTTGCGACCCGCGATGTCGTACCTCAAATAAACCCCTGCGCTATTTTATCACCATGACCACTGAATCTTGGCCCTATGTATGGCCGGACTGGTGACCTTGTTCTGCAATGGCTCCTCTTTCGTTGGTCATGATCTTGCCCTATTGCCGACGGTTGCGGTCGTTGCCGTACATCCTTCCCCCGCGTTTTCCATGCTCTTAATCGTTTGGTGCCGTGGGGGTGCATCCCCGAATCCCCTCCCACCCCGGTCGCACCCTCTCCATACCAACCAACCCACGTTTCCGCAATGCCAAAAATCTTAACACCAAACAACCACCTCTTTCACCTAATACGTATATCGTTGTTGCCGGTCGCCCTGGTCGCCGACGACTGAATGCACGCTGAACTGCGACCTCCTCCGATGCTCGCTCGCGTGGCTTTGGGTTTGATACTCTGACCAAATGGCATGGCATGGGAGCAGTACTCATGATCGACAAATGCCCAGAAGAGTGGGCAGGCGGGAACGGATACTTTACGGAAGGTGCGCACCGGACGGTCCACAGCGGACTGCACGACTTGCTGCCCCTGCTGGAGACACCACTTCCGGCCGCGGAGATGGAACGCATCGATATAGAGCCTTACACCACCGACGCGTTTGCAGAGGATATCCAACGTCTTGGAGGCGGAAGAGCTGATCCAGACATGGTCAGGGGCGTGGTGGAGAAGTCGAGAGAGGCGGTAGGGTGGCTGAGAGAACGGATTGGCGCGCCGTTCTCCCTATCGTTCAATCGCCAGGCGTACGAGGTGGATGGGAGAATGATTTTTTGGGGTGGGATGTCGTTGAGTATGATCGGTGGTGGGAAAAGTTTGATCGCAAAGCATCGGGAGGCTTTAAAGCAGGACGGGGTGGAGGTGTGGTTTGAGGCGCGCGCGATAGAGCTCTTGATGGATGGCGAAGAGATATGTGGCGTCGTTGTGGAGAGAGCGGGAAAGAAGACGCGCGTAATGGCTCGTTCGGTCGTGCTTGCGGCTGGTGGGTTCGAAGCAAACGCTGAAAAACGTATCAAGCACCTCGGAAGAAACTGGGAGCAAGCCCACGTCAGAGGAACGCCCTACAACACAGGCGATGGATTCGAACTTGCTCGTGCCGTCGGCGCGAAATGTGCTGGTGATTGGGGCGGATGCCATAGCACGGCTTGGGATGCAAACGCCCCACGCTGGGGAGAAAGGGTTCGGACGAACACCTATACAAAGTCTGGATATCCCCTCGGGTTGATGATCAACTTGGTCGGACGCCGTTTTGTGGATGAAGGAGAAGATTTTCGAAACTTTACGTATGCCAAGTTCGGGAGGGCGATTCTTGAGCAACCTGGTGGGTACGCGTTCCAAGTTTGGGATGCAAAGGTCACCAGCCGCCTGAGAAAAGAGGAGTACGGGGAAGATGTTGTGGAGAAAATTTGGGCGCAAGGCATCGAAGAGCTAGCTGAAAAGCTCGTTGGCCGGGGACTGGAGGATCGACAACAGTTTGTGGACACACTGCACGCCTACAATGACGCAACAAAGGGAAACTTGGACGGCTGGAACCCTGCCGTGAAAGATGGACTGCGCACCCACATGCCATTGGAGGTGCCCAAGACTAATTGGGCTTTGCCGCTTGACTCTCCACCGTTTATGGCGGTGAAGGTGACTTGTGGTATCACGTTCACATTTGGAGGACTTGCAATTGACCCGCAGACGGCTGCGGTGCTCTCTGCTGCGACGAACAAGGCAATACCGGGGCTGTTCTGCACGGGCGAGATGGTTGGAGGGGTGTTTTATGGGAATTACCCTGGGGGAAGCGGGCTGACTGCCGGCGCAGTGTTTGGACGCAAGGCAGGAATGGGAGCCGGCGCACGTCTGCGTAACTGTAAATAGAAGCGTGACGTCACTGCTTGATTGATACTTATGATCTGGGACCCTGGCTCGACGGTTCGAGTTTGCCAGCTCTCTCATTTCTCCCTTCATGTCGGCTCTGGCGGACGCCCTCCATGAGGCTACCCAAAAGCACATCGCCAAACCTCGGCAAGACACCGAGGACTCAACGCATACTGTAGTCCCATCCAATTTACAGAATGGAATCTACAACAAACTACACTTCCAAGAACCACAACTTCAACATGATGATCTCTTCTCACCCTCACCTTCACACTTTGATGACGAGGGCTCAGAACACAGACTACGCCCTGATCAAACATCCAAGTCTCTGTCGCGCATACCCGGCTTCAAGTCGCCTCCGAACACACCAGCCACGAGGACAGGCCCACCACGGTCCCTCTCGTTTGCCTACTCACTTCCAGGATCTCCCAACACAACCGCCAAACCCAGCGCCACCTTCTTTGACCTTGCCAATACAGACCAAGACGCCGTGCTGGTAGAAGACCCCGAATTTTCCTTTTCTGCCACCAACAGTGACTTCCGCGGCGCACTAGAGTACCCAACACCCCGCGAACATCATGACAGGAAAGGGAAGAAGCGCGAGCGAGAAAGGAGCATGGCGGAGGATAGCTGGAATCCTATCCGCTGGTTTCAGGAGTCACCGAAGGAAGAAAAGCCTCCCACTGAGTTTCCGTTTTCCTCGGCCACCTCTCAGGAAATGCCGGCGGATGACGCGGAGGCAGATATCCAAACCCAATCCCCAGAGCAGCTTCAGGAACAAACCCAGCTCCATTCTGCATATAAATCCGACGCAGAGCAGATCTCGCACTCCAGTTTCTTTCGCCGTCCTAAACGCGGAACATCAGCACACGACTCGGACAGTCCTATCATAGGCGCCAAGACCGGGGCACTGCGCCGTGCCTTCTCGGTGCCTCATTCCCCATCGGATGCACACGAGAGGGATAAGCAAGAAAGCGGCGGGCCGACGGAGGGTCGCGCAAAGTGGTCAAGGCTACGGGCTCTTATTCCTCACCTCGTCCATCCAGACGAGAGCATCCTCCCAGGCCCATCCATGGTTACATCGCATGCTGTCAATATAACGGACGAGCTAATAACGGGTGGTTTGTCAACGCTGATGTTAAAGCTGTGGTTTGAACGCGACGAGAAGGACCATCGACGTATCCCCATCCTCTTCCATCGACTCCGAATTCGCGTCAGCGACAGCTTGCATCCCATGCAAGGGCACAGGTCGGTGTTCCGCATTGAATGCGAGTACGCGAATGGAGCGGCACGTTGGGTCGTGTATCGCGAGCTGAGAGACTTCCTCTCGCTGCATGCCCACTATACAGTGTCGAACGTCTACAACAGGAATATGGACAAGATGCCCGAGTTTCCGAAGACCAGTATGTTTCTCGCCAGAGTATATGCTATCTGGCATGTTGAAATTCTTACTTAGGTCTACCTTATTTCAAGTTTCTTAAGAAAGAAGGTCGAGAGAAGGGAGATAAGGTCGGCAGAGCGGACTTTGCTCGTATGCAGAGAGAGGCTCTGGAAACTTATCTTATTGGCCTCATTCGCGCTGTGGTATGTCTTGTTATCCAATTAAACATGTGGTTACATTCTCATCGACACCTAATTGTAGATGTTCCATCCTTCATCCAACCGTCTTGCTGGATTTCTTGAGATCAGTGCCCTCTCCATAGCATTGGCGCAGTCAGGTGGTGCTCAGCATAAAGCAGGATTCTTGAGAATAGAACCTAGTGGGAATGGTGGTGGCGGGTTTGGACGCAAGTCCGCTGGATGGAGAGAGCGAAAGGTAGCACGTTGGTGTGCAATTCGCGAAAGCTATTTGGTGGCCCTGGAAGAGCCAGGAGAGGTGCGGGTGACTCCTTGATTTATGAGATATCACCTAAAGGCTTTATAGCTCGCCGTATGGGATGTATTCCTCCTGGACTCAGATTTCAATATCGAACGTCCGAAACGATATTATCGTCAAGGTTTCGGCAATCTCTTGCATTATGAAAAGGCCGAAGGCGAACACGCTCAGAATGGGAACGCCAATGCAGACGAGCAACACCACCGCCATTACCATCACCACGAGCACCACGAGCACCACGAGCACCACGAGCACCACGAGCACCACGAGCACCACGAGCACCACGAGCACCATGAGCACATTCACAATCCAGTTCCACGAATCCAGTTGCCTGCACCACCAGAGAGCGACCGACGGTCGATAATATCCTCTATCAAGACACGTGTATCAAAGATTTTCCACATTGAACCAGCATCTCCTCGAAGTGTCAGAGGAAGCCAAGGTCGTCCGGACGACCACGATGATATGAGCAGCGGGACATCTTCGGCGTCGATTGGGTCTTCTCTGCCTTCACGAGCCCCAACACCTATGCTGGACCCCTCTACAAACGCCAACCCACTGGAGCATCACGACCACGACCACCCTGACGATCCTGGACACCAACATGGCAATCTTGATCCAGAAAAGAGAAAGAAGAATGGCACAAGTTCTGGGGCTAAAAAGAAGATCTCTACGGATGTCTCGAAACATACATTTTATATTGTCAATTCACAGACGAGACTGAAGATAATTGCACGGAACGAGGTTAGACTTGCAATCCTTTTCCCTCTCTTTGCTGATGTATTTCTTTCTATGTTGAAGCGTCAAATGCTCCAATTTATCACAGCATTGGAGAAGACCGCTGCAACATCCCACTACACCGGCAGCAATCGCTTTAACAGCTTTGCCCCCATTAGATTGAATGTAGCCGCGCAATGGCTCGTCGATGGAGTACGTTGAATGAGACACTCGACTCGGAGCTGGCCTGTGTAAACTGACTCCGTCCATTCAGCGCGATTATTTCTGGAACCTCTCCCGAGCCATGCTGCTGGCGAAAGAGAGCATCTACATCCACGATTGGTGGTTGTCGCCTGGTATGTCTCTCTCTCGATTGTACCCCATTATCAACTTCGTCCGGATGATGTCGTCGTAAGAATGCACGGATGCAGATGCTGACTCTCTTCGTTTATATCTGCTCCTTTTTGTGTTCGTCCCCTGAATGATTTTGCGCCACTGAAACCTTAATCCACGTTTTGAACCGGCGGTTATACAATCTTGTCGGCTGGACATAGAGCTATTGATGAGGCGCCCGGGCAAGCAAAGATATCGGTTAGACCGCCTGCTGGAAAGGAAAGCCAAGGAAGGCGTAAAGATTTACATCATCCTCTAGTAAAACCTTTCCCCATCGCTGTGTAGAAAGATGTCTTTCTGATATTTCCTTCCAGCCAGGAAGTATCCAATCGGACGACACCAACTGACAGCAAGTAAGCGTCGCTTTTCTGAAGTCCCACTTTTTCTCCACGAGAGATGTCGGGATAACACCACTACCGCGAATCTAAACTAACGAATTTTGTCTGGGCTCTTTTTTTTTTTTTTTTTTTTTTTTTTTAAAAAAAAATATCCAGCTATGCAAAACAGCGGCTTGTTGGTCTGCATCCGAATGTCATGGTCCAGAGATCTCCTTCCCATTTCCAGACCGGAACATTCTACTGGGCTCACGTAGGTTTTCCCTCCCTTTTCGCCCCTACAGGCAGTCAGAACCACGCAGCTAATTTTTCCTTCATTTCGCTTAATTGTGGATCTGGAATCTGTAGCATGAGAAAGTGTGTGTTATCGACCAGACAATCGCCTTCATGGGTGGTTTGGATCTTTGTTTCGGGCGGTATGTTTGCGGTCAAGATTTCATATATCCTATGTGACTGATATTGTACATTCAGATGGGATACTCCACAGCACGCTTTGACCGATGACACAGCCGACACCGATAATGAGGAAATATGGCCTGGTGAGACTTATATTTGTTCGAAAATCCCATGCGCTTATTATTGGGCGTAGGCAAAGATTATAGCAACCCACGGTTGTCTGATTTCTATAACCTCAACAAGCCTGAAGAGGATATGTACGACCGGACAAAAGTGCCGCGTATGCCTTGGTATAAATTCTCTACCTGTCTGCGCTGTGTAAATTCGCTAATTTGCGTGGTATATCAGGCATGACGTCGCGATGCAGATCGTCGGGCAGCCAGCCCGAGACTTGGCACGCCATTTTGTCCAGCGGTAAGTGCGATATGTCACATGAGTATTCAGCTGTTAATTAACTCTCGCAACATTCCAAAGATGGAACTACTTGCTGAGAATAAAGGTCTGCATATGTCCTTGCCCCTCTTCCGTGGAAAGAGTCGGGGCGACATCGTTTGCTAACCACTCTTCTTTTCATTCGCCTCTCCACTTCCACCCTGGCATGTTGCACTCGTGCACGACAATGACAATGAACAGAACCACTCGCGGGTCATGCCCTTCCTATTGCCTCCACCAGAGTTCAGGCCTGGCGAGCTAACACAGATGGGTTTAACTGGGACATGTGAGCTACAAATCTGCCGTTCTGCGGGGCCCTGGTCGCTCGGCACTCCTGGGAAGATCGAGCATTCGATTCAGAACGCCTACCTGAAAGGTGAGTTCTGCCGCGAACGCGATAACGTTGCAGGTTTCTCATTGTAGTTCAAAAATTGCTGTTCCGTCCCTTGTCATCTGTGCAAATATGTGATTTGTCGGTCATTCACGGGATGCACAGCGATCCAAATGTCCGAGCACTTTGTTTACATCGAGAACCAATTCTTCATCACCTCGTGCGTACCCCTTATCTTCCCATTTCTGGCTGCACTTGTAAGATCATGTTCACTCACCGACTTCCTTTAGAACGACTGTGAATGATGTAAAGATCGAAAACAACATTGGAGATGCCATTGTTCATCGCATTATTCGGGCACACCGGGATCGAAGGCCTTGGAAGTGCTGTATCTTGATTCCTCTTATGCCTGGATTCACGTTTCCAGTTGATCATAGCGATGCTAGTGCTGTGCGTCATCACCCTCAGAATACGTTGAATACGTCATTAATGTCCCTTCTTGCTCATAGATTCGGATAATCATCGAGTGTCAAAACCGCACCCTAGCTCGTGGCCCAAATTCCATTTTCTCTCGACTCCGAAAGGAGGGCATTGATGTGAGTAGACTCACCGCTGAACGAAGTCTGTTCTTATTGCTACGGTCTAGCCTGATGAGCACATCTCGGTCTTTTCTCTACGGAACTGGGGCAAGATGCGGGGCGACGTTTTGACTACGGAACAAGTGCATGATCCCCTGTAACCTCTGGCACGTGCTCTCAAATTTACCCTCCTACCCCTATAGGTCTATATCCATGCAAAGCTCTGCATCGTGGACGATCGCCTCGCTATCATTGGAAGCGCAAATATCAATGAACGATCACAAAGAGGGGATAGAGACTCAGAAGTGGCTGCCGTAATACGGGATACTGACATGATTGATAGGTATGTTGTTCTTTTTGGTTGTGATAGGGCGAGCAGGACGGTGCCGGCCAAGTGCGCCTCTTATTTCTGTTGGTGGTTACTCAAGAGTTTATCCCAGCACAATGGCCGGAAAGCCCTTCAAAGTTGGTCGCTTTGCGCACACACTCCGCGTGCGACTGATGCGTGAACACCTTGGAATTGATGTTGACGCTTTGGACGAAGAAGACATTATGACACACGAACCTATCAAACCAGAGTTTGAGCAGGCTGCTTGGGATCCAGACAAAGAACAAGTTTATGGTGAAGAGCATGGGGTGACACATGTTAAGAAATCGAATCAAAAAACGCCCCTGGGCAATATGGCGTCTGCTGCAAAGGATACGACGGATCAAGGTGACTGGCGTGCTAATGGAGAAACAACAATATCTAACTTTTTGTTCATTCCGTCTGACAGCTGCTCATGCCGCCGCTGATTTCTCGTCCACGAAGGCTGCACATGTGCTACACAGACTGGGACTTGACCAGAGCTCTGTAGCTCATAACATCGGAGAGGACACCTTGAAAGAAGAACGCAAGGACTACAACAGAGAAGGTCAAAAAGAAACTGGTTTCGCGAGCTCCGTCGTCCCGACCCTCGAGGAGAAAGTAGCTGCCGAAGGAAGGTCCCCTAAAGACCGAATTGCTGATGACCAGGATAGCGTAACGATTCGAGACGAGACCATTGACGAAAGATCCTTGTCAGAGCATAGACTGACGCAAAACGGGCAGTTTAAACCAACCTCGGCGGTACCCGACCTTCCCACAGATGACAACGTTCTATTCGGGGCGGTGGCTAATGCACAGGACGCCACTGTCGATAAGGAGCCTCCTCGATCCTTGAAGAGCGATGTTGACGAAGAGGAACAAACCCCGCCAGGGGCAAGAGCATCCATCCGAAACACCCTTGGAAGTAAATCGACACGGAGGCATGCTTGGACTGTCCCTACAGCGAAGCCGAAGGTTGAACCCCAGGATTTCGAAGACCCTATATCGGACACCTTTTGGAAGAACATTTGGGTTGCCAGTGCCGTACACAACGTCAGTAGCCCTTTTTGCCTCTCGTCCTATTTATAACCAAGGTCGTGCTGGACTGATCATGCCCCGTCGCCTTTGCAGACGGAGATATTCCGGAAGGTTTTTCATGCTGTTCCAGACGACCTTATCACCACTTGGAAACAATACAAGGAATTTGTGGCCTATCATGACCGTCTAAGCAAGCCCGTGAGTTTCTGTCATCGACGGCAACTCCTGATCACATCTCAATGCCGGCGTTAGACTCGTGATAGCAGCTCAGGAGAACCTGTGGCTCGAGTACCGTCCGAATCAGGCGACGAAGGGGCTACGCATGTATCGCACACATCTGACACGACAGACATGGCGTCGCAGATAAGTAAGGACGTAGGCGAAGACATGCCGACAACTCCTGCGAATAGCTCATCATTTGCTGCATCCCAAAACGAAGAGCCGCCACCTAAACCTCGTCGACCAGCCCGGGGTTCGGAACCTTTCGAGAAATGGGAACGTGAGGAAATGGAGAGGCTCTTAGGGGAATTGAATGGCCAACTAGGCATGTCTTTTCAACTTCTGCCTAATCAGTGCTTAATAATAAACTAAACAGTTATTCATCCAACTCGCTTCCTGGAAGGCGAGGATATTGCCAACAACTTCCTCTTCAACGCTGACCGGTTCGTTTCGCTCTTCTACTCAGGCTTGCTGGAGCTAATGGGCCCACCTCAGTTTGCTGCCGCTGCCCATCTACAACTAATCAGCGAAATTTCCTCACATCCCAAACCTATCCGCTTTGCTATTCTCAATGCTATCTTGCCTATACCCTCGCATACGTTTGAATTTTTATGTGGACTTATCTTATGGAACTCCAGGGTTAATTCAAATTCATGATTTCGTTGTGAAGCTGCGGAGTAGAGAGTGTTTCCCAATACTTCCTTCGATTCAAAGTTACTTAAACGCCTTCAAGCAAATTTACCTTGTTTGGTTCCACGCTAGCCTTTTGCCCAGCCAAACAACTCCCACCCATAACTCACTCTTCTACCAACTTTGGCACCGTTCTCTCCTTGCACAGGATTATGGCTTCGTCAATGACTCTAACCGAACTCCAAAAGCTGAACGTGACGCAGCTTAGGCTCTTGTGTAAGGAGAAAAAAATCACTGGCTACTCGAAAACACCTAAGGAGGTTCTCATCGAAAAACTATTGGCTTGGCAAAAACCTCAACCGACGCCATTGAAAAAGATCGTCTCTTTGGCCTACATTGCTTGCGACATAGCTCAACCTGCTGGAACGACAGACAATTCAACTCTGGGAACAGAAACCTATACTGCGATACCAGACAGCTCTTCAACGGCCTATATTGAAGCTCTGACAACTCATGCATCACAGAACGGCGCTCGACATGTAGCAGCGCCTTCTGGTTCCGCCTATGTAACGTCCATGACTCCTCCGACTTCTATCAAGCGACCTGCGACTGAAAGTGGTCAAGTATATGCGCGCAAAATAGTCAAAGTGTCGCACAGGAGCAACCAGGAACCGCCTTCGAAATACCCAGATGAAAAGGCCAAATCTACTGGTAACTTGACTGTTGCAAACCCTGTACATCGAAGCACACAGGAACCGGAAGCCAGAAAATCGAATTCATGTTCTCGACCTTTCAAGCCCCTGCTGCTCAAGAAGAATTTGAGATTATCTGTGCAAAAACATAAGGTCTCAACGACAGCAAACCTCAGCGTTCCCGAACCAACGACTCTTTCCTTAGTTATTATGCCCTGCATAGATTTTCCCCAAGACTCCACAATCTCGCTGAATCCTATATCTTTCCCTCCTTCAGTTGCTCAAAGAAAGCGAGTGCCGAGGCTTGCGATAGCCCTGACTGCCATTTCTTCGGAAGATCTGAAGATTTGTGCCCAAGTCTCCAAATCCTTTCGTTATGCTGGTGCTCATTAATATTTCTTGCCTTTTCGGCCACTCTAATGCCTTTAGCTAGCATATCTGTCTTCGTCGCATCAACTGTCAAGAATGTTTTCCGGCCAGCGACTGGACAAGATGCTTCAACGATATTCTTCCAAAATAACCAATCTGTGGCCGTATCTCTTACATCGCGAACAGGAAGTCGAAAAGAAGAAGCTTGCATATCACTCTTCGTTTATTGGACCTGCAATGGGGAGACTCTGCGCGATATCTGAACGTCTTTGGACAAGCCCAGATGATGAAAGACAGGTCAATGTCGCCATTAGGTATAAATTTTACCTTGATGGAAAGCTGGCTACCACGGAAAAAAGACTACGCGTACTGATCTTGTGCGCAGGTTCATTCTAACAAAATTCTTCTTCCATGTGTCAATCGAGTCTCTAGGGAACACAGCGAATTCGAATCCTATGAGCATCTTGGACGCACAACAAATCACCAACGACATCTGGGAGATAACTACTCATTCAGCGTCTTCGATTTCCTCTTATTACATTCTGGAGGGTACCTGTGAAGTCATAGGACACCCTCCTGCTTCTCAGATGAAACCCTCTGACGTTGTTCATCTTCGAGCAGATTGGTCGGCGTACATTGGTGCTAGAATCAGGAAAGGAGAGAGCGGTGCAGTCGACCTACGGCAAAATCCTGACTTGTTGGACCAACTACAATGGACCAATCATGAGGAGTACGACAAAGGCCTCAGTAAGCTCTGGTTGTCGAGAATTCAACGAGAAGGAGAAACAGGGAGAGCAAAATTGATCGTAGCACGGCGTTATGTCTTAGCCTGCGTAGTGGGTAACAGGTAAGTCTGCGCCTAAGTGATCTCTCTTGTTCATTCCGCATTGACCTGGCGCTCTATTCAGTGTTAGCGGTCCCTGGTTGTCGTCCAGTGAGATGCATCAAGAATTCAGTGGCCTCCAAAGCCATGTATCAACGACCCGCGATCACAGGACTCAAAGAGTGAACCTGTTCCTCCCAGCGTATGCCGTTCGAAAGCAAAATTGGCATGCACTGATTGACTTTGGCCCGCAGACACCACCATGTCGAAAGTGTGCACTTCTCTTCGAGCGGAAATCGTGCATTGCATCCTGCTGTTGCCGCTGTCCAAACCCCTAGAAGAGAGTATTTCATTCTGCGCGACAACGGAATGCAAATTGGATGCGAAGAAGAGGGCATTGCTCCTGTGTGGATGAAGATATTGGGGTGTACAGCAATTGGGGTTCACCATGGGTGATCCAATGTAGCACAGTAGTGAGGCAGAAAATGATAAATTGGTGTCGAATCACCACGACAAAAATGGGAGACAGAACCAAGATGATGGATGATTGAACGTCGCTATGACCGGCCCTTCTTCTTGGGTTTTGTCTTATTTGCGCCCTTCTTGTCCAACTTCACTGTATCGCCTTTACGACTTCTAATCCCCTCTCTTGCCTTTGGCCCCTTTCCCATGTCACCTTCGAAAGTGCTTCCAGACTTGGATGGCCTGCCCAATGTCTTTCTCTTTTTCTTTGTTGGCTTGGAATTCCGACGCTCTGACACTCCAATTTTCTGCGGACGGAAAGCCTTCTTTGCCGAACGGATAGCGGCATTCAGAGCCTTGCTATCATTTGCCTCTTTGTCGTCTTCCGTTGTCATTCTTCTTCGTTTCGCTCTCCGTGACAAGCCTGACAGCTTATCCCGCTTGGGCTGGAAAAATAACGACAATTAAGAAGATGTATCAAGCGATGGTGGCTGAATACCCACTTTAGTTGTATCCACACCCTTTGGTGCAGTTTTCTTACCTCCAGTCTCATGTAGACGCTTGCTCAGCTCTTGAAATTTGAGAATAAATTATCCTGATAGGAGATGGATGAGGAATGCAAACCTTCCGCCTTCTGCTTTTCTTTCCCTGTTTGGAACCATGTACGTGCTGGACGCGAAAAAATTTCGGCTTCGTGTTCAATCATATTCTGGCCCTTTTTTAGCTCCATTTCCGCCTGTCGAAGCTATAGGCGGTGTCAGTCAAACATACGAAAGAGGGAGAACCGCGAAACCAGCGCACATGTCTCTCCTCCTTCTCCTCCTTAAGAATCTCTGCAATCTCCACTGTGAGACCTTCCAGCTTCTGCACCCATGTCTGGAGAACCTCGGAGGGAACGATGCGGTGCCGAACTTGGTCCTCGCCTGAACTATGCTTGATAGCCGCCTTGAGCATTTTACGATCGGCCTCTCCAACGAGGGATACAGAACTGTGGCGATAAATCAATCAATGTCTGCCTACGACAAAATTACACATGCTTACCGGCCCTTTTTGCCCGCACGGGCTGTTCGACCGACACGATGGAGGTATTGAGCCGGTTGAGACGGCATATCATAGTTGATGACAGTCTCGACTCCCTTGATATCCAAACCGCGAGATGCTAGGTCGGTTGCCATTAGGTAGTCAACTGTACCTTCCCGGAAGGCATGCAGAGCTTTCAGACGCTAAAAAGGTGTCAAGACCGAAGCGATACCTTATAAAAACAAAACCAGCCTGTTCCTGCGTCAAATCGCCATGAAGCTCCTCGCATTTCATCCCAACCAAACCAAAGACAATGCGCATTTGATGGGCCAGCCTTTTACTCCTCAGGAAAATGATGACTTTATTTTTGAAAGTCCGTTTGCAAAGGGAAACAAGCAGCGCCGAGCGTTCATTCTCTTTTCCTGCTTTTACGCGAACAAATTCTTGCACTAGCCCACGGGCGGTTGATCTCTTCGGGTCAACAAACAATCTGACTGGCCTATTCAACGACATTTTGACAAGTTCGTCGACGGAATCTGTCATTGTGGCAGAGAAGAGCATTGTTTGTCGGGATTTGGGGCATGACTTGATGATTTCTGAAAGCTCATCGGCGAAACCGTCGTCCAGCATTCGGTCGGCTTCGTCGAGTACAAGAACGTCGACCGCATCCAAGTCAAAAGAGGGAGAGTTGCGGATATGATCAATGAGACGACCTGGGGTTGCAATTACGATGTCTGGGCGTGTCCGCAAGTCCGCTTCCTGCGACTTCAAAGACAACCCACCTAGAATAAGGTTCAGAAAGAAGAGGACATCTATCAGAGAGCATACACACCAACGAGAAGTGATAAACGAATGTCGGTATGGGTCGCAAGCTTCGTGCCCACATCGTAACATTGTACACCGAGTTCCCTCGTGGGCACAAGGATGACACATCGTGTAGCGGCAGCCTTTTTACCCTTCTCGCGGTAGAGGAGACGCTCGAGCATAGGAATTATGAAAGCGGCAGTTTTTCCTGATCCCGTGACGGCATTTCCGACGACATCCTTCCCGAGCAGTGCTACGGGTATCGTTGCAGCTTGAATAGGTGTGGGTTTCGAGAAGCCAAGGGTTGTTAATGCCTTTAGGATTGGACGGGAGAGGTTCATTGTTAGGAAAGAATCATGGCTCGCCGCTGGACCTGATTCCGAGTCGAAGAAAGCCGCTTTTCGGTCTTTCTCTGCTTGGGTTTCCTCCTCCACCTCTTCGTCGCTGTCGTCGTCTTTGTCTTCAGCATCTTCGTTATCCTCTCCACTGCTCCCTTCTTCCTCTTCGCCTTCCTCACTGCCTTCATCTGATGTTGCCAGAGGGTCTTCCTCGTCCAGTTCGGAGCCCAATTCCTCCCCGTCTTTCGCGTCACTTTCGTCTTCTTCGCCTTCGCTTTCATCTTCAGACTCCTCTTCGCGTTTCCGCTTGGAGTTCAGTCGCCTCCGAGCAATAATTTCATCCACAGAGATGGGGTCCTGGAGACCAATTACTGATGAGATAACAACTGAAATTACTGGACATACTGGTCTGCTGCCTGTTTTCACGAGGTCTGCGACTCCAATAGTTTTGTTTGCAAAATCGACGTATGGATCTCCGCCAATGTCGAAGACAAAGTCTGGGTCGAGTTTGGCATCGTCTTGCGGTTCCTTCTTCGATTTCGAAGACGACGCAATTGGCACGTCCTCCACGTCGGAGTCTATGGTCATAATAAAGTCAGACATTGTTCCTGAATGGGTGGGTTGACGATGGGGTATGTGCTGAAAAGGCGAGCGGAATTTTCACAAAAGAAAAGTGCACGTGGCTTGACGACATTGTCCGCCCGGGCCGCGGATTGTTCTCACGTTTACACCAATCATGAGTGTCATCCGGCATCTGGAGAGTCAAAGCCCTACTCACTTGATATACCCGGCAGTCTCGCAGGGCTTGCCGCCCTATATTCTCTGTCTGTACCACTAGTCTTGTTCTCTTGGTTTCTTGGTTTCTACAGTCCTCCTTGTTCTCGTATCCTCAGCAATCATGGCTATTCTCGAAGGCAATACCGATCATGACCTTATGCAGCAGCTCTGGGGTATAATCACTGAGCTTGGGGAGCAGCTCAGTCAGAATCGTAGCATGTCTGTATCTCTCTATGGATTAACGAGTAAGATAAAGGTAAGCAGACGCAGCAATCCGTGTATACGCGTTGATGTCGACCATACGTTGCAGTCCCAGGCTATCAATTCGCAAACAGGTTTCGTGCTCCGGAGGTGCGTTGTAGGATAAATACTGTTCCAAAGTCTTACGCGGAATTGTCTTCAGATTCAATATGGATAAGACTAAGGGTATGGTCCCATTACGCATACAAGGTTTCGATGACTTACAGGTGCGCAGAGGAGTACGATGCCGAACTGGAGAACATGAACGCAGCCATGACACAAGAGAATCAAAATCTGCAACACGATAACAAGCAACTTAACGCCCTCATCAAGGAGTATGAACAGACGTTGGAAACCCTCATGAGTTGAGAAATATTCCTTTATCCCGTTGCCGTTCTAATGATTTCCTTCAAGGCTCGTTTAGAAATCGGGCTGTAGGTATATATCCTCATTTCACAGTGAAGAGGAGTCCTAACTTCCTTTCATAGAAAGACGTACAGGAACGCGAACTATCCCTAATACGAGAATACGAAGCCAAGCTATTAGCCCGAGAAGAAGAGAACGCAAATAAAGACCTCTGTGCCACGACAGCTATCTCCAACTCTCTTGTTCGCCTGTCACATCTATTGCGGCAAGTCTTACGGTCTCAAAACGGAGAAGACGCGGAATCGCATACAGCAGAGGGAGATGACGAGGAGGATCGCGAACCATGGACAGCGGCTGCCGCGTCGGACCACGCTCTGGAACGAGACATTGAATTAGCACGCCTCGAGAAAGAGAACGAGGAGCTACGGCGGTTGATGGGGCTGCTACCGCCACAGACGCGCAGGGATAGCGGATCTGACTTCCGGCCGTTGTTCGAAGCACCCCATCCCATGCGCCTACCGAGCATGCAGAAAGTCGGCTCCACAGGCGGCAGCCAGCCAAATTCACCGTACGAACCCCATAAGAGAATGTATCTGCGAACTGTGGTTAACGTCTAGTGTCGTTTTCTAGCTATTGAATGGACGACAGGTGATCGATTGCCTAGCTTTTTTTCCTGAATGCAGAATTGCTGATAGCCAGGACGTATCAAGCACACATTCTATAGTACTTATCTTTGATGGAACGCACGGACATCAGAATGGGCTTTAAGGTGTTCGGAGAGGGGCTGTGACGGCTGTTCATGGCAGCCGGTCCCATCGCTGGGCAGTTGGGTAAGAGGTGGTGGACATGATAATTTACCGAGCAGACTGTAGAATTTCCATCGGGGACGATGGGGGGTTCAGTGGCCTCTAAGAGCGCTTTTTCGTGGAAGCTTTTCGTCTGCCATTGGGTAACATGCCAAGTCCGGCTCAAAGGTGACATATGCTTCCGGGTGGATGTCCAGCATGCACAAAGGGTTTAGCCTTTGGTGATGTTTTGAAGTCTGCTTCTGATCCATGGTCTCTCGCCGAGCAAAACGCGCATTACGGAAGGACCGAAGGGTGGGCGCGTCAGCCCAGGCAAAATTTGAAGAGGAGTCGTTTGCGTCTTCCAATGATGTAGAGACCTTAGTAGCGGTGGTGCTGTGGGTAAGGCACGGACGGATGTAATGCTTTATGAGGAAAACTTGCAAATCAATTTTGAGCCAGGGCGAGTTTAATAAACATACATGAAAAAATGAGGCACACCAATGAGATGGACGGATGGTTTTCCTTATTCAAATTTGGCGCAGGGGCTTACGCATAATTTTCCCCTGACGCACTACGACAACACCCCGACGGTACTCATCCGGACCCATCATGTCGAACGGGGCCATAGTGAAGAAGGCTGGGAAGATGGATGGCGGCGAGGACGCGGTGGTGAGTGTTTGGTAGCTTATTGGTACCGCGACTACTCCGGTCGATCAGCTCAAGGCGCTGCAGTGCCCATACTTACACCCCCATCATGACCTTTTCGATTTCCATTCACCTTCGCTGACTTTTCCCATCTTTCAGCTTCTCACCCGTCTCCCAAAGTCGGCTTCTCCAACGGTCACTTCCTTTACAAGAACCACATCACCGCCCCTCATTTCACGTCGCCCTGGTGCTTTGCAGGACGAACACACCAACATTCTTCGAGGCATGAAACTGAGCAAGAACACTGACCTCTCACTGGACAGCAGGCCTCGCTCCAACTCCCGAGCGCTCGAGAAGGGCAAAGAACCTATTCGTGGAGACAGTATTGGCTCGGATGCCACCTCTGATTTCGGCAAGTACAGTATCTCTTCTTGTCCTCATCGCACCATAACCGGATTCATGAGCAGGCAGCGACCACTTCACCCCACGCTACAACAGCGGTCCTGGGCACACGTACGACAGAGTCCGACCTGCCACTACAGACGGCAACAACAGTGTCAACGCCAACGGACGGAATAAGTTCAGAGCTGGCCTCTTAGTGGCCGCATCTGATGCATTGGGCTTTAAATTTGGGCGACGACGACCGTCAATACGACAACATCCCATGCCAGTTATTCTTCCAGACGTTATCGAGATTAGTGCCCCACGCGCCGACGAGGAAGTCGAGGAGCGTAACCGCTTACGAGAAATAGCAGCACACGCTATTGGCTTAGGACCCTTCATGGTGTCACCAGGGTCCCACTCGCGCGACGATAGTGCGACGGACGAGGATGACGAAGACCAAACCCCCATCCTTGACTCCGCCGAGATGAGACCTTTAGGTTATATGCGCAACTCCGAGTCTGCACCCAACATTGCCGGAAGATCACCCCATGGCTCCAGTCTCTCTATTGCGATACCTCAAACACAACCACCGCCCATAGGCCGATATCGTTCAGGTTCTATACTAGCCCACAACCCATCCACCCCCACAGCTATTGCCCCTATACCCCCATTCCCATCAACAGTCGCCACTCTTACCTCCTTCCGCCAAACGGCAGGTACTTATCACAAGTACTACCCCCCTTCGTCCTTGCGAATTTTTGCCTTGTCCAAGAGCTGGAAAAGTAGATATCTAGTTCTATCGACACCAGCAACCTTGGTTACGCGAGGGCAAGGCCCTGCTGTCTCCTACCTGCATTTGTTCAAATCAGGAAACCCTGACGAACAAGAGCTTGAACGTCTCGAAATCAACGAAGATAGCGTTGTTTTCGTCTCCGAGGAAGAGGTTGGAGCTAAACGGGGTGTTATCAAGGTGGGAGGGATAGATGTTGGCGCTATGCGGAAGGAGTACACTCACGAAGAGGGCGGGCATATCATGTGGCTTTTGCAAATACCCGACCAGGCTGACGCTCAGCGGTGGATCACGAACATCAAGAACGCCATCCTTGGGCAGAGGTAGGGAGCTCAAGTTGTTCAGGCGGTCGCCCCTCTTACTGATAATCCTAACAGAACTGTCCGCGCTGGGTTGATTCCTGCTCATACCCTGGGGAACAACGAGCCCCGCGGAGATATGGATGTCATGCTTTCTATTCGCGCTCAAGGTCTCATCACTGCGCCCATTACTGGTCCTCGGTCACCTACGCAGGCTACGACTCCCATCAACGTCCCGGCGGTCGAAAAGAATCCCAATTACGCCTCATCCATATCTTCACGCTCTATACGCTCTCAAAAGACTATCCCAAAGTCGTCGTCACCAGTCGGCGCTGTGTCGGCGCTGAAAGGTCTCTTCGCCAATTCCACACGACCGCGGTCTGCATCGCGAGCAGCTTCCATCGAATCTGAACGACAACAGGAAAGAGCAGATGGCAACGAGGAGTCCTTCACTAGCATGGGTAGCAATCTTCTGAGCATGCTTCGATCAAATACGCCGGACACACAGTCCATCAATACTAGCACAACGACCACCACTCGGATGAACTTGCCGATCGCTGGTCCTGTAGGACCTATTGACCGTCGCATCGATCGAAAGATCCTGTCAGACAGACAACCCATTCAATGGGCCAGTACTGAGCCAGCGTCGCTGAGCAAAGATAGAGCCAATAGGGCATTGTCTCTTGGGGCACTTTCCTTGCAACCACCGCCGCGCAAGCGTTGGACGTCCGCATCAGCCCGGCCTCCGACGCCTCCACCCAGCCAGGATTCAACGACTGAGAACCAGCCTATCGGAACGGTAAAACGCAGCAGCTTATCAATGCCAAGGAGGTCGATTGACCGACCAGAAACGGAACCACCGTCAAGCCCGAATCTCTCTGGTTTTCGTTTTGGCACCCCAGAAGAGCCACGACCTCGTGCACCGTCCGTCCGGTCCGTTTCTACATACGCCTCTGGTGAAAACGGCGTTGGCTTTGAGAGGTCGAGCGTAAGCACGAAACGTAGTTCTGGCACGCGAAGTGCTCGCCGTTGGTCGCGGCAGGGCATCCTCCCAAGCCGTATGCCTACTGAGCCACCTCCTCCTGTTCCGTTAAGCCAGACTCTGCATCCATATGCTGCAGAGCGTGCACCTAGTCCTATTTCGTCGCACGGGAGTCAACAAAGTGTTGTCTCTGGCTTGCCTACGTTTTCCAAAAGGGCTTCTGGGTCATCGGCCATTAGCATTGGCTCTCTAAGTACGACGTATTCCCAAACTGGTTCTACTTCTCCCAACGTTGTGCCTATCACAATACGAACACCACCAAGTCACAGATCCTCTATGATGCCTCCACCTCGGCCTCCGCCTACATCTGCGCTCCCACCTGCCCCAGTTGATATCCAGCAAGAAGATGCCCAACAAGACGTCGTCAACTCCTTGGAAATGGCGCCAACCTCTTCTAAATCGTCATTCCGTAATTCTGTCACTAATCGCACCTTTAGACTGTCTATGATTGCTCCGAGCAAGCCACCTCCTTCTACAACGCTACCGCCTCGACCTGACGAACCTGAGTATCGCACCCACCGCCGTTCTTCGAGCGGCAGTGGGACGAATGGCCTGATCACTCACGCTTCCACGAAATTGGAGTCCATACCCGCATCACCAATACCCCCTGCTAAAACTATTAACCCATTCCCACCACCTATTGGACCTCTACCACCAACGCCAGCTAATAGCCCGTCGCCTACAACGTCTCAACAGACTACTCATCCTAAACGTACGACCTCATTCAAGCAACGACTCCGGATTCTCAGTGCACCTTCGTCTTCTGCAAGTCCCCCAACAGCCAAGCTGCAGTTCTCGCGCTCGATGACGGCCGGCTCGGTTACGACCTCTCCACCCGGTACACCCATCGCGGAAAAGATCACACCATTCCAAAACGACCCCAGCTTCCTGCAGATGCACACACCCATCCTCGCTCCGCTTCCTACCCCTAAAGCTCTTATAACAGAACCATCGGAAGAGATCGCTGAAGTCACTTCACTCTCCCCACCTCCACGCCGTGGCTCCAAACAATTGCTTGAATCAGACCTTCAGGCCTCCCATGCCCTGAATAGTCTCGTGCAGGCCGAGGCGAAGTCTGAACCAGCTGACGAGTCCAAACACCCAACGTCGTCTCGACCAGTTTCTCAGCAGAGTCAAGGCTCACAATTGCTCCTCGAGGGCGAACTTGAACGGTCAGAAGACATCAAACCCCCGCCGGATGAGTTCGCAGAGGAAAAGCTTCCTTCACCCGTCGAGGCTCAGCCTCGGCATGTATCACTCTCACGACCGGGATCTGTTATATCCTTGGGCATCATGAGCATGTAGCAGAGATCCCCCCCATTCCCGGTGGTGGCTATTTTTTTATGTGAACTCTATTATTCAACTTGTGTAGTGTATCAATCGTACTTCTGTTTCTCAAGGTGCATAGTTGACCGCAATCATCAGAGTTAAAGAATGGCATGGTGTAGTTTGGCGGGGATAATATACAGTAGTACAATATTAACGTAAAAGAGCAAGAGGATCAGGCGAAGCTGTTTTCTACGTCAGCGCTATCTTCGCCTTGTTCAAGGTTGGCAAACTAGAGAACGTGTTATCAGTTTGTGTTATTTGACCCTTTCACAAGCATGTACTCACTGTCAAAAAGGCAGCAGGTCGATGCTCCTCCGCCCAGAAAGGCAAAGGTGTGTCAAGATTCATGGAGTAGCTCAAGTTAGGAGCCCACAGCTGAGTGAGGCCGATACCATAATTCCACACTCGTCCTTCGGGAACCAGGGTCATGCCCAATATACGATCCGAGAGGAGGAGTTGCACGCGCTCCGACATGTTGGGGTTGAATCCCTAGAAATTTAATAATAATTAGTTAGGCACATCAAGTTCAAGACAGAATAACGCACCGGAGGATTTGAAGATGTGTCCTGGTTCTTCCTTCCCCATTCGAATCCAGGAACAGTAAGAGAATGAGCAGAAAGCGACACAGAGCCAGGCGTGAAGGACGCAGTAAGACAAATTGAGGAGGAACCCCATTCCGGGTGATCTGCCATTAATTTGGCTTGTGCAGTAACATCGATAGGTGATAGGTGAGGGATTTCCAGGGCTTGTGTTTTGATCCAACCAAGGGGTTCAAGGTCTTTGAGAAGAACATCGTGCTTAGGAAGTTGAGCAGGAAGTTCTACACCATTGTTGCTGCCGCGCTGAGGAGCCCATGCAATGGCCTGGAGATCACAGGATGCACAATTAGTGAACAGTTTATAAGTATGGGAACATATAGTTTACCTTAATTTCTTTGACTTGTTTGTTATCCCCCGGCGAAACACCGTACAAGAACGCCGCTACTTGTGTTCGCAAGTCGGCAGCAGTGATGAACGCGCGCAAGACGTTCTTCGGCAATACATAAGTGAAGGAGGCAGCATCGTCCTTGACATCGTCGTTGGACACGTAGATGTGTTGCAATCGAAGCGGTAAGTGGGTCGCCGAGATTGCTCGAACGCGCCAGTCGGACTTGCTGCTGAACACTTGCTGCTCATAGTTGGTGGCTGTTTGGCAACGCTATTAATTTCCTTTGATAGAATAAAGGGGATAGAGGAACATACTGGTGACGGTCTGGATGGTGTCTCCATGGACGTTCGTCGTTTGACTTTGCACAACATAAGCAGACGATCAGGCAATCCTGGAATTGTACGTACGTTTGCACAGCCGTAATCTGACTTTGAGCTTCTGAGCTTTTCTCCAATTCGGCCATTTGTTGCCGTTGTACAGATGGTGCAGCAATTTCTTGACCTAGAATGATGTCTCGAACCTCGCTGACAGTGAGTGACGCGATGTTCACGCTGTTGCGTTTACCAAAGTCCTAGAAGGAAGAAAGATTAGGGAGGGGAAAGACACGGCGCAGAGAACGAACCGCAAGAATTAGCTCCTTCATAGCAACTTCGACCTTAATCCACTCCTCGTCCGTTAAGGTGGGCCAAACAAAATGAGGTTCTGTGATTGTCGATTTGTCGGGATGCAAGATAATCTTCGCCTTTTCGTTATTGACATGAAGACCACGCAGCAGTAAAATCAATCTGGAGAAAGCAGTGTAACTCGAGATCGACTTCAGCCAATCATCTATGAAAGAGATATCGTTAGTAGATGAAAAGCAAGCCAAATCGTCGAGATACCATAAAGACTGAAAAGAACCATTTGCGGTTGCGTTGCCCTCTGAGATGTCAATGTCAAATGGAGGGATGGTCAATGAGAGTATGATGTATGTACCAGAATGAGATCTCCGAATTTCTCCATCTTCATACAAGCTTGGAACGGTAATTGAAGCTCGCTTCCCTTGATGACAATATTGGGGAAATCAAGAAGATGGACCTCGAGCGGGTCTATGTCATTTTTTTGAGTTAGGGTTGAAGACGCCGGAGCCTCTGATTTGACTGCTTACCTAACATCCCTTTCCGAGTGACAATTACTTGTTTAGGCTGCTCTTCGACGGGAAGAGAACGAACAAGAGCAGCAACCTCTTCTGCGGTTTTCCACTTAGCCAGTTGACCAAGACGTTTCTGGCCAGCCCAGACGCTCGTATGGATGATCTTGAGGAACAGTTGTCCTGATCTGGGGTTGAAAATGAAGATGGCACCATCTGCGACGACCCGATGAATATCATGACAAGCTCAAGACGTGACAACACCCACTGATGGGCTTAGTCGTTAAGTTTCCTTCGAACGTTTTGTGGCTATTTTGGTGTCAGTGAGTGAGATAGTAATAGTTGATGAGGGAGCATACATGGTTACGCGGTAGACATTTGTGTCGTCGACGAACCCTGAAACAGGTTACTTATTGCGAAATGCATTTTCACAAACGACCTACAAATGATCTGGTTGGAGAAAAGTTCTGAATAATTCTGCGCATATAAAATATTAGCTAACGTGAAAGACGTCGTCTTTGACAGTTACCTGGCTGTTCAAGTAGGGTTCCGTTGGTTCAGAGGAATACAGTTGCAAGCCTTTCCGGATACGTTCCCGCAAAACGTGACAGGCTGGGTTAGCTTTCATGATCTTGGCCATAGCCTGTTGGATGAGCGGTTTCAATCCAGGGAACCAGTTGCCGTAGGCCGACCATAGATTGTAAGCAAGATCCATGCCGATCATGACGCCAGTTGGTGAAGGGTAGATACTCATCGAATCTGAGACGTAATCCAGGAACTTCGCGCGAGTGTAGCGCTCGATGTCATGAGTATCGAAATCTCCCCATCTCAGTTGAACATCGATCCAGAACTTGTTGCTAGTCGTTCCATCAAGGACATCTTTGACCTATTATACAATTAGAATTGGTTTTAGGAAGGGGGGCTGGCACTTACATCCGTCACGAGTGATGGCCGCGCTATATTCCACTTAGGGCACGTTAGCAGTCGGATGCCGATGGCAAGGGAAGCTCCATACCTTGTATGCAGAGAAAAGAAGAATGTCTGCACAAGAAGAGTTCATCTTGTAACTCTTACGAGGATGAATTGTCTCTTTCTGGACAGTCTCTATTTGCAGTGGTTCTAATTCTTGATCGAACACTTGACACTATAAAGCAATCAGTCGGCTTCCTAGAAATTCATTTCTTTCAACTTACCAGATCCATCACAACACTTTCATGAACTAGTCAAATGTCAGAGATGGTCCCCGAAATCTCCCAGAATTACACACTTTTCTGCCATAAATGGGCCCGGAAGATTTGGATCAAACTAATCTTGAGAGTCGGGATTTTGCCATGCCTGCGAGTAAACATTCAGCAAGACGTTGAAACATGTTAGAGGGTCAACTTCACATGAAGATGCCGGTCAAGTCAAGCTGGACTTGGAAACCAACGTAAACATTGGCACGGTTGATGGTAGGGCTCCACCACAAAGTGAAACGACGATTGGGAATTTGGTTCAGACCGGAGCGTTGAGCATTGGTAAGTTTCTTGTAGCGCATAGATTCTTCGAAACCGGACGCCTTCTCCCAGAAGAGACCTACATCAACGGTGAGTGGTATATAAGGACGTGGAATGCCAACTTACCCTCCCATGTTGGGAAATATGTGCCCTTGAATAGAGTATGCTCCAGAATACCCTCTACACCGCCAAGAGCGGCAATCACATCGACACGATAATTGTTCAATTGCCACAATTTACCGTCGTGGCGTTGCGATGTCCACCAGAAGGGATTGCTTGGGTGCAAGTTGAGCAGCGGTTCTTCACAGAACTTCGAGACTTACTGCTTCAACAATTGATATTGTTTCCAATCGGTCCGCACACGCCAACCACGGTCATAGGCGAGACTAGAGATTTCCGAATGAGACGTTGAGGAGAATGGGCGAGGAACTGGTCAGCTCACGTATGGCGATCCTTCTGGAACAAGGTGTTAATGCGTGGTATACCACGATCCCAACTATCTTCAAGATCTTCGAGAGTCAGGCGCCTGTTTTGGGCATTGGCTTCTTTACGTTTCATCGAGTACTCGGACCAGACACGGGCCGAATCCAAGAATTCTGCCTCCCAAGGCTGGAGATAACGATACAGGTTGGGAATCAGCTGGTCCTCCTCATGCGTCATTCCAGCACGGAAATGCGTAACTGATGGAGTCTATTAGACTAGTCAGCATATAAGACAGAATGAACTAACCAGCCACGTCGGTTTGCTTCGACCATCTGAGGTCGCTCTGGGGGATGAGAACATGACCCATGGATAACATACCAAGACCACCCAATTCCTGTTATGATATTATGAAATTGCAACGAAGCTTATGAAATGCGAAACTAACCTTAGGAGTATAGAAGACGACAGGTGGGAAACGTGAAGGCATCTTACTGTTCAACCCAATCTTGACACGTGTTTGGATTTTGTTTTCCGCCTTGACCAGGGAATCCAGCAGCTCGTTGGTGTGAATGACAGCCTCACGATAATAGGTCATCAGCCCAATAAGTGCAGTGTTCCATTTATTGACAATCTTCGAGAAGGTTGTGGACCCAGAACTCATCAGGACTTGTCGGATGCGATTGTTGAACTGCTGGACGCCTACGGTATCACATCAGTCGCTTCAAGCTTAGCGTGCTAGGAGAATGCGCATACCTTCGTCAGAAACCCGCAAGAACGCTTGCGCAGTCCTCTCTTTGGTTTGTTCGTTCGTCAGGTTCCAAACGGCATCTTTGAGCGAGAACTGCTCCCCAGACATCGTCCGAATTTTTGGCAGGATGCGGACCTCGAAGCCACACATGGAGAACAACAATTGAGGATTGTTCTGAGAGTAAACACTGACGAAAGTATCCTCCCATTCAATTGTTGTCAGCGATCGTGGAAGACGTTGCTTGATATTCCAGAAAACCGCTCTTCCCAAGTTGACGTCGTGTTTGATGAGGCGCATACGGCAATCGCGAGGCCAGCAGCGTTTGTTGTTGTATCCAATAACATTGTTATTCGTTGGATCAGGATTGGCGGAAAGATATCGCTGAATGAGGTCACGAGCTTCATCGGCGGTGAAGCGGAACAAGATATGTAGACGATCAACGTAGCGGGAGTACAGCCGGATCGGGTGACGAGTTTCCGTTGCTGAATCCCGATACTGGAGGAAGTTGTTGGGCATCTGAGGAGGACCGGCCATTTCGCTAGCACGTTGCAGGCCGAGGATCAACAGATCAAGAACTAGTCCATAATACTGGAAGACGAAGGCAGAGAATTGTAAGCCACGGATGAGACCGAAAGCGTTCGTATGTGCCATATCTGAAGTATAATCAAGATTAGCACAATACAGTTATCAATCGAACGCTGGCTTCGTTACCCTTGTACGTGAGAGCTACAAAAAAAAAAGTTAGCTAGGTTGCAGTTTGTGAAAAAGGAGACCCACTCGTGTTGTTTTTGGCAGTGATATAATCGGCCAAATTGTGGTCCAGGATAAGCCGCAAGAGTCGATTTAGCAGGGTCAGATCAATCTTCTCGTACACCTTCGAAAGAACAGTCTCCATGAGAACGTTGCACTCCCCTTCGCTGGTCTCCCAAATATCCGTTAAATTGTTGACACCTTGGCACCACTATGGGATGTGTTACTTGACATCAACACAAGAGCACTTTACCAGCTCACTTTGTATACGAGCAGTGGCGGTGGCTCGGTGTCCGCAGGCTTTATCCAGGCAGGGAACAGACCACGTTTATCCGCCCTGAAACGTTTGCTTTGTGAAAAAATGTTGATAAGGGGAGTAATTCAACTTACTCGAAGAACAGGAATTGATCCAGATACTAGGCAATTTATGAGCCAGAGCAGAATGAGACAAGAGCACAACTCACGGCGTCTGTTATCTTCTCCACCGGTTCAATATCGTAGCAAGGGATAAGTTTGTCGTAGGTGTCGAAGAATTCGATACCAGCCTCTTTGAAGGCCCGCTGAGTCAGCAAAAGACGCTTGATGCGAGAAAGACCTAAACAACATGAATGACGTCACAGTCGTGAGAATAATGTTCCACCTACATTCGTGAGGGTTGTCATACGCTTGCTCAATGAGGGCAAGCTCTTCCCGTTGCGACTGATTCAAGCGACCTGAATAAATGCCCTGAGTATCCGCCTTCGAAATGAACAAGCGTCATTAACATACCTTTCACCGAATACGCTTCTTTGAGTTTCTCCAGCGCAAGGACGAGAAGCTTGGTGTCATGCTTATACGACAGCGGGCTAACAACAAATTAGCATCATGCTTTGCTTCACAACTGCAAAGGTATTAACGCACGGGAAGGGGATAGGAGCAAACTTCCGGCTTTCTAACCAATGCACGGTGGCAGTGTAGATGGCGACGGCCTCCTCTGCACTGATATAGGGACCATCCTTCAAATAACCGTGTTGCCTTTCTTGCTCTGCCTTCAAGTAGAGACCTGGGGGACACATGGTCAACGCTCGCTAGCGTGATATTGTTAGATGAGACACGCACGAGTAAGACGGCCGAGATTCTTCTTCACCACCGCTTTATCGACTGTGGCGCCGCGACGAATACGCTCGCGATTGTAATGAGCGACGCTGCGAAAAGATAGTCCGTTCAGGACAGTAATAGGTGCGCTGCTCAACTGCAACTTACGAGCACCACCAGTCGGCTTTGCTTTTGATGTAACGAAGAATGATATTCTCAATGGCCGTAGGCATTCCAGGGACCTTCCAAGGAACTGCGAACCATGAGGAGGTATTCACGGAAGAGGGAAGACAAAACACACTATTGGCTTTCCAACAACGCCAAGCCTCTGACAGATGCTGCAGGATAGTCTTCGACTTGTTCTGTTTGATAGACTCTGGCATCATGTCGAGAATATCGTGCATGACAGCAGCACGTAACTCGAGGTCGTAGTGGGATTCAACACGCTGCTTCGTCACAGTTTTAGCGATGCCTTTGCTATTACGACCTTCGAATTGTCGAGCAAGCAGATTACCCAGCCTGATTCACGTTGTCAGATTTTTTGCACAGAGATACAAATAGAATACCAACCATCGTTCAAGGAGAGGAACAATGCCACGCATGAAGAAGAGCCACACACGCCAACCTGGAGCCCAGAAACCACACCCAGGACCCTTTCCGACAGGGCCTGTGTTGAAGCGATAGTAGATCAGATGCTTCAAGTCCTTGGTCATGCGTACTTGCCTCATTAGCTAATGATTCGAAAGGAGGATAAACAAATAGAACAGGCGAGCGAACGTTACGAACTGACCTTATACTTATAACGGTACATCCCCGTCAAAGCACCAATGTGAGCGAATATATATTGGAGGGCATCAGCGAGTTGAAATGCATCAACGTTTCCGAGGCGGAACTGCACATGCGCATCGACGACAAGCTTTGTAAGGCGAAGGATTTCACGACACAGGTGGAAGGCATTTCCGAAGCGCGACTTCTTCCGCTCCTTGGTAGTCAGAGTCCTGAGCATGCATGAGAAAAAATTGAATGAAATCTGGGTGACCAAAACTCACTTGACGGGCTTCAAGTTCATGTTGTAGTCCAGATGAAGATAGTTCAAGTTCTAAAGCAAGGGCTTGAGTACCAGTCGAGGATTGGAACTAAACACGCACCTTGCGATGAATCAAGAGGTTGAGCATGTTGTAACCCTGTCTGCAAACCTGCAAACCAGCCTCCACCCAGTCCAGTTTGGTGGTTTGGAAAAACTTCGTCGCCTTCAGCTGTCTGAAGAGATTCTTCTTCGACATAGCCTTCTCCGGCCTAGTATGGAGCTCGTTAAGGACGTAACACTTCAATAGCTTCTGATAAGACACGCGGACTTTGACTGGTTGTCCAGGAGGGCAGTGCTCAAGATACCAATTTTTGACAAGAGGAATATCTTGTGCTCTTCTCATTCTACCCGAACGTCTGCCGTACGGCTCCGGCGCCCACCAAAGTGCGATACCATCTGCTGTAAGGTCCTTCTCAAGGTCCTTATCCTCTAGGAAAGGCCTGATAGAGGGTGGCAACGCGAAGTCGTCATCGTCCGCACCATTAGGGCCGAAAATGGTGTCTTCGTGAGGAATGAGAGGTGCATTCTTTGGAACGTGGCCACGCAAGGAGATGGGGTTGATGAGAGGGTCGAAGTAGAATGCTGGCAAGTCAGGGTCGTCGGTGCGGATGTATACATTCTTCGGGAAATGGTATGGCGAAATGCGAACGGATCGAGGCAAGGAATTGTATAAATGCGGGAAGGCCACTTTGTATTCGGTTCTGATCTGTTGCCGGATGATCACCTTATTGATATCGTTAAACTCATTCCAGTCCTCGTCGAAGGTCTCCATGTCACGATAGAGCGGCTCGAACTTGGGCCCTCCAGGTATAGCCATATTCAGGGCCTTAGCAGTGAAAAATGCGTTCTTGTCGAAGAGGTAGCTTGAATTGTTATCAGCTTGGTCTGACAGTAATGTGCGACCAAGACGATATAGACTGGCCATGACTGGCAACGACAGCGACCAATACTTGTAGGACGGGCCGTTGACGGCGGGCGTGTCAATGAGGGGTTTCGGGTCGTAAAACCAGTCGATGATGGCTGAGTCCTCCTCTGGATCAAGGTCTAGCTGAATAGCTTCCAGAGGGTCCACATCCAAGACGTTGTCTCCGTAGTCGAGGGGAGGCTCTTCATCGTCGAAAGGCGGGAAGCGCATACGCTTGAAATGTCTGCGGTCCCTTTTCTCCCGTCGCATGGCTAGCCACATCGTACTCCACTGAGCATGATAGATAGGCTCAACGACACGAGGAATTTCGTTGACGAAGGTGATAGCGCCCGTAATGTGGTACAAAACCGGTACCTCGCGAACTTGCTCCCAAGGGTACGGGATATTTTCCAGCAATTTCATCACTGCATGAGGAACGTATTTTAACGCTCCAAGGTGAACACGTTTGTCGTTTCGGAACTTCCTGTTGCTCATATCTCCGTGGTCCTTGATAATTTTGCGTACGTGCTCGGGCGGGAGGTCCTACGAAGGCTAGAGTTTTTACGCGTCAACTAGTTAGTTAGCACAACGTACCTGTTTGCCCATATCTACATATCCTCCCTTTCTCTTTTCGCCATATCGTTTTCGTTGCATTTGCACCCATTTCTGCGACTTCTGGGCAATGACTGTTAACACATTTGTTAGAAACTTTTCTTGTTTGCAGGCAGGCAACGCATCATACCTTCCGAAGGAAGTCTAGAGCTAGAAGCCTCGTTTAGAGGGGCGGCCATGCCTGGCGGAGGGGGGGGCCTGAATCCAGGAGGTGGTGGTGGTGGAAAACTCATCCTTGCAGCCGTTGAGGTGGTCAGGTAAGGAAAGAGTTGTGACGATGATGTAAGCAAGATGTTGGATTGATAGATGTTTGTGCACGGACCCTGACTAACAGTCTGAAAACGGCCTCACTCTCGAAGATCGTTCGCACAAATTGGGAAGAAATTTACAAGGCTTTCTCTGAAATTACGCCGGCTGTTTCTGTTTCTTTTTGTTGTTGTTGTACCGCTTTCAGATGGGATCGTTAAGGATGATAGCGCTTTCGAACTGTGGTCTTATTGGGTTTCTATTTGCACGTTGGCTATCTATTCATGTAGTGGGGAAAGGGCCTCTGTTTCCTGATAATTCTGCTCCAAGTCTGTAGCCCATCACCTGGCCTTTCTTCAATAAACCAACACCAGACAAGTACAAACGCCATACCTTGTCCCAGTCCAACTTCTGCCTTGTAAGCGGTAAAGCGCGCCTCAATCCCTTGAAGGTCTTCTCTCCCATCTCTTGGTAGGTCTCGTTTAAAGATACCTGATATTTTCCTTCCTCGTCTTCGATCAACGCGAAGATCTTGGAGGATGCAGTGTTTGCGACAGACGATGCAATTGCTGGGGGGATATTGAAAGAAACGGCGTGATTTGCATTTAATTGAACCTATCCACACTCCTTCAATCCCGTGCTCGAAAAGAGAGAGGACAGAAGTCACATTTCCTTGCTCATAATAATGGACGTTGATGAGAATCTTTCCGACAACTTCATTTGCAGTCAAATCGACCACATATTCTGAACGCCATCTTCCGGACCTGGAAATTGGGCGAATCAGTGAATAAGAAAGGAGCATTCCAAGAAACGAACCAATAATTCGTTGGATTATATTTGTTCGCCACAACTTGGATAACATAACGGTTGGCTCCTTCTTTTGAAGAGAAGACAGCCGCGACACCATCTATGAAATGAGCCTTGAGATAATTCAAGGCCGCAGTCTCTAGTGCAGCACTGTTCAAACGAGAGTTTCAGCAGGCGTTGACGAGGGACTGGTGAATAGATACCGGAAGGATTCTTGTTCGGCATCCGCCTCGAAGGGTTGTGGGTCTGAGGCTTCCTGGAAGACAAGAGAATGAGCGAGTGCTTTAGCAGAATTGCATGAGCACTCACAAGGCTGAGATGGTCGAATACAAAAGATATCTTCGACCTCGGATCCAAGAACCGCTCTTCTTCCCCTGATGAAGACCCCACTCGAGCAGCTTCACTGATGATGGACTGGATATCAGCGTGTCAATGAACGCGCACGCATTCCTAAGCACAACATACTTGATGATTCGTCTCCGGAACATCCACAACGGTGAATTGTTCTATATTGTATCTCCTGAGAACGGGTTGGATGCCTTCCTGGAGGAGATCGTCGTCGGAGATAATGTTGCGAATATCTGTGTCGGTGTGGGTAAACCAATGGAGGAACCATTAGGAGCGTCCGAACCGTTTAGTACATCGTTGATCTCGCCAGGAGGGGACTGAAGGAGGAAGTTAGACGCTGCTTTAATCCGTTCCGTCGCATCCATTGCTGAGTGTTCAGAGTAGCGTTACGTTCGACGTTCGACCTTCTCAATTCAAGATCTCGGGCTTTGCCGGTGACACAATCAATAAAGAGCCTCAGTCCCCGGTCTGCATTTTTCGTCTTAACCAGCACCGACGCGAAGCGCTACGTAAACTAACATTGGTATTGAGGGCGGTCACGAAGCTGAGATAAATGTTCGTGTTTTATGCTGTATACTTTTACATATGGCTTATTTATGTCGCAAGGTCTAACTTACAGCTTCGAGGTGAATTGGGACTCCGTAACACCTGCACCCATGGCAGACGTCGACGAAACACCACCAGTGACAGTCTTGATAAGATTGTCAGCATAGTCAGCACCGCTCCACTTTTGATGGGTGAGCACGTCGCAGCCGATCTCGCGCTCCCTGCGTTGCACGATCTCGACGTAAGCCTTCATGCCAGTCTTGGCGAAGTTCTGAGCGAAAAGGTCGGAGATGTACGCGTTCGAGTGGAGACCACCGAGCTGCAAAAACGAAACTTAGTCAAATATACCAGGTAGCTGAGCCTTAGGACATACCGTGATGAACTGCCAGACGAAGCCGAGTTTGCCCAACTCCCAGACGTAGGCCTCCATGTCCTTCTCTGTCAGACCGGCAGCCTCCCAGTTGAACGAAGGGCTCAGGTTGTACGCTAACCAGTGTCCTGGGCGAGCGGCGTGCAGACCGAGGGCGAATTCGCGAGCCTGGGCCAGGATGGGCTTCTTTGTCTCCATCCACAGCAGATCGGCATAGGGAGCAAAGGCGATGGCGCGGTGAACGGCGCATTGCGTTCCGCCCTGGTATCGGTAGTAGCCCTCGCGAGTTCTTGGGGCATCCCAGTCCCAGAACGGGACGCTCTTCAAGCCGAACTCTTTCTGAGCAATAGCCACAGCATCGGGGTAGGACACGTTGGATACGCGGGCGACGAACTTGTCTAGTGCCACCCTATTGGCACCTTGCTTGCTGAGAGCGTTAGCAAGAGTCGTAGAGAAAAGCTGCAGGTCAGCAGCCGCAGCCCATTGGTCCTCAATCGCTTGGAGTTGGTCGCCGTTCTTGCCAGCGGCCTCCGCCTCAACCATGACGGTGTTCAGCGGTCGAAGAGAGGGGTTGGTCGATCCGAGGATGAAGGGGTGGTCGCGGGAGTCGATGTTGGAAGTAATGAGGGTGGCAGCCTCCGAATCAGTTCGGGCAATAGCCAAGTTCTCGACACCCATGATGTCGTATTGCAGACGGATAGCGACGAGGCGGTTGATATGCTCCTGGATGGGCACCAAAACCTTGCCAGCCATATGGCCGCACTTCTTGGTCCCTGGGGCTTGATCTTCTACGTGAATACCAGCAGCACCCTTCTCCACAAACATCTTCGTGAGCTTCATGACGGCGGTCAAACCACCATGACCGGTATCAGCATCCGCAACGATTGGTCGGAGGTAGTCCACATAGGGAGTTTTTGTGAGTTCCGTTTCGGACAATCTAGAGCGAGCCTCGCGCTGCTTCCTGTCGTGGAAGAGTTGAGCCATGAACAAATGCTCAACCTTATTGGGCACAGTGTTCGAAGGGTAATCTTTTGCGTAGGCCGATTAGGAGAACTCTCTAGGACAGAAGATATGACATACCGGCGAGATCCGGACCGGGCTCGTTGGTGCTGGAGGCCGTGCTCGACGATTGCCATCCCGAAACATACACAGTCTCGAGATATTTGGCCATTTGAGTCACTTGAACCGGGTCGAGACTATAGTGGGGCTGGCTCGGCATACGACATCGTAGAGAAATTCGAAGGACTTACGCTCCATAGGTGTGCGATGGCGTACCCCGCTTGGCGTGTTCATTCAGCAATGACCAAAGCTTCTTGCCTTGCACATTGGAAGGGTACTGTATTGGCAGAGTGCCACGCTTTGCGACAACCTCTGCGGCGGTGTACGGGCGCACGACTCGCGCGAATCGGGGGCTCTGTAGAGATAACGGTTAAGAAGTGAAGAGAGATGAGTGTCACACGAGTACCTTCCACCACTGCTCGACTTGAGCGACTTCCTCTGCGAAGCGGGCTTTCTCGCTGGCCATTGTGATTAGTTAGAGTCAAGGGGTTGTAAATGTAAAGAGATGGAGGCAGTTGGTATATAAGAGTGGATCGCCCCTTTTGCTTGGATGTCGGCGAAGAAGGGCGGAACATGTGATTCCGTTCCACCGATCGGCACAAAGCCGTGCGGAGAGTTCATGTTAAACCCGTCGGAACCCGTCGGCACCCCATACCACCTCCGCTGCTCCTGTACTTAAGCCCGACGTTGAGGAGCGTTGAGGGTCATTGACTCCCCCAGAATACGCACCCCCGTTTGCTGTCAAAGGTGCGCATTATCTCCATAGAAAGAGCGGCTTTATGACCTTTCTCGTCCTAGCGATCCTGAATGAACAGCGTGAGGCGGGTAAATGCGGTTTTCAGCGGGTTCCTCACTCGGAGGCGCCAAGAATCGCTTGCCATCATAGGTCTAGATCCTCATTATGTAAGCCACCAATCGGCCGAAGAGAGAACTTGAATTCATGCTCTATTTTTACTGGTCTTCTGCATGCGGTTCAATAAACATGCTGGATCGCGCAGAGGTCGATACTTGATTTCATGCGCAATGTGTCCGAGTACAGATTTATCTTCTATCTCCGTCATAAACCAACCAGGCGAGTCCATATCTGATGAAGAACGCCAAACCACTTCCTGCCAACTAACCAAGAGATCAGTACTCCGTTTTGAGAGTGTTGAGCCGGGATCAGCCTACTTGTGAGCATATCAAGACCTGGTTAAGTTTCTTCTCGTTCATCGGGCCGAAACGTAAGAGGAAGACATTGAGTATTGTGAGATTCGTCGCTTCAGAGATGAGCCCGGTGTTTGGATGTTCCGTTACTTGAGTCAATCCCAATGTAGATAACAGCCGAAGCACCAAAATTGACAGCTTCGACGGAGACGTCTTGAACTCGGCTTTGGAAGGGTGCAACAGATTGGTGTTGCTGTCAAAGCTATTTCACAGTAAGTGAAAAAAGAAACAACCCAAGAAATCGGATAACTCGCCGAGGAACCCTGTGCCGAGGACAGGGAACCAATCCGAATAATTGCGGACAAGATAAAACAAAGTTGAATATTTGCGGAATAAAGAACAGCAGGAGCGTTTTCGAGAAGTGTGCCTGAATGCCGACGACTGCGAAAGCCATGCCGGTGAGATAACATAAAGTATCGCCAGGAAATGCTCGTGCAGGATACCTGAAAACACTGAGTACAGCGAATCAGAGAGTAGGGGGTGACTGGACATACCAGTTGTGGTACAGAAATCCTAGGCAAACCGCAACTAAGGGTAACATGAAGTACAGACTGAAGAGATGGCGTTCAACCAGTTGACGGCTTCCGTAGGCCATGCCTGCATTCCATACACCGCCAAATTCAAGCTCAGTTTTATTGCCCAATAGATGGAGAGGCAGTCGGAAGTCGATTGGCCACGGTAGATATAGCAGGTCGTTTACAATGATTGATCCGGCAATAACGAGTGCTTGACTCACTTCTGAGCCATTGATTCCTGCAAGGATGTTGATACTATTGGTGGAAAACGTCGAAAGCATAGCCATGTAGACATAGTACAGTGGCCCTATTGTACCTGTTAGAAGACATGGATAGCATGGTTCTTGGCGCACGCACCAAGATTGATTAACTCCGCAAGGAGAACCCGGAAAGGGAGAGGAACAACAACGTTCGTGTTGCCGTGCTCAGCGTAGTAAACCATTAATAGAGGGATAGACGCAATTATTGGTATGGGAAGCTTGTGACGCCAACGGATGTCGAAAACATCGTCTAGAAAGCCCAACATTGTTGCAATTAGGAGTGATAAGAGAGACGATAAATATACAGCAAGCTAGACAGAAAAGGTTTAGCGACTCCCAAAAGCATACCAAAGAAACTTACCTGATAATGAGGAAACTCGACAACCGTAATTCCTTCTTGTGCCTTCTTTGCAAGCGCCTGATCTCTTATGGGTGTCGAGAATGCAAACGGGATAAACAAAATGAGAGCGAGGATATAGATCGAAGCGCAAACAAGGCCCATGCTTTCTGGTCTGTTAGGCAAGCCATTGAGTATTTGATCTAGAAAAAAAAGAAACTAACAGCGTACATGTCGAGGTCATCCTTGTATACTTTGAGAAGGTCATGTCCTTTGAGGTTCGCTTTGATAAAAGTTGGACCCAAAGCTGGAACGAGATAGATGGAAGCTAAAAAAGCAAAAATGGAGAGGCCGACAGACGAATATAGTGCAGGGATCGCAGGGATTGGTTCCAGCAGTGGTCGCACAATAAACCAAGTCGCGATAGGTACCAAACCGACGAGGAGCACAGAAGGCAATGGGCGAGGTTCTATGAGTCCCATTTTCGGAGCCGTTCAAACGAGGATAGCAGAACTTCTGTATAAGTCGCGGTTTCAACCAGCCATCGAGCCGTGCGCCCAGAGTTCTGCCCTCTGCTACACCACGGTGAAGCGTTGACGAATGTAAGGCGAAGGTAGAGATGTAAGCGTGGCAATGACGTGTTGATTGGCCAGTGTAGTATCCCCGGGCCGGCCACCCGGACAGGTGTTCAACGGATCAAACGCAACTTTCAACAATCCATGACATCTACCTCAGAGCCAACCACTTCACAAGCTCCCGAGCATCTGAATAGCACTGGATGCGTCATAAAATCGACCCCAGATAAAGGAAGAGGTGTATATGGTCAGCATTTTTTTCATCATTCAAAAGGTTATCAACACGGATCTCATCGTCAGCGGGCCGCTTAATACCTAGAAGCACAGTCGTAGAAATCAGCCCAATATTGCTTTTCAGTAAGGAGGAATACGAGAATCATGGTTAGTTTGATATGTACTTACGTGTGTTCTCTTCGGCGATTCAACTGTCTCGTCAGGAAAGCATACCGTGCTTGATCACTATACTTTTGTCTGGACGGATGGACGGATGGCACTGGCCTTAGGACTTGGTCCGTTGTTTCGACCTAATTTTGTTGAACAGATTCCTCACGCTTGGACAGGCTCGCTTTTCAATCATTCGAGTTCTCCAAACGTCTCTTACTCTCTCGACACCAAAACTGATTCGATCCACTATACCACCGTCCGAGATGTGGAAGCAGGCGAAGAGCTCTGCATTTTCTATGGACACAAGCTGTGGTTCTCTCCAGCCGATAGCAACTACACCCAGATAGAGGGACCAGAAGTTGAAGATGGCTGGGGTGGACTGGTAGCTGTCGAGCACGATGTCCAGATAACCAACCCCTACGAAGAAGGCGATCAGGCAGAGATTATACCGGAAAACGAACTACCCTTCGTGCGCCTTAAGCCACCACCAGATGAGGAGGACCCTGAGTCAATAAGAACAAGTGTGTACGATGTTTCTAGTTCAATTTATGTGTCTAAACCCCTGTTCTACAGTTCAGGCATGGGTTGTGGACGTTCCAGATCCACGGCATATAACGACTCTTCTGAAGTATGTCTCCGCTTTCTTCATCTTTCTGTTGGGCCTTTAATTTCTTCTCCAAGGTGGTTAAAGCAAGTTGGACTCGATGGCCCCGAACTCGGTCATCTCAAACGAATTAGAAAGGCGAGAGATACCACGAGCCTTCTATTGGGCACCACCCCGGAGCTTCCTCCCCTTCCTGCTAATCTCGACCTGCCTGCTCCATACAAGCTCCCGGTTCCAGCTTCCTCTGCTCTCACTATGCCTTCTCTCGACCTTAAATCGGCCCTTTGGCCCACCATGTATACTCCGAAGAGAAAAGATGAACCAGAACCATGGACAAGAGGCAAATTGAGATGGGCATGGGATGTCATGAAAAGGACGGTCGATGCAGCTATTACGGCGCAGAGGGAGTCCGACGAGGTCCGTACTCACGGTTGAGGCTCTACTGTTGGCCCGTTGAGCTTTCTAATCCCTGTTCATCCATAGTTCCCTATTGCTGCACATATCCCTGCACCGCACGAACCATCAGGCGCCAAAGGTATATCTTTTGTCTCTTGCGATACTCGCAAGACTACCAAGCACCCGCTTCGACACGCAGCCATTAACGTAGTCCGCCAATTAGCTGACTACCGTGCCTCTCAAGGTACAGGCTCGGCGCTGCCACCTTTTGGAGCTTCTCAGGAGGCTCCTCTTGAAGCAGGAGAGGTTCGAAATGGCTCCAACTATCTGCTGACGGATCGCCACCTGTTTATCACTCATGAACCATGCGTTATGTGCAGCATGGCACTTCTCCATTCAAGGGTGAAGGAGGTCGTGTATTTGTATCGCATGCCTCAGACCGGAGGGTGTGGCGGATGTACATGCTTGCCGACACTGAAAGGTGTAAATCACCGCTTCGCAATCCTACAATGGAAGGCAGATGCGAAGTACGGAATTTTCTCGTTAAGCCCTTTAGATCTGAATTCCACGGTAGATGCATGACGATGTAGTACTTATAAATGAAGAAAGACGATTTTGGTAGTGCAAAAGTCAAATACAGCGCTACTTAGAGATGGCTAAGCGAAGGAAGCAAGAGGCAATCTACAGGCGGGGGACGTTGTGGGTGCTGGGAGGTTGCCATTGCTTAGCTCCGACATATTCCAGCAATGCCTCGTCCGACATATTCCGGAAAAGGGTGTTCTCGTCGACGTTCTGCAGGGTTACAAAAATGAGTGAAATGACCAAAAGAAACGAGTCATTGGGTGCTTACGTCCTTTTGGGCAGCGCGGATAACAGCAAGAGCGATTTTGGCACTGATGTCGCGAATGCGGGTGAGACGGGGGTAAATCAAGTCTGCCGACTGCTCGTCCTCCGTAAGAGCGCTGGCGAGAGCGATAGATGCTTGTTCGACCATGGAGTCCGTTACGTGCCTTGCCTTCGAGAGGATCGTGCCCAGGCCGATTCCAGGGAAGATGTACATGTTGTTTCCTTGACCAGGCTCATACACCCTGCCTTCAAACTCTACGGGCTTGTACGGGCTTCCAGACGCGAAGATGACAGAACCATTGGTCCTATCGAGCGGTTGTATTAATTGCTCTAAACAGCGACATAGAAGAGTGCCTACCAATGAATGGCATCTGAATAGTCAAGTTCGCACAAGGAGATAGGGTTCGACAAGGGAAAGATGATTGGCCTTGTGTTGAGAGATCCCATGAGGCGTACAACATCCTCCGAAAATGCGTTCTTTTCGTCGCATATTAGTCGTGCAGTATATTCCCGAAGTATAGAGACATACCCTAATTGTGCTCAGACCCAAGAGCGCCGTGGGTTTCACGTACTTCACGATGTCAATGAGAGATGTCAGTGGCGGTCCTTGGTAGTCCGTTCGAGCGAAGTCTAGAAGGCAATATCAGCCTCCTTAAGGAATGAGATGGGGCAACAATGGCCAACATTTCTTGTGCTCTTGTAGACCCTTCCTATCAGCCGTAATCAAGCCCTTAGAGTCTACAGTCTGAAAGCCGAAGGTCAAATCATGAAGATGCGCCAAATGGAAATAGACATACCCAAATGCGTTGTCTTGCCTCCTCTTCGCTCAAGCCAAGGAGCGTGAAGAAGGACGTAAGCTGCTTTGCCACACCGATGCCAGCAGAGCCAGCACCGAAGAAGAGAATTCTCTGGTCCGAAAGTGGAGTACCGGCATCGGCGGTCGCCAGCCTCGCAGCGTTGAGGAATCCGGATAGCACCACAGATCCTGTGCCCTGAATCTGTAAAATTGTGTAAAGCAATGAGAAAACAAAGCTGGGGACGTTGAACATGAAGCCATACATCGTCGTTGAAGCACCTATACTGGTTTCTAAACAAATCCAGATATCTGAAGGCGTTGTCCGTCGAGAAATCCTCGAATTGGACGAGGAGTTGAGGGAACACGTCTCTCATAGCCGCCATGAACTCTTTCATGAATTCGTCCATCTACGATTCGATGTCAGGGCGATGAAAATGATACACGATGCATTCGACGCACCTCAGCCGTGTCCGGTCTCCTTCGACGCACACCCAGGTACAGTGGGTCATTGAGGAATTTTTCTGTGTTAGTACCGAGGTCAAGACAGATGGGCACAGTCGTAGAAGGCTTGATTCCAGCGCCGGCGATGTACAGGTCCCTGCAAGGTAAGACGGCGTCGGTCCATGGGGCCGAAAGAACGGAGTACCACAATGAAGGATCCACTCACAATTTACCAATAGAAATTGGCAGGCCATTTGCCCCGAGATCGCCTAGACCGAGGATGCGAGAGCCTAGAACGGAACCGGGTGAGCAAGGTCCCCGGAAGCAATGACGCGGTGCTGCTGCTCACCATCGGTCACAACTGCGATCCTCCCAGCCGCTCCTGCAGGCCAGGTGCTGAGTATCTGGCGAATATGACCTTTGCTTTCAATAGAGACATAGAGGCCTTCAGGTCGCCGCCAAATGTGCGAATAATTGGAACAAGCGTCGCCGACCTGGATAGACGCCCAAAAGCGGTGAGAAAGACGCCCGAGAGAACGAGAGAAAGTAGCGTACGGTTGGGGTGTAGAGAATTGGGATGATCTCTAGCATATTACTCAGGAGGACCTCGTAAAACAGGTTGGGGTCGCGCTCCTTCAAGCCATTGAGGAAGATATATTTTTCGAGCCCAGTGTGTTTGGAGCGAAGCTGGGTGAGACAGCGCTGACGATGGTCAGTATTGTGGAAATAAGGAGGAATGCGAGCGCCAGAGGCTGGGAAAGCGGTCAGAATGTACGAGGAGAAAGCCATAATGCGAGTTGAGAGTGGAGAAATGAGTCAGGACAGTATTTATACATGCAAAAGAAATAGAATTTGTAGTAGTTATACTGAAATAATATTAAGCGTGTGCAAGGTGGACAATCAGTGCCTTATGCATGTGAATGCGATCTATGAAACAGGGAATAGATGTCTGACTCTGGAGAAAAAGGGCAGGAGCGGAACGAGGAAAAGACACGAGCACCTCGGATTCCCTTTTTCAGTAGCGGCCTTCCGGCGTCCAATCACGGGCGCCCCTTTCCACTTAATCCACCTTCGTTCTGCATCATAAACCGCTTGCACTACGGGTACATTCGTAAGTCAAGAAGCCGCCAAATGGATCCTGTGGAAGCTCACCTGGATCCCGACTCCAGAAACGGACGACCGATCACCACAGCTCGCGTCTTTTCGCGCGAATGGCCTTCACGATGGAATGCTTTTCGCTCCACCCCTCCCTGTTCTTCTCGTGCTCGAGATTTCGCGCCTTCAAAATCGTCCTCCGTGCCGGTTTTTTTAGAGGGGCGACCTGGCCAACGAAGACCTGTGTACAGTTGAACATCTTGGCCAGCTTACCCCGCGTATACGCTGCAGGGTCTGAGCGCCGTAATTCAATTAGCTTTGCCAGATCCTCGTCGGAAAGACGCGGGGATGGTGGTTTTGGACCTGACCGGCTAAGGGGTGGGAGGGGTCTAACCAGCGGTGTAGGGTTTGGCTGAAGCAGTGGGGAAGAAGGTGCGGTCGTGAGAGAGAATGGTGAAGGAGCGGTGGGGGGTGGTCGGTGAATGAAGGTAAGTTCGCCGTCCTCGAGCTTCGTTACAGCGGCCTTGGGGTTGTTGAGGAGAGGGTCGGGTGCATGGTATGCTGGCCGTTCTGCGGTGCCAGGCTTTGGACGGGGGTACTTTGGCGCGTGTCTGACTATGCTAGCGCTAAACCTGAGTGCCCTCGTCGACTGCATAAGTGGTGAGGTGTCCTGGTCGCCGGCCAACGATGCTGACGTTGAGCAGAGGGTGGAGGCAAATGGAAGCGAGAACCTGTGACTGTTCCCACGAGCCTGGTGGACGCGCCGAATACCAAAACAGGAATGCGCATACAACATCCCCGAAGTATCGCGCTTGAACACTGCAGCTGGAATAATCTACAGAAGGGGAAACATAAATTACGGTAGATACTGGGGTTTACCCGGATTACTCTGCTCTCAATCTACTGTTTTCGACTCGCGCTCAGGCAAGCACCCCAAACCCTTTTCTGAACTTCCTCAGGTTCCGAAATATGGAACCACCCAGGATGAAAGCGTCAGATACCGGAGAGACAAAAATAGGGCCCTCTCCCGGAAGAACTCGGGTGCTTACCTGCGACAAGACGTGCTAAACTGTCTCTCCTCCGACGATAAGATTTAGGGCAGTTGGACATATCGCGGGAGCGTGTTGATGTCTCTACGGGAATATTTTCCCCGACTCGAACCGGAGAGAAACTCGTGCTCTTCGAGACGCAATTAGAGGACACCCTACATCCGTTCCACCTTGGATAGATACCCTGCATAGAACGAGGATTAATAATTAATGAACTGGTCTGCTATACGGCAGTTGAGCGGTAGGGAACGTAGAACATACATCATTGTTCAGCGTACGGTAGCCTCACGCCCGCAGCATGTCTCAAGCAGTTCACTGTAACCAAGTCTAAGACCTAAAACCTAAGCCAGAAGAAGTTTAATCCTGGTTTCATCTCCACAATTATCCCCACCCTCAGAGAAAAGAGATGCACATTAACCCTGCATGGGACCGAGTCCACTATGCCACCAAAAGCACCATCCCCGAAATTAAAAGAGACAGAGCCAGAGTCAGCGCAACCCCATGGACAAAAATAGCTACCCCAGAGGGATTGGACAAAAATACCTGGTGCCCAAAACATCCAATTCGATGTCGATTAAACCCCTTCCGGTTGCTCTGTGGGATCAATCCAGCACCTCCGGTCCTTATCCACTCAACCAGCAAGATAAAGCAAAGTAGCCCCGGTCTCAAAGACGAGAAATTTAAAGCCCCCAACCACACGGTCGATTAAGGCGGCTATACGTACGTCGATTGCGATCCAACTCGAAGTAGTGACTACCACGGCTCCTTCTGCGTGTTCTTAATGTCATGCACGCTGTGAGCATCCGAGTCGGTGTTGCCATGTCATATCGCGCCATATGGTTTTCTGGTCAAAACTCGAAGTTGACGTTGGACCTGGGGACCGGAGATTGTGGACGACCATCGAGATTCAGAATCAATAGGGCCCAGGTAAAGCAGAGTAGAATATCGCGCAATACGAATATACAGTATCCAGATAGGCGTAGGCATGAGAGCGGTCGAGAACCAGGCTCAGATGGGTAGAATATTGTGCGTTGCGGAGTGACCCTAGCTAATACTCAAGTTATGAATTAATGGACGAAGTCTTGGATGGTAACGAGAGACGTACCCGTAACCCGTATATGGTACCGTAAGCTGCCCCAAGTTCCCCAAGTTCCCCTTCTTCTTGTTCGTCTCCCACCTGCACATGGACAGCGAAAACCGCATTTCCGGGGCTTCATTGGTTTATCGTGTCGTCAGAAGGCCTCCGACAAGGCATGGTGCTATGCTCGATCTTGTCTTCGAAACCAGATTCGAGTCTTGAAAGTTGGAAGACGTCGCATGTGCGTCGTCTATGACGTCGACAGCATGCAAGACATGAGTGAGCAATGAGGCATTGAGACCCTGAACGGTAGTGAGGACTTCAGCTGGGGTTTTGAGCTCAAGGCGAACAGCAACCAACCTCAAGCAAGGAATGCGGAGGCAAGAGCAAAGGACGACCCTTAGTCATCAGGTTAGACGAGGCCTGGACGCGCGACGCGATCGACCTGATGGATGACATCACGCGTCGACACGTCCAACTATTTATCTTGCAAGGTGGTCTTCAACTTTCAGTCAAAGAAATCGTGCTCGATGTTATGTAAAAACCCAAGGAAACAAAAACAGAACACACAAAAAAAAGTAGAGATACGAACGACTGGAGGTATCTGAGAGTGTACCTAAACACGAAAGGAAAGGAAGAGTGCAATGGCAAAAGTGGCGCACTGCAAGTTCAACGACATCGTACAAAAAATGCTGGAAAGCTTTGACAAGTAAAGTTACACTTGATGCATATGGAGCCTTCAAAAATCAGAATCAAACGAATGAGGTAGATCGTATCTAGTAGCAGCAGCGGTGCGGGGTCGACGACAAAGAGAACAAAGAGCGGAGAAAAAGAGACAGACAACGTTAACGAGCGGTAATCGTCCAAGGAACGTGAGTGTCCAAACGAATGTGCGAACAGCATAGATCGGACTCGGGGCTTGCATAACAGGACGTGAAAGCGAACTTGAAAGGATTCAGAGAGCAAAATGGAGGATTTGATCAGGCCCAATGAATGGAATGAGAGGGACAAAGGGAAACGTAAGATCAATTCGAAGTATAAGGCAAAAAACGACCAGTACAAATACAGAGAGGATGATAAACGAAGAAGAACAAAGGGAAAAAGAGGTACTCAAAGAAAAGACACGTTAATCACGTAAATCCAAAAGAGAAGAAAGAAAGAACAAGGAAAGCCAAGTAAGCAAGTCCGGATGTCCGAATGGAAATATGGAAGGTCGGGCAGGTGGGATTCAGCGTTTACGAACGTCAACGTATGGGGACAAGTACATCGTCCAAGATGTCGTCGAAAGGGAGTTGTGATACCAAGAAGAGGGCAGGAAGAGAGGGGGCGGAGGAGTTGATATGTGTATCGGCAGCATAGAGAATAGAGATAGTGGGCAAATACGAGGAAGGGGTCGGGAGGTGGTCGAGGAGACGAGGATTCAGAAGAGAGGGGATTGAAAGGAGCGTTAAAACGAAGGCGACGAGGAAAAGCATTTTGACATACAAAAGACTGACTGAGAGAGAGAGAGAGCGAGGGTTGGGCATGATCAACACACACATTTACCAAGGGACTCGGAGTCGGAGACACGCTCAGCTCTCCTCGTCCGGCGGGGACATCGACACGGAATTGCGTCTGCTGCCTGCGCGTCTTGACGCGTCCCGATCCGACGACTCCCGCTCCGCTACACCTTTGGGACCACCTGCCGACTGGCTCGAGTTCTGCCTGCTAACAGCCTGAGGCCTACTGTCCCTGTCCCTATCTCTATCTCGTTCTCTTTCCCTCTCCCTCTCCCGGAAAACCTGCGAAGGCGACTGCATAACAGACCTCTGCTGCTGTGCCCCCGACTCATGCCTCGCGGCACTCGTCGACAGCCTCCGTGAATCAAACCCCGGAGCCGGCGACCCACTCGCGTTGTCGCGCTCCTGGTGGCCCCAGCCCGAGCCAGGCGACGAGGGCCTGCGCACGAGCTCCGGCCGTTCGTGTCTTTCATGTCTCAGCCGCGACCCACTCGACGGCTCGTGGTGCGAGGACGACGAGGCGGATGGAACAGGGGGGAAGGTGTATCCTTCTCCGAGTCCATTCTGGTGCACCAACAAGGACGGCGGGTGCTTGCCGTGAATGCTCGGAGGCGGAGGCGGGCCCGCATCGAGGTCGTCGCTGTGCCGCCGGTGCGGGAAGGTGCCTGAACCAGACGCGGTGGAGGCTGACCGGAGCGCGTCCTCGAGCTCGTCGACGCGCCTGCGCAAGCCCGCCATCTCCGCCTTCATCCCCGCGACGCGCTTCTCCACGAGCACCTCCACCCGTTCGTCGATCCTTTCCTGCTGCTGCGCCACGCTCTGCATCAGCGCGTGGCTCTTCTGGAGCTGCTCGCCGAGCCACGCCTTGAGCTGGCGCGAGTCGCTCAGCGCGTCGTAGAAGAGCTCAAACGGCGCGAGGAACGCCGACTTGTCGCCCGAGTACCCTGGGCGGTGCAGCGAGGTCGGCGTGGGTGGGACGAGCGTGGACGCGATGGGCACCGAGGCGGGGGGCGATCGGTGTGCGACACCACCCGTGTTGTTATTGCTGTTCGGGTTGCTGCCTGGGATGACAGATTGCGCCTGCTGCTGCTGCTGTTGCTGCTGGAGCATGGAAAGCCGCGTGGGCGTGGGAGGGACGTTGCCCGCCACGCGACGAACGTGCTCGCCCGGGTGCATCGTCGGCAGGCGGGGGAGGGCCATCATGGGTGTCCGACCCGCTGCCGCGTCGCGGTAGAATGCACTCTGACCACCTGCCTGTGGGACGGGTGGCGCGCTCTGTATGGATGGCTGGAACTGATCGCGAGTGTGTGCCTCGCGGGGACTGATGACGATATCTGCGGGCTTCTTCTTGCCCCCCAGCAGGGCGGCGCGGCGCCGGGCGAAGCTGATCGGAGGCGGAGGTAAAGAATGCTGGGGCGGAGGCGGGGCGTGGTTCTGCTGCTGCTGCTGAGACTGCATGGGTGCTGGTTGGGGGGGCACGGGGGGCGGAGGGGGCGTTTGTGCGCGCTGCTGCTGGCGACGGGAGACGGTGGTGCTGGAAGTGTTTGGGCTGCGGCGCGAGGCGCGGGTGACAGGACCGGACGAGTTGTTCCCAGATGCAGTCGTTTTAGCGGAAGCCGCGGAGGGGGGAATGCGTTGCTGTTGCTGCTGCTGGTGGTCGTCGATGGGGGTGGGAGGGGCATTGGCTACGGGGGACATGATGCCAGCTGCGCTGCCCCTGCGCTGCTCGATAAGGGCCTTTTGCTTCTGCTTTACTGAGATCATGGAGCGGACCTGCTCCATGGCGTTGGGGTTGTCGCGCTGGATGGTGAAGCCCATGACGACGGGCGATATGGGGGTGGAGGATGTCTGATCTGTGTTGGGGCGGACGTCGATGCGCAGGGGGTGGGGTGCGGCGCCACTGACGGTGACCCTCCGCTTTTTGAGGGGGGATGGCATGAGACTGGAGGGGGGAGGAGCCCCGGCGTGGTCGTGGGCGAGATGGGGGGTGTCGTGCTGGGCCTGGGGCTCGTTGCTGTCGTCGTCGCTGTCGAGCTCGTCGTGCTCCTGCTTGACGCGGACGGGGGGTGGGCTGGGGTAGGGTGAGCTTTGCGGGTATGTTGAACAAAGGGAGGCATACTCGTCGTCGTCGGTGGGCTGCTTGTCCGTGCGGGAACGCTTCCTGCCTGCGACGGCCATGATGGGAGGGAGAGCGTTTGTGGTGTTGAGCTCCCTGAGGCCGTGTGTTGAGAACGCCTGAGCGAAGGAGGGCAGGGACTGTGTTGACATTGTAGTGGCTGGAGAGCGTGGCCACTGATGGATATTCACCGCGAGCACGGTTAATTAAATCCTGGCGAGAATCTCACCCGATCATCCTATGAAACACGACTATCTATATCCGTTTTTTCCGTCGCACCGCCAGCACAGTCACGTGCCCGCCCCCTCCCTGTGTCTTCACCGCCTCCACCGCGTTTCGCGTCGACACCCTCCCGTACACAAACGCCTCGTATGTCTCCAGTGATGTCTCCGGCTCAGGGAACGGGTTCGGCGACACCTCCGGCAGCGCGACCCGCCGCATCTTCGGCGTCGACGGCGGGGCCAGCAGGTGCCGCCCGACATCCCGCTCCGGCGTCCGTCGTCCATCGTCGGGCGGGGCGCGAGCAGCGGCGATGCCCTCACATAACCCCCGGATCGCGCTCTCCACCGTCTCCGTCGCCCTCACTGCCCGCTCCACGCTCGAGAACTCCACCCCAGTCGTCAGTGTCGTCATCACCCGCTTGTTCAGCTGCGACGACACCTGCCCCGGCTGGGGCGCCAGTGGGGACGCCGTCGCCTTGCGCATCATCGATGCCGGCACCGACACGACCACCGCGAAGAACCCCGTCACGGCCCCAGCCACACACTCCTGCCGGAACGACATCCGCTCCCAGAACTCGTTCGCGCTCACCTTCCCCAGCTCTCCCAGCGGTTTGTTGTCCTCCTTCTTCTCCTCGGCCTTTTCCTTTTCCTTCTCCTTCTCCTCCTCGCTCGTCATCGTCCGCGCCCGCTTCCGCTGCGGCGATCTGATCTCCCCATCCGTCGTATGCGCGATCTCGTCCAGGAAACGCGACTTTGGGCAGTCGTCAAAGTAAGGTATGTAGAACCCCAAGTTCTTCGTCGTCTCGTCCTTCGGGCACGGCAGAGCGATCTCCTTCTGCGAGTATGGGTGCCCGTACTCCCATCGCAAGCTCGTTTCAGGCTGGGAGGAGGATGGAGGGGCAGCGATGCGGAGCGCATTGTCGGCTTCAAATTGCGTGTAGCCAGGTAGTACATAATACATCCTCGTCGCGATCTTCTCCTTTTCTTTCCCTTTTTCCTCGTCCTTTCCAGCACCAGCATCCGCCACTTTCACCTCATGCGCCTTCTCCACATCCGCCACAACCTTCCCCAGCACCCTCTTCCACCACGCACACAGCTTCGTGTCCCCCAGCGGCTTCTTGCCCTCCCACTCCTGCGAGTTCGGGAACAGGTACTGCGCCTGCGCGCGTGCGAACAGCTGTACCCACAGATGTCTCGCATCGATGGGCCGCGTCCGGGGGTCGGCGTAGTACCCCAGCAAAGCCCGTACGAGGGTGCCCGTGGGCGAAGGTGCCGAGGCCTGGCCCGTCGAGTCAACTTTGGAGACGTAGAGCACGGCGCTGGAGGTCGCTGGGAGGTGGTACACGCTCACCTCGATTGCGGAGACGAGGATGCGCGGTGGGTCGGGGGTGTCTGGCGTGTTCTTCGTCGTAGAGGTCGCGCTCTTTGAGGTCGTGGTAGTAGTGGCGCTTGTGGCACCAGTCTGGCTTGCATTCGCGTTGGACGACGTGCTGCTCGTTTTCGCAAGCGCCGTCGCCGTTGCCTCGCTCTGCTCAGACAGCAAAACAAGTACATCATGCAGGTAGGCGCGCGGCGGGCGCGGGGTGGCAAACGGGAACAGCGCATTCGACTTGCGCGGCGCCGTGACGAGGACGTGCAGGTGGAACGTGCGCGTGCCGGGGTGGCCAGCGAGCGCGGCGAGGAGGTGGTCGCGTAAGTTTTTCGTGTTTGGGTGTGGGTCGGGCGATGAGGACGCCATGGATGATCGACGGTGGTGGCGATGGTGAGTGGAGTGTGAAGCGTGGGAACGCCTTTTGATCAACATCGATGTCGATGACGGTCACGACTTGCCCAGGTGCCCCTCTAATCTCCGACGCGTGCTCGTGCCCTCTGGCCGTTCTTTGACTTACTCTTCGTGGATTAGACTCTCGGGCAACTCAGTGGCGCCGGCACGACCTACAACGTCCAAGCTCGTGGCCGTTCAAGCTCAAGCTCTGAACCAACAGCACCAACTTCACGTCACATACACCAACGCCCTTCAACGCCCACCCTCGTCTGCCATTCCAATCATCCACCGCCTCTCCCTTTCGTAACCCCGACGCGCAATCACCGACTCCGAGCGCCACGGTCCCCAGCAGATCCTCTATTATGACGTCGACGCGTCCTCCATGCTCGACGTCAAGACTCGAGCAAACCCTATCCAGCACCGCCGCAGGCCCACAGGTCGTTCCATTGAACCCGTTCCGTTCAGTCCGTTCCGTTGCAATCCCCTCCGTTCCGCGCATGATGCATGACACCGCCAGCCAGGAGGGACAGTGCCTTACCCCACGGCACCGAGTGTCCGAGTGTCCGTTCATCCGTGCCTCCGAGCCTCCGAGCCTCTAACCCAGCCTCCAGGAGTTTGCAAATCCGATCCAGGGGCGGGCGCTGATGCCGACGCTAGTGACAGGACCCGTCCAGGTTCGAGCGTGCATGCATGCTGCACAGGCCTGATCGACGGTTGCAAACGAGCAAACGCCCGTGTACCTGTGCGCCACTTTCATCATCACTGAACAGCTAAACGCGTATGAACGCGTTCATGGAGCGCGCTAGAAGGCTGATTTGATTCATTCACTCTGCATCGACATCCTGCATATCGTACTGCCCTGCGTCCCTTTCTTCAGTCTCCTGCCAGTGATGGGTTCGACGCTGATGCCAGTGTTGAATGGGCCGCGTCCTCGGAGTGGCAACTTGGAAGCACTATGGACCATCCGAATCTAATCTCTCAGGTTCCAGGGCAAGGGCCATCGAATCGACATCGACAGAACCCGTCCTCGAATTCCCTTCCCGTCGGAACACGTCCAGTGTGCAGACCTGATCGACCAGCGCCTCCGCGCCACTTCCATCATCATCGTCCTCATCACCATCCTCATCATCAATTGCGAACATCAACCTCACTAGCACAAATTGCAAAAACGCCAGAACGCCAAACTCGTACGGATCCCTTAACAGCACAGCAACCTCCGGCTCGAGGTGATTTCCTCAGCATCAATTTCTTTCAAATCTCAGCCGACATACTCGAGCACTCTAACACCCATGATGATCAGGATTCAGCTTCCATGTCCTCGCCAGAAGTAGGCCTCGACTCTCGGCTTTCACGCGAGGAATACCAAGTGGACGTCTCGGTATGGGTCGTACCCAGGCTACGGCAGCCTGGCAGGCTATGCACCTCGGGTGTCTGTCGCGAAACGCGTTCAACAAGAATTATTGTCACTCCCTCCGGGATTGATATCAAATAGGTGAGTCATCTTTCCTGATCCAAAGTGAAAGAGCGTGTTTTACTGAGTCTCGAGCTCACATCGATGTACCTAATAATCATCGGAAAGGCCATCTAAACACGAGGATGCTTATCCCAGGTTCTTTGTACTGACGACAAATCCGTTCGCCGTTCGTGTCGCGTTCCGCCAAGGAGGGCCGAAATCCTCGACTAGAATCCTCGACCTGCACGATCCCAACAAGTTGTAAACTCGACAGGCTATGCGCCATACTCTATACTCGCTTCAATCTGTCATTCCCATTCTATTGTGTCAAACCCTCTCCCTCCCTCTCTTCCTCCGTCTGATACAACTGATACAACAAGGAATCTGATCTCCATATCTCCACCCGTTTTGCTGCAGTGCAGCCTGAGCTCGATCAAATCGAACGCCAGAGACGCGAAAAGCCTCTCAAAGTCCCACCGCCTGTGTAAGTGCTGAGTTATCAAGTTATCAAACCCAAACATCTAAACGACAAAACGGTCCTAGCGTCCTTTCGTCTAACAGAGCTTCTGTGTTCTGCGTTGAAGATGTTCCCACCGAGAGACTGCGTTTTCGCCTGCGAGGACTTGTTCCGAATCCCGGAGTTCTTCTGAACATTCTCCCTATGCACTCTCGACCTCTTTCTCTCTGCTGCACGTTTTTGGCTCTTCGCGCTGAGCTCAGTTGACGTCGGCCACACCCGGCCTCGGCCCCTTCAACGTTACCTTCTTGCCGACTTCTTGTTCTTGTTGGCTTCTACCCTAGGTTCGCAGGCCCAAAGGCTCAGATGATGGACGAGGCTTGGCCGTTAGCCTGATACTGCCAATCATGTCACTGTAAAACGCTTATCCCTTCTCCTTCTCCCTGCTCACGCGCACGGCCCCCTCTGATCAACAATAGTTGTGGGACTTAATAATCGGACTCGCACGCTCTTGTGAAAACCTCGAGGTACGAAGGACGGAACCGTTGTTCGTGTGCTAAACTCACATGCGTTCTGTTCTCTACATTCGTATGGCACACCGTGTGGAGCATCTTTGTTTCTTGTTCTCTGGATAGTAGCGATCGTCCACGTTCGTGTAAATGCACGCCACCATGTGAGGCTCGGTGGCGGTCGACACTCAATCTCCCTGCCGAGAGGTCTCTCTTCGGCTCGCCCGTGCGTAGACTGTTTTTTGTTTCTGGTATTGTCATTATTACGACCTGAATTATTTCCTCAGTCTGATCAATGAACTGCGTACGTCAGGTTTCAACAAGGTCATAAAGATAGGATTTATGTATCATGGATTAATTCCACCTTGCAGGTCTGTCGAAGTGTGTCGTGTTCGGCCTGCGCACCACATACAGTGACTCAGCGCCGAACCAAAGCGAGACGAAAGGCACCACGAAAAACAGAAACGCGGACAAAACCAGCAGCCAACCAACAGAGACGAGGGAATGGGGAACGAGGACGCCGAAATGCTTTGTTCCAAGTCCACACGCGTGTGTCAGATCGACAGCCGCCTATCGCGCTTAAGCATTCAAAACACGAGAAAGGCCTGCGCCGTACACGAGAATGGGTGGATGGAAGTAATATACCCGTCAGGGTTACTCATCTCGTCTGATAAACCACGGGTCTTTCATGTTACTCTTGAGCCGCTCAAGGAGCGCGAACCTCAAGGCCACGACGTGACCAACGGGTTTCAGTCTTCAGCCTGAAATCCTTTGTGTTTGCTTAGAATATTTTCTCCATCAGGCGAGTTCCGAGCTTAAAGTGTGCTGGCAGCCGGTCATAGCAGGTTCTAGAGTCGATGCATGCGTCTGGCTTTGTTCTTCTTACGGTACCGTGGCATTTGACCCCAGAATGCCGAAAGCTTTCGCTTGATGAACGTGCTTTACTTACGAGGATTTACGGGAGTCAGTAGCCCCTGTTTCTGAGCCTTATTCCGAAAGGGCGCCCTTTACGCGATATGTACTTACACGCTCTCGAGAGTAAACTTCCGCTCCTTGTTTTCCTTACGGCCAATTTTTTCCATTTTGCTTGGAAGGCCGGACAAGTATACCAAGTGCGATATGGAAAATAAGGTGATTGCGCAATTCTGGGCGTTATGCAGTACGCCTTATTCGCTCCTTTCCCACTTCACTGTAACCGACACCCATCATTGTATGAATTAGGGGAGAACTGGGAATCATACGGAAACCTAAAAGACAGAATACTCAATGGACCCAAGCAAAGCAACAAGGGTCGTTCCACGATAGAAAGATAGAAAGAAAAAAAAGTTTCCTGCTCAGGAGGCGGATAGAGCGAGCCGAACCTAAGACGTGCCGGGCCTTCCCGGACCCGAAGTATAGGCGCCCACGTCGATCCCATTGATGGCGGTCGCCCACCCGATATGGAAAGAGAGGAGCGGCAAAATGAATTCGGGCAGTGCCTGATCTAGGGCCGTCGCGTCCGGGCGTTGTAGTCCCTCGTAACGCGTAACGAATGACGCCGGAGGTCCCTCAAATTTTAGGCAGCGGCTTGTGTGTTCGTGGTGTATTGGGTTTGGTGCTTACTTTCTGCCAGGGTTCGGGCCCAGCGTCGGCGCGATTGGGTGAATTCCGTACGAGCACGCACCAATGGTTTGGACGATAGCGACACCAGTAGCCAATCACGCAGTCCAGAACGAGGGCCAATCTTCTTATGTCGCGCTCTTATGGCCTTCCAATAAGTCTAATGGGACTCCAAACGGTACCCAGAAACCTTCGTTGGTATTACTTGTCATGCCACGGGTATGTACAGTAGGTATCATGACTAGTTCTACAGGGTAAAGAACGAATAAGTGCCTGAAAACTGCGTACAACCTTTCTAAAAAAACCGTCCGACCGTCTAGCGCGCGTGCAGGTATACAGGGTGGATATACAAGTGTTGTGTTTCTTGATAGTGAGAATGAATGGTGTTTAGAGAGTACGCTCGCTTTGGGCCTTCAGTATTTTTCAGGCGACGGTGACTAGAACCATCGTATCAATTCGTGCGACGCTGAGCATGGAAGGAATTACTCACCGGTGAGATTATATAATCAAAGTCGGTTTTCGTGACGGTCTGTGTTTTGACGTTCACAGCAAGTGCCTGGCCTGGGTCCAAGTAGCCACCCTCCTTGTCATCCTTTACGATCTCCTGCTCGAGCTGCGGCTGATGGTTCGACCCCATCTGTCTAAATGGCGTCAACTGGAAGAGAGTTCCGTCCTGCGGGTTAACTTGTTCGCGCAGGGAGTCGCGGCTGTTCAGTCTGTGATAAAGGGTGAGAGCGCGAACACCAGGTCCTGAGAGAATAAACTCAACGCTGCCATTACTGAATTGACATAGCCTGGGTGAGTGGAGCATCAGGGGCAGGCCTCTTGAGAGAGAATGAAAGGACGAGAAGCACTCACACTTTCCGATGATCCAGAAGAAGCCGAGCCAGATATAGTTCGTCGGCATCGTCGCGAACTATGGGATCCTCGTCAGCAGAGTGGGGAAGATGCCGGCGACGAAGACTTCGTACCGTCATGACAGAGATGAATGCCACGATGCTATGTTTGATGAGCGAGTACACGGGAGAAGGTATGCATGAGGACTGCCGTACCTTGTGATGAGGCCTGTGGTTAAGCTGTATCCCATGAGAGTTGTGATGAGAGAGTCGGTGCTAAGGGTCTTTGTATTAGGATAACTTTAGCTGCTAGAGGGTCCGCGAAACGTACCGAGCGAACCCGGTGCGGCTCTTCATGAGGTAGTAGCACATAGCGATGGCAATGATAATGTCGGCTGCGGCGGCGCTTCCAAGTCCAGTACTTGTCACCCACTAGCGGAAGATCTTGTGAACCGTGTGGCCAGAAAAGGCTGAAAACGAGAACGTACAATGAGACTAGGGAATCTGCTCGTGTCCACGATAATGAATCTGGCACATCGTCAGCCGGGAACTAATTCCCATCCTCGAAGACGCGTACCCTTGAACCGTGAAATCTAATGAGAAAATTGCTGATTAGCCGGAATTCTCTGGATGCCGCAGAAATATACACACAAACTCCCAGACTAAAGTGAATACAGGCCAGGATGACCTACATGCGAAGGAATTTAGGACGACCAGGACCGCCGGATTATAAAATGACACGCACAATGAGGACCGTCAGGTAGACATTTCTTGACACTATAAGGTATTCGTCAGGCTAAGCCTGGCGCTGCGCATGAGAGACGAACTTATCCATAACCGTCGGGCAAAGTAGCTATAGCACACGAGTTAGTCATCTCCTTCTGGGGACCAGAATAGAGGACTGATACCATTCAACGATGAGCCCAATTAAACCCTATTGGTGATGCGCCACATGAGGTTAAGATCAAGTGACGAGAAGCGACCTTACGTTGCAATCCGTTTGCAGCTTCAGGCAGAGCGGTTAGAAAGTTGACAGCAGTCTGTAAACAGTGTTCTTACATTCATACTCCTGGTAACAGAGCACAGTGAATAATTTATAAAGGGTGGGGAGAAAGGACGTACCATATTGACTTTCCAAGAGCCTCGAAGTCTCCGAAGCCAGATACCAGGTATCTATTCAAGCCTGTAAGCAACTGCGGGCCCAAGAAAGAAGACGGGAACCGACGTGTATATCGTGATCGTGCAGAAGAGTAGATGCAATGTGTCAAGGAACCACAGGAAGGCAACCTGAAGAACACAGTTCGAGAAATCAAAGATGGCGCAGCAATTAGAAGGCATACCATAAACTTGATGCGCTTTGAATCGTCGCCATATTGCCTACGGTCCGCGTTCAGCAAGGAGTCCACAACTTCACAGAAAACTAGACGTTACTTGAAGTAAAAGAAGCTAACAGAAAATAGGTAAGTATCGAGATCAAAGCGGGGCTAAGAGGCGAGACTCACGTTTGCAATAAAGTGACGCCGTATAGGCTGTAGAAGGAGGAAAGAAATTTAATCGCGTCGGAGAAAGGCAGTAAAAAGACGACGCACACAGCGCTAACCACTAGGCCAATAACGATGGCGCCATACGTAGTGTCCAAAGCCATCCTTGTCGCGTTGGTGCAAGGGTCAGGAAAGCACGGCCTGGTGACAAGCAGAATGGAGGGAAGGGGAACGGCCTATCCGACGAGGACTCAACCTGCTATTTAAAAGGGGCATTCGAAGACTAAATTTGGACATAGTGCGGTGCACATGGGTGTTTTTTTTCAAAGTTAGGAGATCAGGTCCCGCAATGCAGAACTAATCGGCACCAATCGGGCAGGCACTCTCACCTGTTCACACGCGGCATTCTCCAAGTTGCTCCATACCGTGCTATTGCACTACGGAAGGGTGGGTGAAGTCTGCAACTGGCGAATAGGGGCGACCGGTGACGAGATGAGCCATGTCGGTGAACCGCTTCCTCACAGGGTTCTGGACCTCGAACCTCCAGTGGTCTGAATGGAAATCTTCAAAGCCTTGGACAAACAAGAGAGAAAGTGATCAGCGATGCACTAAGCAAAGTATATACATAGAGTACATGAAGGTTAAGAGGGAGTATGCTACAAAGACCGAAAAAAAAGAGGAAGGAGAGTACGTTACGCTACATAAGCAAATGTATCTCTTGTGCCTTCTACTCGTTCGATGTATTCTTTCTCCAACAAAGTGTCGATAGCCTGTCGATCAATGAGCCCCTGTATCGCTCCTAAATGTAGAATAGTGGCATACCTTTTTAATGTCAGGGATCTTTGGGGCGAACCTCTGTGATATTTGGGAGATGACCTCTTGAATAAGGGGCTGGTTCTTCATCGTCTTGCGAGCCTTCATGATGCTATGGGACGGGTAAGATACACCAGACACCATATTCGTATTTGAGACGTACCGGACGATTGTTGCTTGGATGACGTATTTCCTATCCTCGTCCACCGTCTTCAGAACGTCTGTGGACTCTGCCTTCTGCTCAGCCTTAATAGGTTGGTTGAGATTGACGCGAATCTTTTTTGACTTGAAGCCTGAGCGAAGGTGGGTCAGCTGCCTATCGACGATTAACGTTGATTAGACCAACTTGGGTTCAGATCATATTGGTCGGTCTCTTCGTTGATTAGGATTTTCGCCTTCACCAATAAGGCAAGGACTTGAGTCAACAGGTCCTTCGGTATCGAGGTCGCGGTAACGAGGTCGATAAGGGAAAGCGTATCGTTCTTGTTATATTGCAGGAGGACTGCCATCTGATACGAGCTGGTCATGAGAATGTATTTCTGGTTGAGATAATTCGTCCGTAATTCATTTTTGGAATAGTTCCAGAGCCAGGTGAGTTTGCGACCAGAATGCTTCATTTGATAGTATTTCTGGAATCGATCGTACGTTGATAGAATCTCTGGAGGGATGACGAACTCATGACCTGGGGGCGTTAGTGGCCAGAAATTGGTTCCCAGTACCATGATGCTGAAGCTGATGTCCATGTCGTCGTGGTTTTGTTCCATCCTGCTCTTGAAAGAGTCGGTGAGATCCTTGCTAAGACTCATATCTGGGCAAGCACGTTAGGAAACATCAAGGAGGAAGGCAATTGGCGAAATCTACCTGTAAACATGCGTTGTAACTTATTCGTGTACTCGAAACCACAAGCCTCCTTCAATTTGGAGATCATGCTTGCCTCGCTCTCGTCAGACGCGGATACGCCATGAATAAGTCGCTTGGATAGCTTCGTCGTGTAGAAGGTTTGGAACACATCTTTGTCCTCAATGTACTTGAAGAGAATCATCTTGATGTCATTATCAGACGTGAAATTGTCCTTCGCAGGGCGGGATTACAGGCACGCACCACACGATTCAAGGCGACCTCTAAGTCATCTTCCTCCGCCAGCTTGTTGTTCTTCCGCAACAAGAGGTCAGCGTGCTTGGCGATCAGTTCTGGCGACTTCGAGTTTGACAGGCCAGTAGCGGCGTTCCTGTTGACAAACTCGCGGCAAGCCTTGTCCAAGCTGGCAACAAATCCGGCTTCTCCTCTGAAGCTCCTTGTAACAGTCTCCGAGTTTTTCTTATGAACCTCGAGCAGGGCATCCACGTAAGCCTTGGGGTCTAGAGTCTCTGTGCTACTCCCAGCTTCCCCAACTAATTTGGAGACAGCAGCGAGACCAGCTTTCTTGACATGCTCCTCAAACTTCTTCCGTAGTGGCTCAAGACCTTCAGGGATACGCGAGAGGAGCGCATACATCCGTTGCAAGTCCTCGTCCTTATCGAAATCCAGCAAGCTTTGGAAGCTCTCCCACATGTGTTCTGAGTGTTCCCGAATGAGGACGTGCTCGCATTTGCTGATCAAAGGCTTTCGTGTCTGGGTATTGAGGTAGCGCTCGACGCGGTCTTCCTCCTCTTTCAGACGTTCTTCGGCTTTCTTCAGATAGTCGGAAATCGTGTTTGATGCTAGGAACGATTCCGATTCCTGCTTGTAGTATTTCTCCGTCGCATCGATGAAGGGAAGTTCGAAATGTTCTTTGTACACATCGAGGCACGCCTTGTTCGGGTCGGTGTCATCCAGTCCAAGGGATACGAAGGAGTCGACAACCTTCTTGACCAGACCTTGGTCTATGACCCCTCCATTTCGCTGATCTTCAATGAGGCGAAGGATGGCACCAGCTAATTTCGATTGCTTTTGTTGGATAGGGATGAATAGATTGATCTTCCATTGGACCAAAGCAAGCTAAAGGGGTATTGTTGAGCGCGAATCCCTCGTTTAATTCTGTGCAACAAACCGTATAGACTGGATAGACACCCTTCCGGCCTTCATCCCTCTCGCGCTTCACCCAATGACGATTCAGATACGTGAATAGGCGGTTGATATAGTTCGCGCCAGTGGTGTACCGAGACCACTCCGCCGCGTAATATCGCAAAAGGGCTTCATCTTGCAACGAGTCCGTCGCCTATGGTGATCTTCACGCGTCACGCGTTGAATTACGGTTCGAAGGGTGACACTGACCTCTCTAAGGCCTTTCAGGTGAGTGACAAAGTAGCGAATTAGGTTGTGGTACAAATCGGAGCCCATCAGATTGGCCCCCGCTGCAGCAGATGGTCAGAACGGCATGAAAACATGAGAGATTCGCGACACTCACACCGAGCGCCCAACCCGGTACCGATACTCTCCGTTGACGATCCGTGCATCTTTGATGAGGTGCAATAGTTGTACGCCACAGTGTATAGGGACATATACTACAATCTAGAAGTTAGACGCCGTTCAGCAGATGATCCCTTTTGTTACCTTGGAGTAAGACACCCCCGTCTGGAGCTTTGTCATAATGTGGTCGACGCCCTCTTCTAGAAATGCCCATGTCGTGGCGAGATCTGCCGAAGCAGGGGGCATTGGGAACGGGGCATTGTTGGTGGCCATGGTGGTTGGCAGTGAAAAGGACGCGGACCGCGGAGTGGGCGTGTGTGCAGGTTGGATTGATCGCGGCAAACAAGGCGACACTACGTTTCGGGCTACTTCTAATTAGAGACGACCCGTGAGCAGCAAGTACTCTACAATAAGGTCTCGAGGGTCAATCGTCCGAACTACAACTTTACACCAGTATGGATGCAAGCAATGCCACCCCAAAGATTCACCCAAGCACCGCCCTCAACGTCCTTTGCCGTTGAAAAGCCAGCGTCGCGAATCATCTGCGCGAACTCTGGTTGAGGAGGGAATTTACGGATGGATTCCACAAGGTATTGATATGATTCACGGTCACCCGCTAGCAGAGTGCCGAGCAACGGTATTATGCTGAATGAATACTGATCATAAATTCTGGCGGGGACGGACATTAGTTTCGCGTTTACAGCGGGATCAAGAAATAGACGAACGTGCTTAGAAGTGGGTTATCCACGCGGCTGAATTCCAGGCATGCGAAGGTGCCTCCCGGCTTTAAGACGCGATGAGCTTCCTTCAACACGTCTGGGATGGACGTGCAATTCCGAATTCCAAAGGCAATTGTATACAAGTCGTATGTATTGTCTTTGAACTGTTCACCCAAATCCTGAGCATTGGACTCGGTGAAAGATATTTGCGGGGCTAATCTGGCGTCAGAACACACTCAAGAGGACGTGAGGGCGGCACTCACTGTTGTGATACATTGTCTGCTTGAAGCGTTTGTAGCCCTCCTTCAACATTTGCGCGTTGATATCGACAACGTCAACAGTGGTTTCTCGGTCGTAGTGTTTTTCCCTTGCATAGTCCAAGATACGAAGGGCAATGTCTCCAGTGCCGCCCGCGACGTCAATGCATTTCATGGCGCCCTTCCTTCCCGGACGAAGTGATGACACGAACTCGTCCTTCCACAAACGATGCACTCCGAGGGATGTCGCGTCGTTCATTAGGTCATATTTTGAAGCGACTGAATCAAACACGTTCTTGACAAGGGACTCCTTGAGGTCCTCTGGGACTGTCTTGAAGCCAAAAGAAGCTGTCCGAGGCTGAGAGGACTCCGTGGTTTGGTGTGTGCCCTGGGTATGGTTGAACCGTACGGAGGTAATTCTTGTACACGAGCGGAAGCGCGGAATCGCTCTAGTGAAGCGCTGCATGGCTGCTGAATGTTGTAGACCAGAGAACGAGGAAGGGCAAACACAGTAGAAGAATTGTGGTCGACATCAAATCCGGACGGCCCGAGACGCGAACCTGGGTTCTCCGCGTCTGATCAAATATAACTTGCAGACGACCATGATGCCGGGCATCAGCAAGGGAAAGGGAAAAGCTATCAGTACGTGGGGTGGCTCTTAGTCTTGGATTAAAGCTCACCTTTGTGCCAGACATCATTCCAGAAAAGGAACTGGAGATCTCAGAAGGGTCTGATTCTGAGTCTGATTCTAATGTTACATCGTCCTCGGACACATCTACGTCCTCAGAGGACGAAAGCGATGTGGAAAGCAACACAAAAATCATGAAAGAACGTCTTGACTCTCTGTTTCAAAAGGTCTTGCAAAAAGCGCGCTCTGCTGAAAACCAGGATGGAGACAAAGAGGAGGAAATAATAATCTTGACAGATGAAGTGTATGTCATCTTCATCGTCTAAATGCAAGACTCGGAGGTGCTCATTTGTTCCATTCAGACCGCTTCCGCGTCTAAACCCAGGGAAACTTCCCTCTCCTTACATCAAATTCGGAGAAGGACGCAACGACCCGTCAACACTGCGAGATCCGGCCATCGAGCGGGTAGAAAGGGCTACTGCTTCACTTTTAGGTCCTGCACCTCCCGTGCCCCCACCCGAACTGACGAGCTCCGGGAAGCCATTAACAAAGAAGCAACGGAAGGAGGTCAGCTCTTCCCCAGCTTTACATCGACTGTTTCATCAACAGAATCATCACTAGCTGAAAAAGAAAACTGCCGGGCCCGACTGGTTTGACCTTCCAGCTCCGGCAGAGGCAGACCTTCCTCGTCTGCATCGTGAGGTCGAAGCCTTACGCCTACGGAATCAATTGGACCCCAAGCGTTTCTACAAGAAGGAAGAAGGGGAAGGGAAAGGGATCAAAGGTTTACCAAAATATTTTGCGGTAAAGGACTTTCTCCCAATATCTCAACGCCAAAGGTTGAGCGAAACTTGTAGATTGGCACCATTCTGCCAACAACGACACCATTCGGAACACCGAGCAGCGACAATCTCACGAGGGCGCATCGCAAGAGGACTCTGGTTGATGAATTAGTTGACGATGCAGAGACCAAACGATATGCCAAAAAGAAGTTCGAAGAACTCCAGGTAGTGCGGGGTGCTCGTGGAAGGGGAACACTCCGGGCCAAGCAGGAGTTGCGCAAGGGAAAATGGTAGTTCAGTGTCTATTATCTTGCACCTAGAGACATGCTGCACCTAGAGCTCACGAAACCTAAGCAAGAACCAAGGGAGGGCAGAAAATCACGAGAGGCGAGGACAGTGGCGTGGAAGAGAATATGGAAAATACACCAGGCAGTAGCTAACCCAGCCGGACACTTTTGACGACTCTCGAGATACCTGATCGTTCCCCATCGTATCTCCCTCCTGTTTCTGACAGTCCGCCCTTGTATACTGCCTTTTGCGAGGACAGCTTCCTTTTTGCCTTTTCGAACTTCTGTCTCTTCTTGACTCTCGGATTGCGGACGCTTTTTGGTCGATGCGGTGTAAGACCTTTGTTTGAGAGAATGGCACGAGTAACGGAGCGTGGTCCTGATCCATCTTCCTCCAAGGGAACACTGAAAATGAAAAACTATAAGAAACACCAATGCTACGTGACGAAACAAAAACGCACCGAGAAATACCATGAACTTCATCATACTCCGCTTTCTTCTTTGCTCTCTTTTCTTTGGAGCGTTTCTTGACAAGCTCGTAATATTCATCAGGGCTCTCCGCTTCTTCATCCTCATCCCTCGACCGTTTTTCCCCAGCATGAGGCTCGGGTTCATCATCGTTGAGCGCTTCACCAATTTCGTTCTTGGCCCGAATGGCAGCCTCCTTGACCAATCTCGATTCTTTCTCCTTCTTCCGTTCACGGTAGGGGATGTCATCGTCGCCACCCGCAGCCTGGTTCCTGGCACCTTGCCGTCGAGCGCTGGCACTTTCAATCTTGGAGGTGTGGAAACGTAGGGACTTCTTGCGGGCATTCTTGTCTGCTGAATCGACAGTGGAGAGAGTGACTGCGTCACCGTAGGCATCTAGTGTGTCAGAGACGACGTCACGACGCGACGCTGGCTTTGAAGATACAAATTCGGGCTCGACGAGATCGAAAACAAGCTTTGTAGTCGTTTTCACTTCATCTTTCGCAACCTTCCGTTTCTTATTTGGCGGCTTGTGGAGTTTTGCGGGTTCTGCTTCCACAGATCTCTGCGCGTCGTTCAACAGTTCGTCAAGTTCATTGGGTTCTAGGCTGTCTTCGGCGTTGATATTCCAAACGCTTTCGCCGTCTGCCAAAATGTCGCCCATGGCCGTGTCCATATTCTCGTCTTCGTCTTCGTCGTCATCCGAAATCTCGAAGTCCAGTTCTTCTAAGGTTTGGATAGATTGCTTCAACGTTAGGAGGCGCTGTAGGATGGGGTGCGACTGAAGGAGTGCCGGGCGTTGGGAATATTTGGGACTGGACCGCATGTGAAGGTAGAAGGCGAGCATGGTGCTGTAAGACAATAACGCTTCTGCAAATCGGTTTGGTTATTTCGCTGATTATAGAAAAATACCTCCACGTACGATAGTGGAGGTGTATCATCCCGAGACTGAGAGCATCGCGCTTGTGTGCTTCTGACCTGTGAATCCTCAGTATCGTGTTGTAAATTGAAGTGTATGCATGCGTACATTGCTATTCTTTCTCGCGTTTTTTGTAGAGTACGAGCTGTTTCATCCCAGTCTCGAGCCAGCGCTAGTGGTAGAGGGTCTGTCCGTTCTAAATGCCTCAATAGAGACTTTTTATCTGAAGGTAGGGAGGAGATGATAGAGGGCGTGGGATCGAAAATATCACTAGCAGCATTCTTTATGAGCAAGCACAGGATGAACGAGATGGCACATACTCGGAATCCGGATTTCCTTCAATTTCAACACTGTCGTTCAGACCGAAGTCTTCATCCTCCATTTCCTCTCGCATCTTCGCTTGCAGTCTCGTCGCCTCTTTCTCTTCAAGCTCGTTCCCTTCCTCATCGTCGGACTCCAACTGGTCGGCGTTGGAGGAGTAATAGGACCCTCTTCCTTTCCCCCAGCTTTCTTCCTCCTCTGATTCTTGCTCGTCGTCCGATGATTTCTTTCCCTTTCCTTCTGATTTTTGAGCTTTCTTCGATTTCTTAGTTTTATTCTTCGCCTCCTCGTCTTCCTCGTGCTCTCCATAGCCATATACCTCCTCCTCGTCTTCAGATTCGTCGTCCATACCCTTCAACGCAAAGACTTCGTCTTCATCTCCGTCATCAGAGTATCCTCCAGGACCGACCCCTTCGAGTAGAATTTTATCTCTCGAGGCGTGAACTGAGACAAAGTTCTAATAAGACTGGAGAATCATGGTTAATCCAACGCGTACATTGGTCCTCTTCATCCATAGGGATGTCTTCTGCGGTATTCCATCTTGTCAGTTGCCCATCGGACTTCCTGAGAGGCTTTGGTTTGCGTTTCTGTTCCTTCCCTTTGCTTGTCCGCTTCCGTACCATGTTGCGCACTGGCTGTTGAACAGAGACAAGTTGTGTGAGGTTCAAAGCACTTGGACAGACTTCAGACTCAATAGTTTCCTGTGGTTACGTAATGAAGGGGAGATCGACGTCGGGCCGGGCTGCTCTGTTAAGCATACAAGTCGAGCTTCCTCCTCATGTCCTTTATCTAAGTATTTACGTGATAACGAAGATATAGAAGCAGAAAAAACTATGCGTTTTGACGTTCAGCGGAAATTTGGTTATTCCTCCAACCATTTCTGATAATATGCCAGAAGAAAAAATCTGCCCAACAGGCGTGTCAGTTATTTCTTTCAGAACAGTCTGAAGAACGGCTGTAACGTGTAGAAGGGCCTTCACAGAGTCTTGGTATATGGCACGGGTGCTATCCTCCGCGAATCTGAATTGAGATTGGTGGGAACGATTTCCTGAGATTGGGTTTTCGACGCCTCATCCGAACGTCGCACTATGCGCTGCCAGGAACGTATGAAATTCAGGCGATGAACACCTGGACGTGCATCTAGTAGGCATCCGAGATGTACGGTTCGAGCCCGAGAAGAATGAGCCACACGGCGCCTGTGCGAAAATCGCGACGCTGTGTTTTCATTTCCGGTCAATACAGTCGCATGCATACAATCCTACTTGAAGTGCAGTACCACAGTGTAGGGTTACCGTCATCGATAATTGTTCTCCACCAATTGTGTGTCTAAGAAACTCCCGCATGTCAAGCAAGGCAATTCAGAAGCATGTGGTGCATGCAGCGCGAGATCGCGAGAGAGGGCGTTAGCGCTGGCCGACGGATGGGCCCGATATTTTTTAATAGATAAGCCCAAGTATCTATACGCGGCTGTCAGTTAAGAGTGGGCGCGATGAAAACGGTAAGGAAACAAACATACCAGCTGTATCAGAAGGAGACCGGCCGGCCAATTCCTGGACTCTCACTTGCCAGATTTGCTTTTGGACTTAGATGATGAGCCAGAACTAAGGCTAGATTCCCAAACGCCGGTCAAAGGCCTAGGTATCAAGGGAGCTTGCTATTCAAGTACTCACCCTCCAGGCAGTGTATTCTTCATGATAGTCAGCTTGCCTGAGGATGCCGCCGATACCATTTGTTGCTCAATCGACTTGTTAATTTTAGCAGTCAGATCCTAGGTTCAAAGAAAGTTAGAGCGGCAGTGAAGGGGGCCTAGACTGCATACCTTTTGCATAGCCGCCTGCTTCACGAGAACAGTTTTCTTTGGAGCGACAGTGCGCTTCCCTTTCTTCATGTTGGCAGCTGCTTTGGTCGCATGTCGTGCATTCGGGGCCCTGCTCGTGAGACCTTTTGTCTTTCCTTGAACCATTATGGGAGGGGTCTATCGTAAAGTCGTGAAGTAGATGGAGGTGACAAACTGAAGTTTAAGTTAGGTGATTGCGACTCTCTGAAGTTGTGTGGTCACGTGGACCTGAGAATGCAACCTCCGCCATCTACCGAACTACCACTTCGCCCAACTGAAAGCACATCGTCCAGCAAATAGGGCGTCGGATGATTGTCACAACGCCCAACTTGCTGCGCCTCCAGCGTGCGGTCGTCGCTGGAAAAGTATCTTCTTCCTTTTCGCAACTTGAACTGCAGCTAAATACTTTCTGGACAGCGAGCATACCATGATATCCTCACCTTGCCAGGCGGCAAGCCCATTGTTTCTTCCGGACCTCCTGGGTACAGCGCGGTTTCTGGCCACAGAGTCACCGTCTTTGGTTGCACTGGCTTCTTGGGTCGCTATGTGGTGTCGAAGCTAGGTGCGTGTCCTCGCATGCGTCCTTCCAGGTCCTGTCTAAGTTCTCTCGTTCTTACAGGGAAGCAGGGCACGCAGGTCATCGTTCCGTATCGCGAAGAAGATGAGGCACGCGTTTTCAAGCCGATGGGAGACCTTGGGCAAATAGTCCGCATGGTATGTCGCGTGTTCCCAACGTCCGTCAAAAACCTGAATGAAATGTCGGGCCCGTCATCAGGAATGGGACATCCGGAATGAGAACACCATTGCTGAGTGTCTGCGACATTCGGATATTGTCTTCAACCTTGTCGGCAGAGATTACGAAACCAAGTAAGGTTTTTTTCTCTCTTGTTTTAGGTTAGTTCTCTAATGTCGTCGACCAGGAACTTCGATTTCCGTTCTGCAAACGCCGTTGGAGCTGGAAGAATCGCCAAAATAGCGGCCGAGTGTGGGGTCTCACAATTCATTCAAGTTTCTCATCTAGATGCTTCCAAGACTTCCCCTTCAAAGTATTATCAGGCCAAGGCCGAGGGTGAGGAACTTGTAAAGGAGGCTTTCCCAACTGCGACGATTGTCCGCCCTGGCCCTATGTTTGGGTACGAAGACAAGCTTTTAACCAACATCGCCAGTGAAAACAACTCCTACTCATACATCTTCCGAATGCGACTAACTTTCCATACCCACAGTTTGGCCGATATGGTGGAAGTTGAACCAGGGACGAACAACAGTCAGACCTGTTCATGTAAGTGGGACATGCAGAATACAACCACCGCCGGTGCACGAAAATAAGTAACGTCTTGAATGACAGGTCCTAGACGTCGCTCAAGCCCTAGTCAACCTGATTTCACAACCTCGCTTCTCTCAAACTCTCAACTTGCCTGGACCGTCTACTCTAACTTTCGAGTATCTTCTTGACCTCGTCTCGTCAGTTACCCTTCAGCCACCGTCCCGAGCCCCCGACTTGCCCAAGCCTGTCGCCACACTTCTTGCCAAGTTGGCCCAACGGGTGTGGTGGCCCGCGCTCAGCCCCGACGAGGTAACGAGAAGATACCTCAATAACAGCGAGGTTCCAGGAGACTGGGATGCTGTTGGCGTCCAACCTTCAGAAATCGAGACACACGCTATCACCTATCTTCGCCGCTATCGTTCCGCGTACGTCGCGTCGTTCATTTCTCACTATGAGACGTTAGCTAACTGCGTGTGTGAACTCAGGGAGAATTTCGTGCGGCCAACTGTATTCCCACCGCGTCCGCCGACACCCGTTGTAAGTCCGCTTGAAAAATCTCCTCAGGAGTGAGGCCGCTGACTGTGCCCGTCGTGTAGGTCGGGGAGTATTAACGGGACTGGTTGTATCGTATTCTTAGAATTTGAGATGTTCATTACCTGGCATGGTCGCAGTACCTGAGAGAAACGACGTAGTACCTGAGAGAAATGTCTTCGCAAGATGGGAGTGCAGCATCCAGGGCATCGGATGAGTGGTAGCTATCGCGCGGGCTCACACCAAAGGGAAATAGGCGCATTGCGGTGTCAAAAACTAGGAGTGGTGGTTCCTGCGTACGGCAGGCATGAGAACTGGATACAAAAGCGTGCCCGATACGGTAAAATATTATATGTAAGTAGTAGGGATGCCCCGTCAGAGGTGCCATGTCAGACTCAGAAGCCTGGTGGGACAAGAGCTTTTGGTTGAGGTGCGTCTGGTGGTGGAGTTGGATACAGCGAAGGGGCCATCATCTGCAGGGGGTAAGACGGCGCAGGAGTGTTGGGAACCTGAACTGACCTGCTGGGCACCTTGCTGTTGTTCCAGCATCTCCTTCTCCTGCGCGACAATCTTGGCCTCGTCTTCGAGCGTAAGCGCTAGCGGAAGACCGACGAGGAGCGCAGAGGTTGTGACCACCCAGACTATGTTTCCGATGAATTTTGAGCTGCGCTTGAGGAAGGAGGCAGTCTTGGAGACGCGGGTGGAAATGGAGTGTCGTGTTGTTGGTGGGACAATGTCCTTGAGGGCAGCGAGACGGTCGAGGAAGGACTCCTCTACGGAAGCGTCCGACTCGACAGATGAGAGGGAGACGGAGCTCGACGTTCGTGATGACGACGAGGAGGCATAGGGAGACGCGCCGGTATCCTTCTCTTCAACAATTTCGACCTTGACCATGATGATGCGCTGGTGAGAGAGCGTGACTGGAGTGACAAGAAAAAGGCGGCGTTGTGACCGGAGTGTGACTGGCAGGGCAAGCGGTACCGGAGTGCAGGGTCTACCCGCTTCGGATCCGGGGATAGTTGCTTACGTAAGATAACTGTAACAGATTGTGTTGTCCCTGCGCTGCTTGCCCATGCTTGGCTCCCTCCATTCATCGAATCATCCTATATATACCTCCCCGCCTCCCCCAGGCCCCAGCCCTTCTTCGTCATGCAGCACGACGCCCACTACCACAACCCCGCCATAACACACGGCACACATCACCAGCCAGGTGCGCCTTTCGCCCCCGCAATGACCCCTCGCCGATCTGTTCCAGGTCTCGCTTTGCCCACCCCGTCCATGCAGAACCAGATTCACGAGCTCGCGAAGACACTCCCACCCCCACGGAAACAGAACACCGCCTGCGACGCCTGCAGGTCCGTTTCGACGCCCAGCTTTCCCTCCGCTATCGCTCACATCCCCCCAAGGTCACGCAAGGTCAAGTGCAATCGGTTGCCAGGGCAGGAGAAGGTACCTTTCCATTGCGCTCTCCTTTGCCCATCTATTCATCGCATTCCTCGTCATTATAGTGCCAGGTATGGTCGTTTGCGCAGATGGCGACTCTCGCGTTTTCTAATCGAATTTCGCAGCATTGTTTATCGAAGAACTACCCTTGCACGTGCGTGTTTCGCCCAAGTGTCTGAGTGCCAGCAGCACGCTCAAATATACACCCCTAGCCATTTTGTCCAGCAAGCGACCAGCGAAAAGAAGCGCAGTAGTGCAGTCAATAGGAGACCGAGGAATATCAGCTCAGCGGGCGCAAAGTAAGTCCAACAATCACGACCGAACTTACCGTCGGAACCGCACTTGTGGCGGTGACCATTTCCTTTACCGGCCTCCAATTCTTTACCCCTCCCGTACTGATATCTGATCTTTAGTGTTCCTCCATCTACGACTCCCAGATAGTGAGTTAACCCTTGTTTTGTTGGACAAACCTCAATTCCTGACCACTTTACGCCAGTGCTCCTTCTAGTGCATCTAGTTCGGAATGCGGCCCTTCAACTCCTTCTGGAAACCCGCAATTACCTCTTATGGTCCGATACGGGTTTTGCCCACCACTGACAACCTCAACGCCTACGCCGGAGGTCCTGACTTTCATATTCGCACCCCCAGATCAGAAGTGAGTCTTTCTCCATCAGACTGCCTGCCAAACGCCAATTGTTTCTTCCAGCGAACAATCTGTGTTTCAAGCGGGGCTCACAAGATCTCCCTACGACGCATGGGGAGAATTGGCTTCCAAGCTGGATGATGAGAACTTCAGGGCTGAGTGAGTGCATTATTTCTAGAGCTGATGCCCTCGTTGCACCTGGCCATCCTCCGAGGAATTGCTATTTTTTGGTGAGCACCTATGATTATTTCACGACCTATCAACTAATCCTATTCCGGCTTTCAGTGTTGTCCATACATCTGACACAGATCGCTTCATTCTAGGTTTGCCCTCGACCTCGTGGAAGTCTTCTTTCAGATAGTTCATACACGCCTTCCCCTCCTTAATCCCGAGCAGTTCCGCAGCCGCCTTCAACTCCAATCTACGACCACCGTCCCCAGCATACCTCCTCTACATCCTGCACTGGTCGCCACAGTACTGGCTTGGGGCTGTAAATTCTCTGAACACCCGCTACTCATTGCCGACCGCAAGCGACCAGGCGGTCAGAGCCTCTTGGCCAAAACTCTCATTGATCGCGCTCGAGACCTTGCGGAAGCCCTGAAAGTGCACCGGGTACCCTCATCTGATCATGTCGTTATCGCACTATTAATTGAGCCTCTGCAAAATCGTAAGTCATGTGTACTGTCCTGAGCAATCCTGATCTCATCCTTCTACGCCCTAGAAAATCCGGATGACCCCAATGGTGAGCATTCTTATCAGCGATGGGCTGAGTCATGATCAATCTCTGAATGCTCCCCTAGGATTCCACGGTTTTTGGTTGACTTCAGCTACGCGCCATCTATTGGATCTCGGGGTGAGTGACCCTCCCCGAAACCATAAATTCCCGAAATGTTGACAAGCGTCTCGTGCTACTGACAAAGATTAACCACAAGTCCGTAATGGCCAATATTCAAGATCCAGAGAACCGTGGCACCATGATTTTTGCATGGTGGATGACATGTCTCTGCGATGCCTACGCGTCGGCATACTATCGACGAAAACCGGTCCTGGACGACGACGATTATGATATCGACTTTTACACCGCTGATCCCATCCCCGACATAACCGACGGAGCCCCAACTCCTTCTCCAAGAGAGCAACTAGAGGTTTGTGTGTCAATGATAGAATGTATTCGGCTCACTGATCCTATATCTCTTCCTGATAGTTCTTGGTACGTCGGTGCTCGCACGGCTGATCAGATTACAGTCCTCTAACTTCTTGGGTAGGGCTACTATCGGGCCGCACACTCGCTGGCTCGGACTGCCCGCATGATGTCACGTCAACTCTGGAGACCTGCCACCGATTCTGATGGCGTTCCATTCGACAACCTCTGCACCTTTGCGACCGCCTTAACTGAATGGAGAGACCATTATCTCAACGCTGTCGGTGTTCCCAGCAATTTTGCTGGGGAGTGGGACTTTGTCTCTGTAAGCCTCCACGATTCAATTCTCCAATGCCGAAATCAAATCAAATCTGACGGTTCTGGGTTTAGGCTGTCTCTTCGTGTTCGAGTGATGCCACCTACCATGTTATGTGGATTATATTGTTCAATGCCTTGGATGACTTCGGCATTAAAGAATTGAACAATGCCGTGGCATCCGCCTCCGACCTCACAGAGATTGAGAACGTCAAGCGGAAGGTCGCCGACGAGGCGCTACACGGAGCACTGCGCATCGCTGGCCTCGCGGGAGTGCTCACGTCGAATGGTTACCTGGTGAGTGGTGCAATGACTTTTCATCTCCACAATTCATCTCCTAAACTTTACCTTCTCGCAGCGGCTCGACCCCGCCGTGATGCACATCAGCTGTATACTCGCCGGCACACTGCTCGCCCGACTCGGGCGCCCGGAGGTGTCAAACTGCATCGCCGGGCTGAAGCAGTACAGCTACGCCTACGAGGAAGCTGGGGATCAGGCCAATGAAATGAACCGGCTATTCCAGCGCGTGCGAAACGGTGATATAGAGCTCAACCATATGGTGTCTATCTTCCCTCGTGGGTCGTCACCGGCCTCGAGATCGTCGCACAGCCCGCACACCTCGAACGCGATGCTGGTGGATGAGCATAGACCGAACGGCTCACCATCGTCGGCGCATGTACGTAACTGAGTAACCTTCCCTCTTCTAGTCTCCTTTCTGACTTTATGTTTCTCTTGTTTTCTTCCCTGCGCGTCGCGTCGTACAGCCATTCGCAACAGCCACAGGGAGCTTTTCAAAACCTGCCATCTATGGACAACATTAAAAAAAGAGAAGAAAAAAGGAGTCTGCAAGTGACGAAACGAACGCTCCCTGAATGAAGACGGAAATGACCCCCCTCCCCATCCTTCTTTCTCTTTCCTTGTATTAATGTAATTTATGTATCTTCACCTTCCTATCTGCTTTGCTTGAGACCATCGGTTTTCTTTTTGGTTTACTTTTTTCGTGCTTTCCTCTCCATCACCCCTATCGCTCGTCTGCTTAATTTAATGTGGCCAGAGTCCCCACCCCCACCTCTTGATCCGTTTTTCGCTTTCGCTGTTCGCCTCTCTTTTTCCTCGTTCTCCCCGTTGTCAGCATCTTTCCTTTTTCCACACTCCTCGCGTCGCGTTCGCATCTCACTTTAAAATCTTTACCTGATCAGATTGCTTACCTTATTGGCTTCCCTTGCTTCACCCCGTGTAATCGAGAAGGCTGTACAGGTACTAGTTTGTTCGCATGGACGGTATGTAGGGCGGAATTCAAGAGATTTCATGTAGGCTTTTCATCGACAACTCACTGCCTCGAGCTGGAAGGAGGCGCCGGTTGGGTACCCGGATACGGCTTTCAATGCCTGGGCTTGTGACCGGTCAGTTGCCGACCTTCGAGCGCTCAACGCTTCACTTTGGCTCCGCCTTGAGCATCCCCACTGACTCCCCGAGGCAGCCCAGAAATTATCGACGATGGTGGCGCTGTCGTTGTCCCCCAGGAGGTGAGCGTTGTCCAACTTTTTTGGACGGCTGACTGCTGCTGACACGCTTCGCGGCGCTCAGCGCTCGTCGCTCAAAAAAATCGCAGGTAGAGGCGCGATCATACTGTATTGCCCGACTCGGAGGTGGATTCTGACTCAACACGCCATGATGGAACCTCGAAATGACTCGAGCTCTTTGTTCCGCCAAATCCGCCAGATCGCTTTCTTATTGAATCAGGCCAAGAATTCGGATAAGGACGCGCGGGGCTGACTCGTCTCGTTTGTCTGCGCGTCGGAGACCGGAGATGTCGTTACCCTCTTTTCGAAAATGGGATAGTGCTACATACGTAGTGGCTTTCGAACATCTGTCAAGAAATAAAGAGAGAAACAAGCAAACGCCAAAGGAGGTCACGGTGCGGCGCCAGAGCTGGTTTCAATTTGTAAATTTGCAGCTCGGGTTGGAGTCAGCACAAGGTCCCCCGGCCGGGCCTCGTAACAGCCAGTAACCACCCTGAAGGGCCTGAAGCTTCAACCTGCTAAGCCTACTACCGTATGTAAACGCTGGCCTGAGCTCGAGGCCTGAGCAAGCGCCACATGCCCACAGGGCAACTCCGAGCGGGCGAGCGCTTGAGCGGCGCTTGCCTGACGACAAATTCGGATCACGCACTGGCTTACTGTTCGGTGTTCACGGCACACGGCACACAAAGAATCTTCAAACTTACAGGTCCCAAAAAAAACCTGAGCCTTGTGACCTGCGATTGGAAGTAGGAAGGGATACAGTCCAACAATTACTTGATTAAATACGCTGGGGGAATGAACATGAACAACACAAGGGTACCTGTAACAGAGTAAAGGAAAAAGACAGTGACACTAAGAGTACGACGGTAAGACAGTCTGAGGATCTGCTGCTAGTAACACAGTGGAATGCATGGATGGATGGCTGGATAGGGAATCTGGGCAATGGCAATGGGATGATGAGGTCAATGAGATGTCTGTATGTACGTGAATGCGAAACGTGCGGGGATATCGAGTGCGTGATGGTTTGCGTGTGGTATGTGTAATGGAATGCATGAAGCGGTAGTAAGGGTGGCGGGGATAGGTAGTAAGCAGGTAGGTAGGTAGCGAAGGGTAATCGTGCAATGAGGAACGTTGTTCGTGTAGGTTTGAGCGTGAAGTTGAGTCGTTCAAAGACAGGAGGATGAGCATGGATGCGATCGTGAAGTCCTTCAAGCAGGCAAGCAAGCAAGAGGAGCGAGGAGGAAAGAGAAAAGGGACCAGCAAGTTGAAAGGCATAAAGAACACCAAGGAAAATCGTCTAAGCAAGCGCGAGTCATTTTGAGCGAAACAAGCAGAAAAGAGAAGTCGTGCATGAGGGGAGACTTGAAAAGAGAAAGGTCGACGGCGAAAATGAAATCGAAATCGAATCGAATCGTCAACGCGTGCAACATCGTCAAGAGCAGGCGCAAAAAGCAAAAAGTCGTTGAAAGCAGAAACGCAAAGGCGCATATATCCAGTCCCTTTCATCTCCTTCTTCGTCCCCTTTCACCCCCTACCGCGCCAAAGATTTAAGGCGGACGCTCATACGGGAGCCCGCTCGCGTGGTTGAACATGGCGCACTTGATGTCGGTGAGGATCTTGCGTTCGTGCAGCTTGATGTACGTCTGCCCGGACGTGTCGAGATACGCGATGAGGACGTTGATCGCCTCCTCTGCTTCAGCGAGCGAGGGGCGCGGGTTCGGCGGGGGCGCGTACACCGAGTGCTGTTGCTGCGGGTAGTATGAAAGGTCCTGCTGGGATTGCGAGTGTTGGTGGTCCAGCACGTGTTCGTGCTGCGAGTGCGCGGGGTGTTGAGAATGGAGGTGGGAGTGGGAGGGAGAGTGGTCCATGTGGGAGTGGTGGGAGGAGGAAGAGTCTATTGACGAGAGCGAGTGAGAAGGGCTGGGGTGCAGGGCCGGGTCGAGGGGCATGCCCTGCACGCCATGCGCCGGATGCGAGGCGCCGTTGCCCGCGTCCGACGACCACTGCGAGACCAGCCTCCCACTCCCATCGACACTCTTATACTGCTGCTCCGCACCACTACCACCGTCCAGGCGCTGATGGTCGTACGGCGTGAGCACGGGGGTGGGCGGGATGCCCGCGGGGGGCGGCTGGGTGTTGACGCTCGCGCCAACCGTGCCGCCAACGGGGTAGCCTGCGTGCTTGACGGCCTTGGCCCACTCGCCGCGCTTGATGTCGTGCCGGTGCTTGAAGTTCTCGATCCAGCCCGAGGAGCCTTTGAACTTCTCCGGGGGGATCTGGAAAGATTTGGCGATCTCGAGGGCGCGCGAGCGGATGAGCTGGTCGGTGATGCTCGTGCCGCGGTCGGACCATGCTTGCAGGGATTTGAGCATCTCCTCCTCGACTTCAGGGAACTTGGAGGGCCTGTAGATGGGCAGGGAGGGTCAGCTGATGGGCGAGTTAATGAGGATGAGACAGGGTGTAGGTTACCTGTGCTTGGCACTGTTTTCATCTTTCTCCTCCTCCTCTGAGATGTTGAGCCATTTCTCCTTCTCCTTGAGGATCTTGCTAATGGTACTGCGTTCGACGCCAAAGACGGCGCCGATGTCCTCCTGGCGGGCGTTGGGGTTCTGGAGGTGATGGAGGCAGATGTTCTTGCGATCGATATCGCGAAGGCGATGCTTGTGGTGTTTTTCCTTGGGACGCAGAGCGGGCTCCCGGCTGGACTCTCCGCGTGAGCCAGAGCCGGTGGATGTCTGGGCAGAGACAGAGCTGAGGGTCGGAGAGGGGGCGCGTGGAGGGAAGGTGCAGGATGAGCGTGTACGCGAGCGACGGGCATGGTCGTACGGAGAATAGGGCGAGGCCATGGATGCCGGGGTGTCTGGGTTGTAGGGGGAGTGGAGGATCGATGCGAGGTGTGGGCTGTCTGCATAACGGTCGAGGGGGGAGTCGACGCGTGGCAGGAGTGTCTCGGACAGCTACGGGGTAAGATAAGAAGACAAAGCAAGAGGAGGGAGAGAGACGCGTACAGAGGGGCGGCGGAGGGGGCCGGGCTTGAGGGATGCGGAGCGGCGGGGCGGGC